TCTCCATGCAACAAGTTCCCCATACAACAAGTTCTCCATGCAACAAGTTCCCCATACAAGTTCTCCATGCAACAAATTCTCCGTGCAACAAGTTCCCCATACAACAAGTTCTCCATGCAACAAGTTCCCCATACAAGTTCTCCATGCAACAAATTCTCCATGCAACAAGTTCCCCCATACAACAAGTCCGCATGCAACAAATTCTCCATGCAACAAGTTCTCCAAGTTCCCCATTAAAGTTTACATTTACAAAAAAGAATTTCCAATAAAAACTTGATATTAAGACCGAATGAAACAATCTCTTGTGTGTAAACTGAGTGCATCTGTTCCATAGTTCTTACTTTGTTACTTACAAAATTTTGACTCCACCTGGTATAGTTATGTTATTGTTTAACCCACAGCAGTCTGTGCCCTATCTGATGGGATATAATTAACAATAACAATGTGGGTTGTCATGAAACTGTCCAGCATCTCCGTATTTCTTTAAAACCTGCACGCTACATTACATTTCTAGTGGGGAAAAAACATTTTAAAAAACTAAAATCTTTAACTAAAAAAATAACAATAAAACAAAACAAAATTTATAAAAAAAATCCATCTCTATCAAAGCAGGAAGCCTTAAGGAAATGGGAAGTTTTAATTACTAGCACTGTACGGGCATGACAACTTGGAGAAAAATTGATGAACTGTAATGGCTGTATGGTGGGGAGGGGGGGGGGGAGATGCGGGGGCGTTCAGGCCTATTTGCACTGATAGAAATTAGCTTTGTTTATTTTAAAAGTATCTGTCGATTTTATTATTTTCAAACGCGATTTAAAAGTTTAATAAGGTTATTTTTCGTGTCTTTTAACCCTATATGGCATAGCGTTGCAGTTTTGCAACAATACTTTAGGAGTAATCAAGTACTGTATTATTTAATATTTTGTTTCGTTTTCAACTTATTTTACTCCGGATAGCACTTTTTATTACATTTTATACCGGAACTCTTTTGAAAAGAAGATTTTTCTTTTTCAAATCGGACATTTTTAGAAGCGATCTACACTTTTCTGCTTTTTGCTAAATGGTAAGTATAAAATTACGTTAAAACCTGGTTAAAACTATAATAAACTAGCTGAAAAAAATATATTTACAATAATAACTATGCATTAGTACTAATGTAGTTGATTCACAATAAAATTTTTAATATTTCATTAGTAAGAGCCTAGGTTTTGTATTGTTGTAGTAATGCAACTACATGCAACGGAATAAATAAAAATGGCTCTGCTCTGAGCTAGACTTTAGTTTACTTGGTAATTATTTCTATACACAAAATAGTTTATTTTATGATGTGAAATACATTTAGTGTTGTGGCATATTATTTAAAGCTTCTAGATCTAGTTTTTGCCTATAATAATCATAATAAATTATAGCCTAACAATAGTTTTATTAGTTTTATTTATATATTTATCGTTAAGACTAGAGCTAGACTAATGAATAACCTTTTGTTTTTATTTTAGGCTTTCACATATTCATAACCATGGATCCAAGAGTCTAATTTGAAAGTCTTCTACCAGTTTATTCTGAGCTACTCCTTTTGGCTCAAAAGATAGTGAGTTGTCCAATGATGAATTGAAATAGAGAACGTAAACAGTACCCGGGTCCTATCGGATGTTGGTGATGAAGATTTGTCTGACGTAGTTGAAGGTAACATTATTATTGCATACTTTAAAGGTTTGATTGTAGATTAGTAAAGCATTTATTGTTTTGTATACAATTATTGCATAATTTATAACCAAATAATGTTCTCAAAATTTATTTCTACAGAGTATGCCCATTTGCGAAAAATGATGAAACTCCTCAGGACCTTCGCAATTGTCTACACCAAGGTCTTCATTAGCAACAACACAATGATCAGTCCCAGTATACAGCAAATGTTCCACCATTTCCTGATCCTAGGAGAGAAGCCAAACATCAGAGGCGGCCATTGGATTATTTCAACGACATCTTTACAGATAATCTGTGTTCGGACAGTTGTGTATCAATCCAACCTGTACTGTCCTCTAACATGACATCAACAGTCCTTTAGCACTGGATAAAGATTATTCCTGGAAATTAGATTTTACATAAACATTGTAAAAAATTCCTAAATGCTGAGTGTATTGGAGCCTTGCCACCAAGTTTGTTACGGTCACATACGTCATGACCATCAACAGATTCAAGCGGAATAAGAATAATCTGCACCTGTCAAACAATGTCCTCAGCAGGACAAACAATCCATTAGCACTGGATAAGAATGAGCTAAAACATTTCCTAGGAATTGTGTGTATTACATAAAGATTCTAAAAACTCTTAGATGCCGAGTGTATTGGAGCCTTGCCACCAAGTGTGTTACGGTCACATACGTCATGACCATCAACAGATTCAAGCGGATAAAGAATAATATACACCTGTGAAACTATGTTCTCAGCAGGACATAAACAATCCACTAGTACTGGATAAAGATGAACAAAAACATCTCCTGGAAATTGTGTTTTACATAAACATTGTAAAAAAAAATTCTAAATACCAAAGATCTTGGTGCCTTGTCACCTAATGTGTTACTGTCACAGACATAACCATCAATAGATTCGAGTGGATTAAGAATAAGCTACACCTGTCAAACAATGTTCAAAGGGCAGAAGTTGACCAATATTGGAATTCTGTGCTTATCAAACCCCATGCCATCTGAGATTCTAAGTATTCATGAGCAAATCGACCCATTCACATATCGAAGGCAAAAGCAGTCCAACCTACAACCATAGAAAGCCATATAGATGGGCTACAAAGTCTTTGTTGTGTCCAACAACTTGTATAATCCAAGATTTTGAAGTGCATACAGGTAAAGCTACAAAGGGACAAGATGGGGACAAGTGCTGTTGCTAATATTGAGCAGACATTATTACAGAGTGTTCCCCAATATGTTGGGCTCAAGATTTACAATAGACAATATCATTTAGTTCATCATTTAGTTGCAGGTTGTCCTGCACCAAGAATGCACAGAAGTTTTTATTTGTTGTATAGCAAACAAAAAAAATGCTAATAAATATTTTACTAAATAAACCTTCATGTAATTTTTCAGTTGTTTTTTTCTCTTTCAGTGTACATGTTTTTACTTTTGTTTTCATCATAAATAAGCTTACATGTTACTATTGTTACTCCCAAATGATTTGTACAAGTTATTTACATTTCTATCAACAATTCTATATAAATATTTTTTTTGCTTATTATGGAAAAAAAGTTTGACCGTTGCGCATAGTTGCAGAATTGCAACGACCAAAAATGTTGTGATATTTATCATCTATTCAAAAAAAAAAATTCCCTACATCTCAAGTTAGTCCATTTGCTGTAGAAATATGAAGTCAAAAAATTTTTACCAAGTAAACCAATAATTCATGCAATAAAGGGTTAATTGGGAATTTCCACAAGGGTGAGTTGTATGGCTCGTTTAATAATTGGGAATATCCGATCGTTTGATACGAGTCGGTGTTAATAATTTGGAATATTCGCAGTATTTGTAATGAGCATTGTGGTCGATCACTTTATGGTAACAATATTACAGAAAGTGAAACCTTACAATCTTTAACAGACAACACCAGCCCACATGTATGTTAAAGTTTAACTCCAGCAGTACGTCATTGACATTTGTTGGTCACACTTCGTCTAATGTCACACTGCAAAAACACTATCTTCCTCAACCTGTCCTTGATTCTAGCCCCGAATTAACTCACTCACACCTCAACCACGATTTACTCGACTTCACCAGAACTCTAACAGAAAATTTACCCTGACTATCGTAACTCGACTTTATCCCTATCCACTCAGTTTACCCTAACCCCACCCCACTCAACTGACCCTAACCCCACCACACTCAACTGACCCTAACCCCCACCACACTCAACTGACCCTAACCCCACCACACTCAACTGACCCTAACCCCACCACACTCAACTGACCCTAACCCCACCACACTCAACTGACCCTTACCCCACCACACTCAACTGACCCTTACCCCACCACACTCAACTGACCCTTACCCCACCACACTCAACTGACCCTTACCCCACCACACTCAACTGACCCTAACCCCACCACACTCAACTGACCCTTACCCCACCACACTCAACTGACCCTTACCCCACCACACTCAACTGACCCTTACCCCATCACACTCAACTGACCCTAACCCCACCACACTCAACTGACCCTAACTACAATCTGACCCTAACCCCACCACACTAAACTTACCCTAACCCCACCACATCCAACTCGCGCCCAACTCAGTTACCCCCCTTTAAATTACCATTTATAAAGTGAAAAATATCTCGCCCTTAGCCAAGAATTTCTTATTGAATCCACTCAACTTTGAATAATTCACACGTTCTTCCCCCAGCTTCATCCCATTGAAAAACTCGAATAGAAGCTGATTACTTTTCGTTGATACCCCTAGAGTCTTTCTACACTCAAGTGGTCCGCCATTGTACTGCGGCCCGCCACTTTGATTGGACCACCACTACAGTATAGACCACCATTTTAGCTTGACCACCAATACAGTATAGACCACCATTTTAGCTTGACCACTTATTTACTATAGGCCACCACTTTAGCTAGACCACTAGTTTATTATAGACCACCACTTTAGCTAGACCACTAGTTTACTATAGACCACCACTTTAGCTAGACTTGTTTAGTTTTGACCTCAACGTTCACTTGACCACTAGTTTATTATAGACCACCACTTTAGCTTGACCACTAGTTTAGTTTGGATCTCAACGTTCACGTGACCACTTGTTTACTATAGACGACCACTTTAGCTAGACCACTAGTTTAATATAGACCACCACTTTAGCTTGACCACTAGTTTACTATAGACCACCACTTTAGCTTGACCACTAGTTTAGTATGGACCTCAATGTTCACTTGGCCAGTCACCTTACTGAAGCCGAATATGAAGACTAACGTGGCTGCCATTTTTGTCCTTGCAGGACCTTACTGTCCTGGTGTCTGGGACACGATCCTCTGCTGGCCAGCGGCCAAGGCTGGCACCAAGGTCTACCTGCCCTGTCCACCCATGCCTGGCCTGGTCCCAGAAAGTAAGTCAATCAAAATGTTTACCTTTAAATCTATTTTATTCACTGACTGTAACCATTTTCTTATAGACTAACCAATATGAAAATGATTTTTTTTCAAACAGTACACGGTAACTGAATAATTTTATTCTATGAACTCGTAATAAAAAAAATGACCATTTTGTAGTGACTTAACACCAAAACGACGAGTTTGACCTGTTCTGTACCTGTATGACCTCGTACACCTGTTCTGTACCTGTATGACCACGTACACCTGTACCTGTATGACCCCGTACACCTGTACCTGTATGACCCCGTACACCTGTACCTGTATGACCCCGTACACCTGTACCTGTATGACCTCGTACACCTGTACCTGTATGACCCCGTACACCTGTACCTGTATGACCTCGTACACCTGTACCTGTATGACCTCGTACACCTGTTCTGTACCTGTATGACCCCGTACACCTGTACCTGTATGACCTCGTACACCTGTACCTGTATGACCACGTACACCTGTACCTGTATGACCACGTACACCTGTACCTGTATGACCTCGTACACCTGTATGACCTCGTACACCTGTACCTGTATGACCTCGTACACCTGTATGACCTCGTACACCTGTACCTTTATGACCCCGTACACCTGTACCTGTATGACCTCGTACACCTGTACCTGTATGACCACGTACACCTGTACCTGTATGACCACGTACACCTGTACCTGTATGACCTCGTACACCTGTATGACCTCGTACACCTGTATGACCTCGTACACCTGTATGACCTCGTACACCTGTACCTGTATGACCACGTACACCTGTACCTGTATGACCTCGTACACCTGTATGACCTTGTACACCTGTATGACCCCGTACACCTGTATGACCCCGTACACCTGTGTCCCCAGACAAAGCCTGGAAGAACTGCGGCCCCGAGGGACAGTGGGAGACCAAGGAGAAGGGCGTCTACACTAACGGCACGGGCTACACCTACTACAGGGATTGCTACTCCCGGGAAGCGTGGGAGGCCTACGTCAAGTACCTCAGTAACAAGACAGTGCAGGAGAAGGAGGTGACGTCATATTTTCAGCACTGGCGGCTAATTAATTACTTGATTACATTTATTAAACTGTACATAGAGATATAAAATTCGTTAGTCTTAGCTCTAAAACAAATTATCGCATTGAAATAATTAAATCTTACAGACGTTTTTAAATCGTATTTGCCATAGAATGAATTGTATTGAATTGTAGCGTCGCCAAAGGTTGGTTACTATGGAAAGTTTCTTTAAATAAGTTTTATGTCTTAAAATGTAGCTGTAAGCGAACACTTTCTATACTACATAGGCGTCACACATACGTCACACATACATCAGAACTAGGCTCCCCTATCACATATACCTAAGTATGGCACCACATACACTAACAGTGGCTCCCCATAACAGACAATGCTAAAAACAAAATGCAGGTCATGTGGCGCCCGTTGAACCAGAATTCGGCGCCCCATAGCCGATAAAGTGGGGCGCTAAAACGTACCCCACCTCCCGTGGCTCAGTGACCCACCAGCCAGTAAAATCTAGACACGCCTTCTCATACACGTAGAAGCCATAGTCTGATGTTTTTCATCACGTTTTTTAAAAAAAAAATGTAGCTATTTCTACATCATCACAAACACGTGCACTCTCTCTCTCTCTCTTTCACACACACACAATCAATTACATTGATTAAAAAAACAATGGCCACGTCCAAAATCGAATCAAAGGCGCAGACATTTTTTCCTCTAATTGAAATTTGAGTCGAGTCATTTGTGAACATATTTCACTTTTTTCTCCCTGTCCGAAGAATAATCCTAGAAATATAATATAGGGTTGAACCGGAAGTAAATCAATTTCGATTTCACAATCGTTCAAAGTATCTTATTTTTGATATAACTCAAGGATGTTTTGTAACTTGAATATATGATCGAATACACTTTTAAACAATATTTTTAATTTTGGGCAGAATCGATTCTGTAACTAAACTTCTCAAATTCGATAGTCAATTTAAAAACAACAATTCCTGATCAACTTTATAAAAACTTAATTATTTGTTGATTGAAATGTGCTTAAGATATGTTTAGCGCTGTATTGCAACTAATGAGTGTATTGTCTTCAGATGATAAAAGAAATCATCAACAACTCACGGACGTTGGAGATTGTCGGTCTGTGTATCTCGGTCGTTACTGCCATCATCTCTCTCGTCATCTTCTGTTATTTCAGGTGGGTCTCTTTTGTTGTACGACTCTTTGTTGTACGACTCTTTGTTGTACGACTCTTTGTTTACGACTCTTTGTTGTACGACTCTTTGTTGTACGACTCTTTGTTGTACGACTCTTTGTTGTACGACTCTTTGTTGTACCACTCTTTGTTGTACCACTCTTTGTTGTACGACTCTGCACTGGACTCTCTTGCTTACTATTTGGTCTCTTTGTTGTAAACACATGCACATATGTATATATAGATTTTTAAGTGTATATATATATATATATATATATATATATATATATATATATATATATATATATATATATATATATATATATATATATATATTTATAAATGCTGTAAATATATATCATTGTGTACAGCTGTCTGTTGTGTACACCTCTGGAACACACCTATACAGCACCTGTTTTCCTACACCTGCTCTAAAGAAATCAGGAAAACAACCTGTCAATAATCCAAGAACAAAAACCCACCTGACCTTGAATTAGTATAATTGGGGATTCTATTAAAGATTTAATTGCATACAAGATTACCTTTTGGCTTCAAGTGCAGGGATATTATTTTAAAAATGGAATATGTAAAATAACAATGCTGATTTTTTAAATTATTTTTTTTTGTGAGCGAAACTTGATATTTCAAAGGAAACCACTGTTTGTGTCTGCACAAAGTTAGTTTCCCTATCAACAGCACCAGTGTGGCTGTGGTTTAGCCACAGTCGATGTCATGACATCCACATTACACCAAATTTAAGGCATCACACCCATGTCATTCAGACCAAACGCATTTAATAAATTCCTCACATAAATCACCTTTAGACAAACAAATTCAACAGTCATCACATAAATCACCTTTAGACAAACAAATTCAACAGTCATCACATAAATCACCTTTAGACAAACAAATTCAACAGTCATCACATAAATCGCCTTTAGACAAACAAATTCAACAGTCATCACATAAATCACCTTTAGACAAACAAATTCAACAGTCATCACATAAATCGCCTTTAGACAAACAAATTCAACAGTCATCACATAAATCACCTTTAGACAAACAAATTCAACAGTCATCACATAAATCGCCTTTAGACAAACAAATTCAACAGTCATCACATAAATCACCTTTAGACAAAACAAATTCAACAGTCATCACATAAATCGCATTTAGACAAAACAAATTCAACAGTCATCACATAAATCGCCTTTAGACAAAACAAATTCAACAGTCATCACATAAATCGCCTTTAGACAAAACAAATTCAACAGTCAACACATAAATCGCCTTTAGACAAACAAATTCAACAGTCATCACATAAATCGCCTTTAGACAAAACAAATTCAACAGTCATCACATAAATCGCCTTTAGACAAACAAATTCAACAGTCATCACATAAATCGCCTTTAGACAAAACAAATTCAACAGTCATCACATAAATCACCTTTAGACAAAACAAATTCAACAGTCATCACATAAATCGCCTTTAGACAAAACAAATTCAACAGTCATCACATAAATCGCCTTTAGACAAAACAAATTCAACAGTCATCAAATAAATCGCCTTTAGACAAACAAATTCAACAGTCATCACATAAATCACCTTTAGACAAAACAAATTCAACAGTCATCACATAAATCGCATTTAGACAAAACAAATTCAACAGTCATCACATAAATCGCCTTTAGACAAAACAAATTCAACAGTCATCACATAAATCGCCTTTAGACAAAACAAATTCAACAGTCAACACATAAATCGCCTTTAGACAAACAAATTCAACAGTCATCACATAAATCGCCTTTAGACAAACACATTTAACAAATTCGTCACATTAAACGCCTTTAGACAAAACAAATTCAACAGTCAACACATAAATCGCCTTTAGACAAAAATTCAAAAGTCATCACATAAATCTCCTTTAGACAAAACAAATTCAACAGTCATCACATAAATCGCCTTTAGACAAAACAAATTCAACAGTCATCACATAAATCGCCTTTAGACAAAAATTCAAAAGTCATCACATAAATCGCCTTTAGACTAAACAAATTCAACAGTCATCACATAAATCGCCTTTAGACAAACAAATTCAACAGTCATCACATAAATCGCCTTTAGACAAAACAAATTCAACAGTCATCACATAAATCGCCTTGAGACAAACAAATTCAAAATTATCACATAAATCGCCTTTAGACAAAACAAATTCAACAGTCATCACATAAATCGCCTTTAGACAAACAAATTCAACAGTCATCACATAAATCGCCTTTAGACAAACAAATTCAACAGTCATCACATAAATCGCCTTTAGACAAACAAATTCAACAGTCATCACATAAATCGCCTTTAGACAAACAAATTCAACAGTCATCACATAAATCGCCTTTAGACAAAACAAATTCAACAGTCATCACATAAATCGCATTTAGACAAAACAAATTCAACAGTCATCACATAAATCGCCTTTAGACAAAACAAATTCAACAGTCATCACATAAATCGCCTTAGACAAAACAAATTCAACAGTCATCACATAAATCGCCTTTAGACAAACACATTTAACAAATTCGTCACATTAAACGCCTTTAGACAAAACAAATTCAACAGTCAACACACCGATGTCCAGTACATTTTTCCTCCAAACCAAGGCAACATCTTTTGAAAATCACGTGACATTTTTTCTACACCATAATGAGATATTTGATCATTCCCGGGCAAATCTCCCTGCTCATTTACATCAGCCAATCACCTCAGGCTGCTCGGGTCACGTGATCAACATTTGATTTATTCCCATCTGTGTGGATGTACCCGGAGTTCTCACGGGGATTCCCGTTGCCTCTGGTCAGGTTTAGCTACGGCTAGAAGAATATAATGATATAGGGGGTCATTGTGGGGGTCATTGTGGGGGTCGTTGTGGGGGTCGTTGTGGGGGTCGTTGTGGGGGTCGTTGTGGGGGTCGTTGTGGGGGTCGTTGTGGGGGTCGTTGTGGGGGTCGTTGTGGGGGTCGTTGTGGGGGTCGTTGTGGGGGTCGTTGTGGGGGTCGTTGTGGTGGTCGTTGTGGGGGTCGTTGTGGGGGTCGTTGTGGGGGTCAGATTTAGCTGCAGTCATTGTGTGCCCTCGACAATAGAATGCATCCAGTAAAAGTCTGACATTTTTTAATGTATCCACTAAAAGTCTGACATTTTTTAATGTATCCACTAAAATGATTGACATTTTGTATATCCACTGAAAAGTCTGACATTGTGTAATGTATCCACTAAAAGTCTGACATTGTGTAATGTATCCACTAAAAGTCTGACATTTTTTAATGTATCCACTAAAATGATTGACATTTTGTATATCCACTAAAAGTCTGACACTGTGTAATGTATCCGCTAAAAGTCTGACATTTGTAATGTATCCACTAAAAGTCTGACATTGTGTAATGTATCCACTAAAAGTCTGACATTGTGTAATGTATCCACTAAAAGTCTGACATTTTGTAATGTATCCACTAAAAGTCTGACATTGTGTAATGTATCCACTAAAAGTCTGACCTTGTGTAATGTATCCACTAAAAGTCTGACATTTGTAATGTATCCACTAAAAGTCTGACATTGTGTAATTTATCCACTAAAAGTCTGACATTTTGTAATGTATCCACTAAAAGTCTGACATTGTGTAATGTTTCCACTAAAAGTCTGACATTGTGTAATGTTTCCACTAAAAGTCTGACATTGTGTAATGTATCCACTAAAAGTCTGACATTGTGTAATGTATCCGCTAAAAGTCTGACATTGTGTAATGTATCCGCTAAAAGTCTGACATTTGTAATGTATCCACTAAAAGTCTGACCTTGTGTAATGTATCCACTAAAAGTCTGACATTGTGTAATGTATCCACTAAAAGTCTGACATTGTGTAATGTATCCACTAAAAGTCTGACATTGTGTAATGTATCCACTAAAGTCTGACATTTTGTAATGTATCCACTAAAAGTCTGACATTGTGTAATGTATCCACTAAAAGTCTGACATTGTGTAATGTATCCACTAAAAGTCTGACATTTTGTAATGTATCCACTAAAAGTCTGACATTGTGTAATGTATCCACTAACGTCTGACATTGTGTAATGTATCCACTAAAGTCTGACCTTGTGTAATGTATCCACTAAAAGTCTGACATTGTGTAATGTATCCACTAAAAGTCTGACATTGTGTAATGTATCCACTAAAAGTCTGACCTTGTGTAATGTATCCACTAAAAGTCTGACATTTGTAATGTATCCACTAAAAGTCTGACATTGTGTAATTTATCCACTAAAAGTCTGACATTTTGTAATGTATCCACTAAAAGTCTGACATTGTGTAATGTTTCCACTAAAAGTCTGACATTGTGTAATGTTTCCACTAAAAGTCTGACATTGTGTAATGTATCCACTAAAAGTCTCACATTTTGTAATGTATCCACTAAAAGTCTGACATTTTGTAATGTATCCACTAAAAGCCTGACCTTGTGTAATGTATCCGCTAAAAGTCTGACATTTGTAATGTATCCACTAAAAGTCTGACCTTGTGTAATGTATCCACTAAAAGTCTGACATTGTGTAATGTATCCACTAAAAGTCTGACATTGTGTAATGTATCCACTAAAAGTCTGACATTGTGTAATGTATCCACTAAAAGTCTGACATTGTGTAATGTATCCACTAAAAGTCTGACATTGTGTAATGTTTCCACTAAAAGTCTGACATTTTGTAATGTATCCACTAAAAGTCTGACATTGTGTAATGTATCCACTAAAAGTCTGACATTGTGTAATGTATCCACTAAAAGTCTGACATTTTGTAATGTATCCACTAAAAGTCTGACATTTTGTAATGTATCCACTAAAAGTCTGACATTTTGTAATGTATCCACTAAAAGTCTGACATTTTGTAATGTATCCACTAAAAGTCTGACATTTTGTAATGTATCCACTAAAAGTCTGACATTTTGTAATGTATCCACTAAAAGTCTGACATTTTGTAATGTATCCACTAAAAGTCTGACATTTTTTAATGTATCCACTAAAAGTCTGACACTGTGTAATGTATCCACTAAAAGTCTGACACTGTGTAATGTATCCGCTAAAAGTCTGACATTTGTAATGTATCCACTAAAAGTCTGACCTTGTGTAATGTATCCACTAAAAGTCTGACATTGTGTAATGTATCCATTAAAAGTCTGACATTGTGTAATGTATCCACTAAAAGTCTGACATTGTGTAATGTATCCACTAAAAGTCTGACATTGTGTAATGTATCCACTAAAAGTCTGACATTGTGTAATGTTTCCACTAAAAGTCTGACATTTTGTAATGTATCCACTAAAAGTCTGACATTGTGTAATGTATCCACTAAAAGTCTGACATTGTGTAATGTATCCACTAAAAGTCTGACATTTTGTAATGTATCCACTAAAAGTCTGACATTTTGTAATGTATCCACTAAAAGTCTGACATTTTGTAATGTATCCACTAAAAGTCTGACATTTTGTAATGTATCCACTAAAAGTCTGACATTTTGTAATGTATCCACTAAAAGTCTGACATTTTGTAATGTATCCACTAAAAGTCTGACATTTTGTAATGTATCCACTAAAAGTCTGACATTTTTTAATGTATCCACTAAAAGTCTGACACTGTGTAATGTATCCACTAAAAGTCTGACACTGTGTAATGTATCCACTAAAAGTCTGACATTGTGTAATGTATCCACTAAAAGTCTGACATTTTGTTATGTATCCACTAAAAGTCTGACCCTGCCCTCCCCAGCACGCTGAAGTGCCACCGGACCAGAATCCACAAGAACCTGTTCGTCGCTATGATTGTCCAGATATCCATGAGGATCATCCTCTACGTGGACCAGCTGGTTGCCAGGGAAACGGGGGGCAAGATCGCCGGGGCTGCTAGTGGCGACAGCAACACCATCTACGACACGGTGAGTTGGTGTCGACAGCAACGCCATTTACGACACGGTGAGTTGGTGGCGACAGCGACGCCATTTACGACACGGTGAGTTGTATAGGTGGCGACAGCAACGCCATTTACGACACGGTGAGTTGTATAGGTGGTGACAGCAACGCCATCTACGAAATGGTGAGTTGGTGGTGACAGCAACGCCATTTACGGTATGGTGAGTTGGTGGCCACAGCAACGCCATTTACGACACAGTGAGTTGGTGGCGACAGCAACGCCATTTACGACACAGTGAGTTGGTGGCGACAGCAACGCCATTTACGGTATGGTGAGTTGGTGGCCACAGCAACGCCATTTACGACACGGTGAGTTGTATAGGTGGTGACACAAACACCATCTAAGACGCTACACCAACGCTACCAGCGCTTGAATACTGATCGACTTATTTACAGCAGTTTCGTGTATCACACCTTGCATTTTGCCTTAAGTTCTATATAATTTGCAATCAATATAATTTTAATTTATTTATTTTGGTTTTTCGCCTCAGACATGTGGTTTAGAGCTTCAGTTTGCCTTGCATGTTCGCTTTAGTTTTACAGGTTTCATTATCGACTTGTGGGGATTGATACAGATTTATTTATTTATTTATTTATTTATTTTTTTTTAATAATGATATCATTGATACAGATTTAAAATAGTAATTCTTTAGTGTAGGACCCTACTAACCATCATTCAAATTAAAACACATTTTTTATTATTTATAATTACCACCAAATTCGCGTCGTTTTCATAGTGTTTTTATAGCACCACAAAATTCACGTCATTTTAATAGTCCTATTATTTCACTAAATAATTCGTGTCATTTAATACTGCTACTATTTCACTACAAAATTCGTGTAATTTTAATCGTGTTATATTTTACCACGATCAATTATAAAATATATTGATCGGATCATTTCTCTGTGTAGGGTACACGCCCTTGCCTCGGGTAGTGCTGATCTCCCTTGCTAAAAATGCAGTGCACGCATCTAATTTTAGCATCAGAAAGTGCATCTTTAAGAAGATTTGTAGCTCACAATCAAAGCAGCAAACAAGCTTATTAGGCTGATTTTTTTTATTTCCTGATATTTTAAGTGGCTTAACGTCTCAACAAGACCAGGGTTAGGCTCACACGTTTGGCTGTGGCATCACGTGACGGTTGGTTGTAAACATGAAGGGGTTGACTTGGTGCTCCCGTCCGCCTGTGGTTGGGTCGAGATTTGAACTGTGTCGCTTGCTGCTCCACTTACTGTGACAGAGATACAGCTCTAGGCACTGTACGAGATAAATGAGAGTTTCAGTTTGGTGGGGCGGCATCAATTATGTTATTGGAGTGTATTATAGTTCATTAAATTAAATAAGTAGAAATACATAAATACATAGGCACACACACACATATATATGTATATATATATATATATATACATATATATATATATATATATATATATATATATATATATATATATATATATATATATATATATATATATATATAAAGTTAAGTTTGTTAGAAATACTGTCATAAATATTGAGAGTAGAAGAGAAAAAAATAACTGCACAACATTTTTATTCAATGTGGCGTGTCCTAAAAAATTTTGTGCAACAACCTATTCAGCTTCTATTTGGAGAACATAATCTTTCAATAAGTCAAAAGAGATTTTATTTGATAGATTTAAAGTCACGGTCATCAATCTTCGGCCCCAGGGTCGTATGGGCACTGTAAAGAATAAATAAGGTTTTTAATTGGTTTAATATGATTGTAGTAGGCCAATATATAACATTAAGGTGATTGTGTTTCTGCAATTATAGCATCTTAATTAAATCATAACTTCCCGTCCTGCTCGCTAAAAATATTTTAACAGAAATAATTTTTACTCACATTTTTTCTTCAAAGCCTTAATTTAATAAAACAAAAGTTTTTATACTTTGTTTCATTACACACAAACCCCCAGCCCTCCCCATTCGTTTCCCCTTTGATCATTTAGAATGTAACGGAAAAAGAACAGATAAACGATGACAGTCTGATTATTCGCGAACGATGATAATAGAATATTCTTTTTTTGCCAAGAACGACAACCCTTATCATTAACGACAACTCTAGCGCATGTTATTGTCCAAGATGTTTTTTTTGCCCCGATCGTGGCTTGGAAAATTTATTTCACACTGAATAAATAAAGCGACATGCATTACATTATATTTGTTGTCCGGGGTATTTTTGAAGGCTGGGTTTCTATTTCAAGAAATGGAAAATCATGATTAAATAGCTGGTTTAAGGGAGATAATTTATCATCATAGAGTTGAAATATTCGAGAAGATTTTTAAAAATAAATTTAACCAAGCTAAATATTTGAGTACTACTTTTTTGTGTGCTAATAACCACTGGTATCTTATTCATGTATCACACCGACACGCTGACAAACACACACACACACACACAGACAAACACACACACACACATATTACGTATGTACAGAGTTTAATGTTTTGTACAACAATTTTAGGGACCACTTCCCTGTATGTCGAGACGTAATGAGTGCTTACGACATTCACTTATCTCTATACAGTGTCGTAATACCGCGTTTACACTTGCGACATTTATACCATACATTTCTAGGAAAAAAAACTTCGTCATAGGGCTAAGATAATAGGGGAGCCTACTCCCCTACTACGAAGTTGTTTTTTCTAGACGTATATAGTATACATGTCGCAAAGGTAAACGCGGGGTAACGAATACTCACAATATTTAACCTTCAACAGCTGTATCACGTTCCACCGGAAGTTGCCCTAAACCACGTGACTTTGTGTTTCAGCCAATCTTCTGTGAGGTCCTGTACAGCCTACTGGAGTACACAAAGACTGTCAAGTTCATGTGGATGTTCATAGAAGGAATCTACCTCCACAACATGATAGCCGTCTCCGTCTTCTCGGGGAAGCCCAACTATATTGTCTTCTATTCCATTGGCTGGGGTATGCTTATTTTTAGCTCAACTTTACTCAGGAATGCATATCTGTGTAGTCTTCTATTCCATTGGCTGGCGTATGTTTATTTTTAGCTCAACTTTACTAGAGGAATGTCTATCTGTATAGTCTTCCATTCCATTCGCTGGCGTATGTTTATTTTTAGCTTAGCTTAACGCGATATGTCAAATTATATAATCTTCTATTCTATTGGCTGGAGTTTATTTTCAACTCAGCTCGATTGTCCTGTTATATTGTACGAGCCGACCCGCGGTGTATCATACGCCGCTATTTAGTTGTTGTTTTTTCTACTTTTCAGTAATTCATAATTTGTGAATTCGACAGTACCAATGCTGCCACTGAAAATATTTGCTTTAAAACACTACCCCCCCCCCCCCCCTTCCCCCCCCCCCCCCCCCCCGTGAAAGCAGCCTCCTCTTAGTTACCTCCTCTAAGTTTAAAATCGTTTCAAACTAAATTATCTGCCCCTAATAGACGTCACCTAACCCGGCTCTACGATTGCATTATGTAAACATTTAGCGTGAACCACAGCTCACCAGACCATGTGAGGTGGGGGGGGGGGGTGGTAGCGATAGAGAGGAAGAGAGGGGACTGCAAGGCTCGCTTGCAGCTTGTTTTCTAACGTCTCCCAGAAGAAAATTATATATATAGATTCTATACAATGGCGATATTCTGTATATTTTTAGTTTTAGTTGAGTTATGTGGGGAAACATTTTTTTAGGGTAAGACTTGCCTCTATTTCATGAAAAAAAAACTTATAAAATATCAAGAAGAGTTTTGTATTAACATGATAATTGTACTTAACATTGGCTATTTTTCTACAGGCTTTCCTATGTTACTAACAATAGCTTGGGTGATACCTATGTCCCAGATCTACGAAACGAGGTAGGTCAAGGTTACTTCTCTCAGTATAGTCTTGTTTTCAACGGGTTCGATGATGTAGGCCTACACTATAAAAGTTTAACAGGGCAATAATTGTTCTAGATCTAAGTGTTGACGTTTTCATTTGTGGTAGATTTTTGTTTTCATAAACAAAAAATAAACAATTTTTTTTATTTAAAAAACCCTCACTTTTGCCGTTTATGGTTTTTATGACTTTTTCTTTTATGTAAAATCAATTGTAATGTTATTTTTTTTTTACGATTTTGCGAAATATTTTCAAATGTTTTCTAAATTTAGAATGTGAAACAATTATCTAATTAAAGTAAATCACGTTGCAGCTCATGCATTACTATTTCAGCTAACATTAAAGCTTTTTGCAAAATAGTTTTTATTTTTCTGTTTTATGTAATCCTCATGAGATATCTATCCACTGGTGAACTTAAAAAATCCACATCTAAAACATTACATTCACTTTAGATTAAAAATAATCTCTTAAAATCTAGGCTATATATTTATAAATTTCCGTTTTTTTTTTTTGGTTGTTTTTTTTTTATATTTTATTTCTGTATAATTTGATTACACATTTTTGAGATAAATTTGTTCCATTATTTATGCCATGATTCAGCGGGTTGTAGTTTTTGCATGCTCCGTGATGGAGATTTATTGAGTCTTGTCATGGGGATGGGGGGAGGGAGGGTGAACCGGCTTAAAAAAAGGAATGGACTTTGAGACAAGGAAGCTTTTAGCGACCGTTATTTTATGGCCATAATACAGAGGAGATATCCGCTAGTATTAGAAGACGTGGTCTGCAACCAGACTACAGAAATCTGCTCCCCCCCCCCTCTCTCCGGTACCTTTATGTCCTCCTTCCATCATACCATCCTCGCTCTCTCTCTCTCTCTCTCTCTCTCTCACACACACTCTCTCTTTCTCTCTCTCTCTCTCTCTCTCTTTGTTTCGTAACGTAACCTCACTCTTTGATCTAATCTACATTACACTGACGTCATTTCGTGACGAAATTTTATCTTGTTTTGTCAAGTTTCTATTGAGACTTTGGGTCTACTTTCTTCGGTTTAAAACTTTAAAAAACCCAAATAAATTTCTTGTCTCTGAACCCATAAACAAATGTCTTATCCGACAACAAAACGTCTTATCCCATAACAAAATGTCTTACCCAGAACCCAAACAAAATAGAAAAAAAAATGCCCCCCCCCCCCCGCCCCCCCCCCGCCAGACTAACCATTTCTCGCTGTGTTTGTCCCCAGATGCTGGTTCGGCTACTACATGAACCCGTTGATTTGGATCATAGAGGGCCCTCGTGCTGCCGTCATGGCGGTAAGGTCACTTCCTGTCCTGGCTCTGACCTCCCAGTCTCCAGCAAACACTCGACCCTCGTATAGATTTATAAAGTATAGAAATCTATCATAGCAATAGAGAAGTAGTCAGCTAACCAAGGCTTATGATTAGCATGGGGTTTTAAGTAGTAGTTTTAAGAACATACTATAATCAGTGTTTTCTCCAGACTTTTTATTTTTATTCTCATGGGGGGGGGGGGGGGAGGGGGGCACTTGAATTTTCGAGGGGGGGAGGGACGGACTAAAATTTCTGGGGAGGACGACACACGATTAAAAGTTCATATTTTCTATCTAAATTCAATTTCATTCGGGGGGGGGGGGGGGCGAGATGCCTGGAAGAAACACTGACTGTAATTTAAATAGCGAAAGAAACAAGAACATATTTGCTTTAAAAATTGTCTAAACAATTTAATACAATCGATCACAGCAAAATTTTTAGTGCAGATCCTAAAATAAACTACCATACATCTTTTACAACATTGCTCTTTACCCAAAGAAAACTGTTAAATCAAAAGATCAGTACGGGGATAACTATTATTATACAAATAAGTTTATTTTTTCCTAATTTATTGTGTTCTAAACTTGGAAGAAAAAAAACCTCCCGTCTAGCGTACTTTTTTTCACAACAAAAGTTCCACATGAATAAATCATCTCCAGCCGTACTAGTCGATAATCTATTTTCTAAAAATAGAACTGGTCTACTTTTCACCAAGAAGCCGTACATAGGTCTCGACTTGTCGACTGTATCACAACTACACTCTTCTATTTCACGGTCGAGATTCTATTTTTTTTTATCTTCTCGCTTGTAACATTTTTTACCTCCTCACTTCACACTTTCACGTCAAGCTTTACATATCACGATGTCTGACACTTATATGGTGTAAAAATTAATTATTTTAGCTATTTTAAAAATAATTTGTACATAAGGAGAATATAATTTCTTACATAACGCTTTCTGTTTTTTTTATATCTGGCATCGAGTGAATATTAAACCACATTTTTGTGTTAATTAGCGTGTTAAATTGCTGTGTTCAGCATCCCGCAACGTATTTAGTTTAACCCTTTTGGTTAAACTGTTTACCTGTTAAAGTGTCAAACCACTGAAGTTAACTTAACAACGAATGCTAAAAGGGTAACCAGTCAAAATGCGTCTGAATAGAAGTTGAACTTATATTATTGTCAAATTAGGACAAGGTGTAGTATGTAATGTTAAACCCCTGGGTTAACCTATAAAATATGTCGGATGGTTAACCTACTATGACTGGGTGCAACCAGTTAAACGTAATTTAATAAATAATGTTAAGACACTGAGGTTTATTTTTTAACCCTATTTTATTGTATAAAGTTAAACTATTGAGGTTTATTATTGGAACTAATTGTAATTAACAATGTTAATTAAACCACTGTGTTGACCTTGTCACTTCCCCACCAGGTGAACCTCTTCTTCCTCCTCAACATCATCCGTGTCCTCGTTATGAAACTCAGGGAGTCGCAGACAAACGAGGCCAACAAATTAAGGTCAGTTCTGATTGGTTACTGGTCGCCATGGCAACCGTTTCATAAGTGTCACAGATCTGTTATATAGGTCAGCTGTACAGCAATCAGAGACAGAGCTGTATGTTGTATGACTTGTGCTGGATGGTTTTTGTTAGGACTTGCATAATAAATAACATGTGAATTTAAATTTTTAAAGTAGGCCTATAACATAACGAATGTTTACCTACGGCATTTCTTAGATGGGTTGGGGACCTTAGGGCGATAAATGGGATGTGTTGGTTGACAGAGTTGAATTGTGATTTTGTTGCAACTGATAGAAGAACTAGCTGGGTGTGAACTGAATCTGATGATGTTAAGGAAAACTTAAGCAATTTTTGAATAGCGATAATTTCAGGCTGCTTGAAAATAATGGAGCAGAAAAGTTTTTGACAATAGAAAATGACATCATATGTGAGTGGCAGTGACATCATATTTGACATTCAGTGACATCAGATGTTACAGGCAGTGACAAAATGTGACAGGTGATGACAAATTTGACAGCCAGTAACATCAGTTATGACAGGCAGTGACAACTAGCAATAAGAGCTGTATTTGACAACCATCCTCTGACACCCACCAGTGACAACCACCCTCTGACAACCACCCTCTGACACCCACCTGTGACAACCACCCTCTGACACCCACACATGACAACCACCCTCTGACACCCACCTGTGACAACCACCCTCTGACAACCACCCTCTGACAACCACCTGTGACAACCACCCTCTGACACCCACCTGTGACAACCACCCTCTGACACCCACCAGTGACAACCACCCGCTGACAACCACTCGTGACAACCACCCTCTAACACCCACCTGTGACAACCACCCTCTGACACCCACCAGTGACAACCACCCGCTGACAACCACTCGTGACAACCACCCTCTGACACCCACTCGTGACAACCACCCTCTGACACCCACTCGTGATAACCACCCTCTGACACCCGTGACAACCATCCTCTGACAACCACCCTCTGACACCCACTCGAGACAACTACCCTCTGACACCCACTCGAGACAACCACCCTCTGACACCCGTGACAACCATTCTCTGACACCCACCTGTGACAACCACCCTCTGACACCCCTTCGATACAACCACCCTCTGACACCCGTGACAACCATTCTCTGACACCCACCTGTGACAACCACCCTCTGACAACCACCCTCTGACACCCACCTGTGACAACCACCCTCTGACACCCACCTGTGACAACCATCCTCTGACACCCACTTGTGACAACCACCCTCTGACAACCATCCTCTGACAACCACTCGTGACAACCACCCTCTGACACCCACACATGACAACCACCCTCTGACACCCGTGACAACCATTCTCTGACACCCACCTGTGACAACCACCCTCTGACACCCCTTCGATACAACCACCCTCTGACACCCGTGACAACCATTCTCTGACACCCACCTGTGACAACCACCCTCTGACAACCACCCTCTGACACCCACCTGTGACAACCACCCTCTGACACCCACCTGTGACAACCATCCTCTGACACCCACCCTCTGACACCCACCTGTGACAACCACCCTCTGACACCCCTTCGATACAACCACCCTCTGACACCCGTGACAACCATTCTCTGACACCCACCTGTGACAACCACCCTCTGACAACCACCCTCTGACACCCACCTGTGACAACCACCCTCTGACACCCACCTGTGACAACCATCCTCTGACACCCACTTGTGACAACCACCCTCTGACAACCACCCTCTGACACCCACTCGAGACAACTACCCTCTGACACCCACTCGAGACAACCACCCTCTGACACCCGTGACAACCATTCTCTGACACCCACCTGTGACAACCACCCTCTGACACCCCTTCGATACAACCACCCTCTGACACCCGTGACAACCATTCTCTGACACCCACCTGTGACAACCACCCTCTGACAACCACCCTCTGACACCCACCTGTGACAACCACCCTCTGACACCCACCTGTGACAACCATCCTCTGACACCCACTTGTGACAACCACCCTCTGACAACCACCCTCTGACACCCACTCGAGACAACTACCCTCTGACACCCACTCGAGACAACCACCCTCTGACACCCGTGACAACCATTCTCTGACACCCACCTGTGACAACCACCCTCTGACACCCCTTCGATACAACCACCCTCTGACACCCGTGACAACCATTCTCTGACACCCACCTGTGACAACCACCCTCTGACAACCACCCTCTGACACCCACCTGTGACAACCACCCTCTGACACCCACCTGTGACAACCATCCTCTGACACCCACTTGTGACAACCACCCTCTGACAACCATCCTCTGACAACCACTCGTGACAACCATCCTCTGACACCCACACATGACAACCACCCTCTGACACCCGTGACAACCATTCTCTGACACCCACCTGTGACAACCATCCTCTGACACCCACACATGACAACCACCCTCTGACACCTGTGACAACCATCCTCTGACAACCACCCTCTGACACCCACACATGACAACCACCCTCTGACACCCACACATGACAACCACCTGTGACAACCATCCTCTGACACCCACTTGTGACAACCACCCTCTGACAACCATCCTCTGACAACCACTTGTGACAACCATCCTCTGACACCCACTTGTGACAACCACCCTCTGACACCCACTTGTGACAACCACCCTCTGACAACCACCCTCTGACAACCACCCTCTGACAACCACCCTCTGACAACCACACGTGACAACCACCCTCTGACATCCACACATGACAACCATCCTCTGACATCCACACATGACAACCACCCTCTGACACCCACTTGTGACAACCACCCTCTCTAATAATCGATAACAAGCTTAATTTCCCCAAAAGGTTTCTCCTGCTAAAAATATGACCAGATTCCATCTTGACCTTGAATGATATCCGGGGCAGAGATGTCAAGCTGACCCGTCGTTAGCCTCTTAAAACGAAATTTGGGCGCCCGCTTTTTATAGGCTATTTATTCATGTCTTTTTATAGCTCAGACCCTTAGACAGGCAGAGTGGTCGCGAGGCAATCAGAAGATATTCCCCGTGGTGCTCCAGACATCTCTTATCTGCTACAGCCCATATTGTTACAGATACTATTTAGTTTCTTATCTGCTACAGTCGATATTGTTACAGATACTATTTAGTTTCTTATCTGCTACAGCCGATATTGTTACAGATACTATTTAGTTTCTTATCTGCTAAAGCCCATATAGTTACAGATACTATTTAGTTTATTATTTCCCAAAGACGATATTGTTACAGATACTATTTAGTTTCCATTCTGGTGAAAATTTTATTGATTACAGATATTATTTAGTTTCCTATCTGCTAAAACGGATATTATTTACAGATATTAATTTATCTGCTAAAACGGATGTTTTACAGATACTATTTATAGAAAGCTGTTGACGTCACACATACAACCGGATGAAGACTACAGCATATACAACCTTTTTTAGTGACATATGACATAGCAACGTGTCATTTATCCAGATGACATACGACAGATGAAAAAAGTTCTTCTAGCCCACACAAAGCTATCAATGCTATTACACAAAACGTTCACCTAATTTCAACCATCATGTTGTCATTGAAGAATTGCAATAATTACTTGTCCAATTTTACTCCTCTCATTAGCCAGTTTGTTGTCGTCTTGCTTTAGGCATCTCATTAAACCCAAACACACAAATTACAAGATTGCTGCCATTTTCAGCTTTGATGACTGATTTAAACCTTTGAGCACTAAATCAGTTTTTTTTTAAGTTTTCATCCACCTGTACTATTTTTTTTAATTACAAATCGATTTTATTCCGTACATAATTACATTATATTCTATTTTAATATTATGATTTTAATTAAGGAGTGGTTAGTTTGAAGCAAATTGTAAGCGAAGATTGAAATTTTAAAATGAAGTTTTTTGAAAGAATAGATTGACATTTTAAAATGAAGTTATTTGAAGGAATAGATTGACATTTTAAAATGAAGTTATTTGAAGGAATAGATTGACATTTTAAAATGAAGTTATTTGAAGGAATATATTATGTCGGTTAAGACGCGCTAATTTAGCTGGTGATTGTATCTGTGATCACGTCCGCTTAACGTGGAGCAAACAATGGGTGTTGTGGGAGTTTATTCAAAAATGGAAAGCTCAAATAAATTATGGTCTTTTGGTAAAAATGGACGTTATTTATTTAATGGCGATTAAAGGGTCGTTATTCAGTTGGCTAAGTGGTCGTTATTTAGCCAGTTACCAGACAGTATCTCGCCTAAGTGGGTGTTATAACGTGATTAAAGTTAGACAACTCAGCGTTTTTTTTTCTGTTTTTTTCTGTTTTTTTTTCAAGTTTTTTACTAAAAAGAAATGTATTATTTATTTGTTATCATATATGTATATGTATATATATATATATATATATATATATATATATATATATATATATATATATATATATATATATATATATACATGTATAAAATTTAGTTATACATAAAGTGTGCAGATTTTTTTTAATAGTCCATTACAAAATTGTTTTTTCTATGAAACCCACCTTGACTTTTCTAGCAGTTGCCGTTATTTTTACCCCAGGAAAGCTGTGAAGGCGGCCATTGTCCTGCTCCCACTGCTCGGGCTGACCAACTTTGTCGTCATGCTGGAGCCGGACGGAGCTGACGCCGTCAAGTTCAGCGTCTACAGCTTCTCCAGCTCCTTCCTCAACGCCTCGGAGGGATTCTTCATCTCCCTGCTCTACTGCTTTCTTAATGGCGAGGTAACTGGGGACACTTTTATTTTAAACCTGCATTCAAAGGGGGGGGGGGGTAACTAGGAGGGATTCTTCATCTCCCTGCTCTACTGCTTTCTCAATGGCGAGGTAAATGGGGACACTTTTACTTTACACCTGCATTGGGGGGGGGGAGGTAACTAGGAGGGATTCTTCATCTCCCTGCTCTACTGCTTTCTTAATGGCGAGGTAACTAAGGGATCCTTTTACTTTAAACCTGCATTCAAGGGGGGAGGGGTAACTTGGGGGCCCTTTTACTTTATACCTGCATTCAAGGGGAAGGGGGGGCGAGGTAGCTAGGGGGGCCTTTTACTTTAAACCTGCATTCAAGGGGCGGGGGGGGGGGGGGGGTAACTGGGACACTTTTACTTTAAACCTGCATTCAAGGGGGTGGGGGTAACTAGGAGACCCTTTTATTTTATTTCTAAACGGCGGGTAACTGGGGGGGGGGGGTGCACATTTTACTTTAAACCTGCATTGAAGTTGGGGGGGGGGGGCGAGGTAGCTAGGGGGGCCTTCTATTTTATATCTAAACGGTGGGTAACCTGGTGACACTTTTACTTAGTATCTAAACTGCAGGTAACTGGGCGGACCTTTTACTTGAAGCCTGCATTCATTGGAAGTAGTAGACGGCCATTTTTTTAGTCTGTTTTTTGAGGTCATTGAATTAGAGCTGGGTGGGTGGTGGCGGGTTTGGGAACTCAAGCCGGACACGGGTCATTAAATGTTGATAAAACACAACCCGAAAAATTGTTGGGGGCTTGGTGTTAGAATAGCCGGTGTTTGCTATAATTAAAATAGCCGGTTAAGTTATAAGAAAGCGACTGGACGAAATAAATTATCCTTGCAGTGTAGAGAATCCTGGTCCATTGGGTGTCGTATGTAGGGGTGGCGGGGGGGGGGGGGGGGGTACCCATATGGGTGTATGGAACTAAATTATTGATAAAGAGGGGGGAGGGGGTAGAACTATAGGCTATTGCTTTACATTAGCTATGGTGTATAGTTCAGATAGTGTTTTTTTCGTACAATAACCAATGCTCTATTTGTTTTTAATTCTCAAAAATTGTTGGTACCAAAAATAATTCTTTACAATATAGTGCAGTAAAAATAAGAACAGGGTTTATAAAGAGTCAGATTTTAGTTTTATTAGAAAATATGAAATTGTTTTTCGTTATATCTTAAGGTTTTTTATACATGTACAGACTTAAAATATCAGTTTTCCTTCAAAACAAAGTGAACTAAATATGTCGTCATTATTTTGACAGTGTATTGAAGTTAAAAAAAAACAAGTCATATCATTTTATTTTTTTCAAACTCCCAATTTGTCTTTGAAGCACTGCATCATTTTTTGTGTATGTTTTTTTTTCACGGGCACATTGCGTGGTGTTGCTGTTACGTCATGCTCTACCTCTCCCTTCATCTGACTCATGCGACAGGTACAACACGCGCTCCGTCGACTCGTGATACGTCACACGGCCTATTACGCCACGGACGTCTCGGCGGCTGCCTGGCGTAATAACACAACGAAGGTACTTCCGGTTGCTTGTCGCTACCACTTCCGGTTTGCATGATCAACTATGGGTGTGACGTCACTATATATGCACGGCCTTCAAATTTAGTCTGGGGTGTGACAGCTAATGGCCTTCACATTCGTTTTTAGACATTTCAACTTTTTATTAACTACCATAATTTTTTTTAATTATTTTAAATTTGAGATAATTAAACTTAATTTCCTGAAATATAAATTCATAAAGTAAAGGCTTCATCATTTCAAACAAAAGTTAAAAACCTTTTTTACATTTAAAAAAAAAATCTATTTGAAGAGAGTTTTTACTTTGAAGAAAACCCTAGATGTGAAAGCCATTTTAAGCTAAATATAGACGAGGATTATAGTGTATTGGCAATTGTTCGCTGTTCGCTAATTGTTGTCGCAGCATTGTGTTGTTCTTGTAGAGTCATCAAGTACACAGCATGAATATAGATTCAATAGACAACTTCCCCAGTAGAAATGCTTGTTGAGTACTCACAGCATGAATATATAGATTCTATAGACAACTTTCCCAGTAGAAATGCTTGTTGAGTACTCACTGGCTGATGCTTTGTATGCAGCTGACGGTAGCAGCCATTTGAGATCGATTGACATTGTGTAACAATTAGATTTCGCAATTTTTTGACATATCTGCTCATCATAACAACGATAATTAGGTATTTAAGTGGATGTTTTTGTTTGACTATCCACTTTTATTGCAGTGTAACTTTGTTGGAGTTGTAACTTTGTTACAATCTGTCCTCTATAAAGTTACAAGCTTTATTTTGTTACGTCTAAAATGTTACCACCTTAATATTCAGATATTTGTTTCTTTTTATAAATCGCAAATGCTGCTGTTTCAAACATTCAAACAAAGTTGTATTTTCATGCTCGAAATTTTCAACATGTAGCGCTACTTAATAGTTCAGATGGCAAGATAATAGTTAGGGAAAATAAATTAATTAATTAGAATAGGTAATCAGAAAGTTTTGTTGTATTAGATATCAAAATTAAATATGACGTCGTTTGATGGAATGTTACACTTAGTAGAAGTACTTTCTGACGTCATCACGTCACAGCATGTTATGACATCACCATGTCATGACATGACGTCACCATGTCACATCGCACATGTGCCCGTGTCTGTACATCTGTTGCATCATTGTCTTGACGTTGTGAGACCTCCTGTCACACTGACATGACACAGACACTACCGACATGTCAGCTAGGGAATTAAACCCTCGAACAACCTGGGACGTCAATGACACTGTCGAGCACGCTGTCACATGGTCATGTCAGTGACCTGTGCCTCCTGACATGACATGACGTAGACTACTGACATGACATTGACACAGCACTATCGCATCAACTTTTCTATAGCTTGTTTGTCTTGTAACACTGTCGAAATAATGCTGACTTCTCCCCCCTCCCCCACACACTTTAAATTCTTCGATAGTACCCCCCGCCCCCTACGCTCGACCTATCATAAAAGTATCGCCTTCTAATTACTTGAACCCCTTTCGTCTCTCCAATTACCCCCACACTTATAGAACCGTCTAGAAATAGCTCCTGACTTTTAGAAATCATCTCTTTAGTCAGCCAACACAATGCAAAAAATATAACAGTAGGCAGTTCTAGCAGTCAAAAAATCAATACTCCGCCACAGCGAGGAGTAGCCTGGAGTCACAGAGTAGGTAGAGATCGAGGCGTGTTTCTTTCATGTCACCTGTTTGCAGGTTCGGCAGGCACTGAAGCGGCAGTGTTACAGGTGGAGACAGCACCGGCTCATCCACAGCTCCAGCCTGCGCCGGATGAGCCGCTCCCTGAGTATTTTCACCTCGTTCACTGAGGTGCCACACACCACCACCTCACAGGTAAATTATTTCTAGAACACCTGCCACACACCTCAAAGGTAAATTATTTCTAGAACACCTGCCACACACCCCAGGTAAATTATTTCTAGAACACCTGCTACATACCCCACAGGTAAATTATTTCAAGAACACCTGCCACACACCTCACTGGTAAATTATTTCTAGAACACCAGCCACACACCTCACTGGTAAATTATTCCTAGAACACCTGCCACACACCTCACAGGTAAATTATTTCTAGAACACCTGCCACACACCTCACAGGTAAATTATTTCTAGAACACCTGCCACACACCTCACAGGTAAATTATTTATAGAACACCTGCCACAATCACCACAGGTAAATTATTTCTAGAACACCTGCCACACACCCCACAGATAAATCATCTCTAGAAATCCTGCCACACACCTCACAGGTAAATTATTTCTAGAACACATGCCACACACCTCACAGGTAAATTATCTATAGAACACCTGCCACACACCACCACCACACAGGTAAATTATTTATAGAACACCTGCCACACACCTGACAGGTAAATTATTTATAGAACACCTGCCACACACCACCACCACACAGGTAAATTATTTATAGAACATGTGTACATATATATATATATATATATATATATATATATATATATATATATATATATATATATATATATATATATATATATATATATATATATATATATATATATATATATATATATATATATATATATATATAAATGATCAATAGCTATACGTTCCCACAAAGATATGAACCCCATCACATTATAGTTTTCTAAATTAGATTCTCACGCTGATCAAGTTAAAAGCATCTCTACTTGATTTTCCCCGAGGGTAAATATTGTCGGAACTTTTTAACCCACCGTCTCTACACGAATGTGGAGGGAGGGGCGGGGACAAAGACTTTCTAAGACCAAATTAGTTACGTCTAGCCCGTTCTCAAGCTTTGAAGGCATACTTGGTGATATATAAATCTGAGGGCATTAATGTAATTCTGAGGGCATTAGCACTGAAAATGGGTGAGATCACATCTAATTTTTGGAAGGGCATTTAAAGTGTACAGAAAATTGTATGCGTAAAGATTTGTACATGCTGTATGAAATTCTGAAAATGTATGCTTAGTTTAGAATGCTGATGGCATATAAGTTGTACACGGTTCTAAGGGCATATACGCCGTACAATTTTTAAAGTCAAATAACCAATGCAAAATTCTACGGGTTTATTAGCTATACAATAGCATCGTGTGATACTATCAGTAGTGTGAGTCTAAAACAAATAAATTTAGCCATACCGCCGAGAGTATCAAGCCTTTCGCCTCTACAACATGGTCATTAATTAATATTTGATGACACTAATTGAAATCCCAGCTGCCAGGAAAGCTGACCTGTCCCGATAACCAAAGTGAACACGAATACTTGGCCATGATTTATTCACTTTTTGAACATGAACTTACACAGAAACTAACTCGTGAACTTAAACCGAGGTTAAAGAAGGTCGATCGCAAGTGCGATAGGCCGGTAAACAAAAAGACCACAATTTGTTAAATAAATTAAAAGACCACAATTTGTTAAATAAATTAAAAGACCATAATTTGTTAACTAAACAAAAAGACCACAAAACGTTAACTAAACAAAGAGAGCACAATACGTTAGCTTAAAAAAAAAGACCAGAATTTTTTAACTAAACAAAAAGACCACAATTTACTAACTAAACAAAAAGACCACAATTTACTAACTAAACAAAAAGACCACAATTTTTTAGCTTAACAAAAAGACCACAATTTGCTAACTAAACAAAAAGACCACAATTTACTAACTAAACAAAAAGACCACAATTTACTAACTAAACAAAAAGACCACAATTTACTAACTAAACAAAAAGACCACAATTTACTAACTAAACAAAAAGACCACAATTTACTAACTAAACAAAAAGACCACAATTTACTAACTAAACAAAAAGACCACAATTTACTAACTAAACAAAAGGACCACAACTAAATAAAAAAAAACGTGTTTGCTAGACAAAAATTTTAGCCGTAAATGGGGCTGAGAGCTACAAATATTTAATTAGATAATGGGGTAGCTGCAACAAATGTAAATAATCAGATTTTTTGTGTGGAATAAACGATTGAACTGTCCGGTTTTGTGTAGCTGGCCATCGCCTATCAGCGTTGTTTATAAGGACAACATTAACACCCTCCTATGTTTAGTATAATAGTAAACTAACATGGCGCTGGCCTCAGTTAATATAATATACAAATTTATTGAACATTGATATCTATAGGCCTACACGCACACACATATATAAATATATAAATATATATATATATATATATATATATATATATATATATATATATATATATATATATATATATATATATATATATACTTATATATATATATATATATATATATATATATATATATATATATATATATATATATATATACTTTTTTTCTTTTAAATTTGTTTTTGTTAAACATGTTTCAATCAAACAATACATCAAATATAATCAGTTAACTCCCTTGCATCGTCATCTTTACTCAGATTGGTGTCCCTTATTTCTATAAATAGCTTTGTTGTCATGCATGACCACGTGACCCTCAGTGGTCCTATTGCTTGTTTTATTATACTCATGATATTAGTTGAAGTATATTTTCATTAAAACATTTAATTATGTCTCTAATTAGTACTGTAGACTAAGGTGTCTATTAATTTACTTGACTTTTACAGATATTGAATAGATAGAATAGATAGAAAAATTCCAGGTGTTTTTACGAAAAGTTTCATTGCATTGTTGCTTTAAAAACATCATCGTTTGAAAATAATTTTATCGACATTTAAAAATTGATAACTTGACTGTTAATGAACACCTCATGTGAAATAAATATCACTAAACATTCATATAATTTATATAATTTGTTTAAAACCTAGTTAGAAAGCATAATCTATAAAAAAAAAAGGTAAACTATTCATAATTATATAATGTATTATTCTTTTTAACATGATTAATACAAATATTAAGTAATAATATTTATTTTTACTTTTAGTTTTACTTCTTCTAAACGTATTCAACTATTTAGATTATATCTTGTTATAAGTTATTGATAAACATCAAACATCAAAGAAGTAGATCTTGTTTTTTTTAATTGAAACAAAAGTAATTTACTAAAATTTCTAAAGAATGTTTTTTTATATATTCTTGTTCCGGTAATTAGAAGAGCCAGCCGTCTGCCGTGGCTTCCAATGGTGACGTGAGTGAAATCAGTGAAGGGACTCAGTCCAGGTTCTCCGCCATCTTTAAAGGCCGCACTAGCAGACGACAGAGCAGCCGAGATATGGGGTCAGGCGCCGGGCCCAAGTTGACCTCTGATGCCCCTGACCTGCCGGACATTGTCACGTGCCGGACAGACTTGATGTGTGAGGAGAAGGTGTGAGGGGAAGGTGTGAGGGGAAGGTGTGAGGGGAAGGTGTGGCAAGATACAGTGCGGGTCGGTGTGGCGTGGCGTATATAAAAGGAGCCGGATATTTAGTTTTGTCCGACATAGTGGCTGCCGGACAATGGAAAGATAAACATCAGTATCTGACAGTGTTAGAGATTAGGCTGTGCCAGCACTGACATAGTTATGGCTGTAGTGGTTCCCTTATTCCGGAATGTGATCAGAGAGCTGGAGTTTGTTCCCTGGACAGAACAGAATACAAAGCAAGGGAGGGAACCTTGTTGTGTTTAGGTACAAACAGATATGGCATTCAGGCTCAAAAACAAGTTGCCCTTGCTCTAGTGCTTCAAATGTTTTACAATTGTAGTTAGTATAGCTCATATATATATATATATATATATATATATATATATATATATATATATATATATATATATATATATATGTTTAAAATACTATAATTTCTGATAAAATGGGACATGTTTAGCAAGTTTTCATCCAGTAGACAAACAGCATGCTGGTGTGAGGGTGTGCGGTGGAGATTGTGTGGAGACGCTGTCAGTGTACGTCGTATAAACAAACTATTACCTAACAGTGTCATTCAACGCTGTCTTAAATGTTGGACAGGCATTGAGGTCTAACAATGTTAGACTGTCGTAAAATGTTGGGCTGGATCGTTTAGTCCGACATTATGTTTGAGTCAACTTTAACGTTTAACCTTTCACCCCGTCTATAGAAGCATGAAATCCTCTAACCATGGTCCAGCTTATATGTATATATGTATATTTAAATTTTGATGTATGTATGTATAGACTAACTTCATTATTGTATCAAGACGCGCAACAGATATAATCTGATGTTGGTGTGATGTACAGTGTACATTGTACAGCGTATTGTGTACTCTGTACACAGTACTGTGTACAATTTGTAAGAAATCCAATTGAAATGTGTGTGTTCGTGTCTACAACTCAATCCATGACGTTTAACACAGATGTAAATATTAGAGACTTATGAGATTGGTTTTAGATAGGTTGTTGTTGTTTTGTCGGTCTGTAGGACATTGTGTAGGACATTCTGTAGGACATTCTGTTGGACATTCTGAAGACAATTGTTTAGGACATTTTATAGGACATATTTGTAGGACATTGTGTGGGACATGGTGTAGGACATTCTGAAGACAATTGTTTAGGACATTTTATAGGACATATTTGTAGGACATTGTGTGTGTGACATTATAGTTTAAACATAGTCTGGATAAAAAAGTGACGCCATGCACGTTTGAGTGTAAGAATGTGACAGGATTAGAAGGACACTTGACGTCAGATTTTACAGGCCGTCAAACTTGATGACAGGCTATATTAAACAGGACGTCAGCTTTTAGGACGGACGTACATCAGACAGGACGTCACACTTGATGTCAGTCGCACGTCAGACTTAAGTCCAGCAACAGTAATTTATTTGTTCAACTGATTGATTTGTGTGTGACGTCTTTTTTTAATGCCATGAAATCGTTAATTAATTGCATAACATCATTCATTTAACATCTTATATGATGCTATGAAAATTTCCAATCAACATTCTAATTACTGCCACATCTACCTATAGGATACTTCCAGAAGTTCATGTACATAGTCTCTGACAACAGCTCACCATAATAATATAGTATAAACTTGCTCAAATATATACACTCAACATGAGCATAATGAAATATATTGAACAAATTAGATAATAGACAGTCATCGCACAAAGTAAGTGCTATTGAGCTATTTAAGCAAGCGTTAAGCTCGTTCTTAGTATTAAAACTTGATGGAAACCACAGTTAATTTTTTTTAAAAGTACATGTTAAACACACACCATCACTCAAAATTGGGAATATCAAAGCCAAGAAGCCTGTAGCACGTGGATAGTGGAAAACTTATCAGTTTAGCTCTTACTAAAATACATTCGATTAAGCTCAAACCCCTATTTACAATTATGCTTTCAAAACCACATTTTGTTGACGAAACAAAACCACATTTAGTTCACCAACAAAACCACATTTAGTTAAACAAACAAAACCACATTTAACTAACCTAACAAAACCACATTTAGTTCACCTAACAAAACCACATTTAGTTCACCTAACAAAACCACATTTAGCTCACCTAACAAAACCACATTTAGCTCACCTAACAAAACCACAATTAGTTCACCTAACAAAACCACATTTAGTTCACCTAATAAAACCACATTTAGTTCACCTACCAAAACCACATTTAGTTAACCTTACAAAACCGCATTTAGTTCACCTAATAAAACCACATTTAGTTCACCTACCAAAACCACATTTAGTTAACCTTACAAAACCACATTTAGTTCACCTAACAAAACCACATTTAGTTCACCTAATAAAACCACATTTAGTTAACCTAACAAAACCACATTTAGTTCACCTAATAAAACCACATTTAGTTCACCTACCAAAACCACATTTAGTTAACCTTACAAAACCACATTTAGTTCACCTAACAAAACCACATTTAGTTCACCTAACAAAACCACATTTAGTTCACCTAACAAAACCACATTTAGTTCACCTAACAAAACCACATTTAGTTCACCTAACAAAACCACATTTAGTTCACCTAACAAAACCACATTTAGTTCACCTACCAAAACCACATTTAGTTCACCTAATAAAACCACATTTAGTTCACCTAACAAAACCACATTTAGTTAACCTAACAAAACCACATTTAGTTCACCTAACAAAACCACATTTAGTTAACCTAACAAAACCACATTTAGTTCACCTAACAAAACCACTTCTAGTTCACCTAACAAAACCACATTTAGTTCACCTACCAAAACCACATTTAGTTCACCTAACAAAACCACATTTAGTTCACCTAACAAAACCACATTTAGTTCACCTAACAAAACCACATTTAGTTAACCTAACAAAACCACATTTAGTTCACCTAACAAAACCACATTTAGTTAACCTAACAAAACCACATTTAGTTAACCTAACAAAACCACATTTAGTTCACCTAACAAAACCACATTTAGTTCACCTAACAAAACCACATTTAGTTAACCTAACAAAACCACATAACCTCTGTATGAAAATGATGTGGAAAGCTCCACGACTGCAGCCTATGGGGGGGGGGGGGCTTGAGTGCCACTAACCCAGGAGTTCTAAACATGCTTGCTCCATTTGAATCAATCTGTACACAATCGATTTTCATTGCCAACAGAATTGTGTTAAAACTTAGTTCTTAGATCAGTTTATAAATAGAGCAACGTGACTTATTTTCCCGATACTTCACATTATTATTCAGAAAATCGACTGATTAGCTTATAACCAAGTATTGATTAGCTTATAACCTAGTATTGATTAGCTTATAACCTAGTATTGATTTGTTTCATAACTCACCTAGACACGGTCAGAGTTTTGAATGTTTCCAATTGTGTAAATACAGCGCTGCGTCTGTGATTGCAGCTCCCAGCATTCCATTGCCCGTCCCCCTCAATCCCCACCCTCACGGCGTCCATCACCCCACCCATCACCCCACCCATCACTCCATCCAACAATGAAATCTCTCTCTCAGCCACATCTATTAATATAAACAAATCTCATTAATTTCCTAAATCAAATTTTAGTGTTTATTTCCCCTTACAAAAAAAAAATTCTGCATAAAATGTCCAAACTTTGGACAAAATTTCCCCGTCGCTGTGCAATTTTCCCTGACCGTGTATGGGTTATTTGCCCACATTTCCCGACCCAGGTTGTAAATGATTAGCTCGCCTCCACGTCACTTTTATTTTGATACATTTCTCAGCTTCTCTCCCTTTAAAAATGGGAGACAACTTTTTTTTCTCTCAGGAAATGAAATAGTTTCTTTTTGTTTTAATGTAATATTTACACAAAAATAATAACAAGCTCACTTTTTAATAAACCAACACGGATTCTAAAACGTGATTTATTGTTTTTATGGCAATTATTGACTAGAAGATGATGTCTTTTAGCTAGTAAAGTTGGAGCACTCTACGAGTATTAAAAAAAAACAATAGATGTCAATCATTGGTATTGTATTTACGGGTCTTCCTGGAAAGATATATATATATATATATTATATAGGGAGCTCATATATATATATATATATATATATATATATATATATATATATATATATATATATATATATATATATATATATATATATATATACTTCGATAGTTATTGTTAACAGATTTTTTTGACTTAAGAGTCACTTTGTGATGAGATTTTAAGGTGAGCAGAAAAAACTACCTCAATTGACTTAGACAACCTGACATCATCGACAATTTTGTCTGTCTGTGTGCCACACTCCTACACGTATACCCTAACAACACGCACACGAGCCACCTACATGTGTTACCCACCCTCACAACACGCACAACTAGCACTCACAAACCCCCAGCATGTAAACATTAAGTAGACTCCATGCGCCCCTAATGTCTGTAACAATCAAACGTAAATCTTGATCTCATTTCATTATTTGTGTAATCAATCACCCAACTTAATGAACTCTTGCGGAAGTAAACTTTTTTTTTCTGGTAATTAGGCGACCCGTGTTAAAAAATTAACATTCAGGTGTATATAAGAAGATAAAGATCTCAATCATTTAAGAAAGATACAAATCCATCGCTGTGTTGTGTTTTACAATTTGCAAATTGAAGTATTACTTTATTACTGTATTAAACATTACTGTACTAATATTATACTGTATTATCGTGTTACTGAATACCTTAATTACTGGAATACTGTTTTACTATAATACAATATTATCCAACTACTGTATTATAGTTTCACCGTATAACTTCTACTATATTACTGATAATAGAATACTGCGAATTACTGTATTTACTGTAATAATGAAGTAAGATTGCTCGTCTAAGTATTTATATTCCTTTACAGATGACTATCAAAGTTGTATTATTTATATCAGTAAGTTGTGACTGATACTGTTTTATTTGATTGGTTGCTCATAAATAGCCAATCAGCGAAAGATACATTGTGTAAAAATATTTTTTATTGGTTGATATCTGTACCAATGGTATTATGTGAGCTGTGATACTATATATTCATGCAATGTACTGGTGATTTCTGTTTGTTTAAACCTATATGTATGGTTTCTCAGTACATACGGCTATGTATGGGAGAGTGTGTAAGGGCGTAAGTGTATGGGCATGCGTGTATGTGAATATCGAGATGTGTATTGGCTTGCGTTATTGTGTATCGAATTGTGTGTATGGGCGTGTGTTTGTATGGGTATGTGTGTATTTGTGTGTGTAAATGGAGATGTGTATTGGCATGTGTGTATTTGTGTGTGTAAATGGAGATGTGTATTGGCATGTGTGTATTTGTGTATTTGTGTATGTAAATAGAGATGTGTATGGGCATGTGTGAATTTGTGTGTGTACATGGAGATGTGTATAGGATTGTGTTTGCATGAAAATATGTGTGTATAGGTATAGGCATGTGTAAGCTCCAGGAAGTATTGAATGTTAATGTTGAGGTGGGTCAACTTGTGTGTGAAATGTGATGTTCACGTGACGCGTGTGACAGTTACTTGTATTCTCTGTCACTGTTGACTTTGTTGACTCTCTCTCTGTAAATTGCTTAAGTGTATCCGTCTGTCATATTGTTGTGTCCATCTGTCAATAAACAGTGTCCATCTTTCACATCTTATTTGACATATTCTCCCATTATCCAATCATTCCGCACAATAACCACATTCCACTGAAACACCACATTCCACACACCCACACTCACACATTTACTCACCCCACACACCCACACCCATACATTAACTCACCCCACACTCACCACACTAATCGTTTAGTTAATCAAACAATCCTGTATGAGATAACCTCTCCACTACTCTCTGTATTTATTAACGATTTGCTTGTAATTGTCTACATTTATCTGCATAATTTACTTTAATCTCCTAACTTACTACGTGTCCAGTTCTCTACTCTCGCTCTGGCATTCGTGTACAGAATGATTGAACTGTGATACCATTTTTTTTATCCACAACTATTTTCATTTCCTTTTTGGATTAAAATCGTTCATTCCCTTTTTGGATTAAAATTAAATACATTGTTCATTATGTTAACTAACAGTAACGTAAAAAAAATTAAAACGAAATAAATCTAAATGATGTATTAAAGGGAAAGCACTGTGGAAAAACTAAAAACGATGAGGTTATCTTCCCTGACGAAAAAAAATACATGTTAATAAAAATTCATGAAGAACGTAACAAAACCTTGTCAAATATGTATTTTTTTAAATATATTTTTTTAACTTAAATAAATTAACTTTACGTATTTGAAAAACTATTAACTTTTACCTATTTGAAAAACTATTTAATTATTTAAAGTTTTATAAATTCAAAATTTACTCGTTGACGAAGAATCAGATGAATGGAGACGACTACCTGTATCACGGAGTTATCTCCCATTTGATTAAATAAAGCGTTTAACTCGGGACTTTTAATTAATGGAATTAAATGTAAATAAAATAATCACATGTTTCTTGAGAGTGTATGGATGGTTCATCAGACCGTGTGTTAATTAATGATGTAAGAATGTGTGACACACAATGAAGTGTGTGTCGGCATGGTGAGCTGTGTGTCATGACATAGAATTAATATAAGTTAATTAATTAATTAATTAATGTAGATGCATCTTTCCATCATGCCTAACAGTGTACATCAATTTGTTCATTGCTGTTGAAATTTTAAATGAAACTGTGTTAATAAAAGATTGTAAATTACATTGTGATGAGTGTCAGATTTATGATTGTAGCTTGTTTGCTTTCTGTTGGGTTTTTTTTTTTAGTTTTTTTTTTTTTTTTTTAATGATCTGTGTTGTTTCAATTATAGACAAATATACTAGCACTGGTTTCAGATTTTACGACTCATTTTATTTTTAAGTCGCTTTCTCTTAATACAGCAGATTTTCTTAAATCATACAGTGAGGGGTGGGGGTGTGATTAACGCTCCAACTATTAATAGGTCAACAGGTATTGAGTAAAAATCTCCTGAGTTAACTGATAACGAGTATACAGTTCGTGTGTTGACTGTTACTGTGTAAACAATTTCTGTGAACTGTTGACATGCTAATGGTTATTGAGTCAACTTTTCCTCTGTTAACTATTATTGGGTCAAAAGAGTTTTTACTGTCTATGGTAAATGTGAAAACGCTTACGCTAAAAATGGGCAGCTACATGTCCAGCTACCCTAGCTATGCCACTACCCTAGCCTAACAAATACCCTAACTATGCCCCTACCCTAGCCTAACAAATACCCTAACTATGCCACTGCCCTAGCCTAACAAATACCCTAACTATGCCACTGCCTAACTACACAATTACCAAACAACACCACTACCATAGGGCTGGCAAGTAGGTCACCAACCATCTGTACGGCTCAATAAAACCTGCATGAGTCATAGAACTGGTTGGTGACCTTCTTACCAGCCCTATAGCTAAACCACTACCCTCACTAAGCCACTACCCTTACCACGCCACTATCTTCTATCACTAATTGACCTTGACTCAGTTGACACCCACAGTTACCTTCCCTGTCCCTTATCACACCACACCCACAGTTACCTTCCCTGACCCTTATCACGCCACACCCCACATTTCTTAGAATCCGGGCCAACGAGATTAAAATAACTCGACACACCATCGTGTGTGGGCAGCTCTAAACACCACACTGTGAGTGTCCTACACACCACAGTGTGTGGGTTTGACCACAGTCACAACAAACACATCAGCGTATAATGCTACACCCCACATCTCTGGAGGATTTGACACGTGATGTCTAGATTTAGACTATACAGTATAAAGGTAAGAAAACTCCTTAATCAATTATTTAAAATGAAGGCAGCAGAATTGATCATTATTGTTGACATAGATAAAAAGCGGACGTAAAAAAAAAGAAAACATGATGCCTGAAAAAAATTCAGAAATTTAATATTTTTAGAATCGACATAAAAATTGAAAATGCAGGGAACTTGATAATATTTTTATGTGATAAGGCTACATTTCTGTGTTTTTGTTTTTTCATCAAGCCCAAATTCTAAACTGAAGTTTCACTTTCATAATACAAGCATTGATTGGCTGTACAGAAACACAGTGATCGATCTTCAGAAAAGCTTACTTCGTAGCCGATACATTTTTAAATTTTTTTTTTTTTAAAATCACATGGCCTAGTTATGCCATGTTTATAGGCATTTTCAGCGATAAAAAAAAAATTCAGCTTAAATATATATATATATATATATATATATATATATATATATATATATATATATATATATATATATATATATATATAATGTATTCTACTATACATAAGTTGTACATTAGAATCTGCGACAGAAGGTGACACAAAACTGCATATCGGTTAACACATGATATTTATATATCCATAAGATCAAATATCACTGAGGTTATTACTAACTGTGCCATGTCGGGACCAATCCTCATTTCCTTCACTTTTAGCTTAACAAATACAAGTTTAGAACAGCGGGTCTTTAATCGTTTACCGCAATGGCAAGCGCTCGTAGTTCGTCATATTCTAGGTCAACTTACCTCTGTCTCTTATCAACATGTTATTGGGGTTGTTTTTAAGGACACTATACCTGCGGCACCAGGTAAGTTTGTGTGGGCTGGGGACACTTTATAACTTGGGCCTGGTTTCTATAAGAGCTACAGATATTCCAGTCACGCGAGACAGTTTAAAATTTTATTTTCACGACTTGATAAGTTTGACATTTTCTCTAAAAAAAATTATGCGATCTGTACCCACGTGACTCGGTAAATTTCAAAAGAGCTAAATTAGTTGTTTTTTTTTAGGGTTGTAGTAGATTAAACTAACCACCCCTTCCCCTGATAACTAAATTATCAGTGATCATGAAAGCTTAAAAAAAGATAAACCAAATATCAGCTATTGATCATAAAAGCTACAAAAAAATTTAAATAGAAGAACACAAACTACTGGCTTACTAGTGTGTATATCGAGCCTTGAGATAACTTATCATCCAACACCTGAATTTATCAAGTAAATGGCACGGTGACCTGCCCTTGTCACGGTGACCTCCCCTGACCAATATTTTATAACATAATTTTTTTTTCAGTGCAAACCTTTGATTACCACCTTCTGTTTACCTTACGTTTGTCATGCTCAGCTGATCCGCGTGGGTTCAATAGACCATAACGAAACTAAAACCAAAAACCTGGTTCCTGGCCAACTTAATGTCTTAGCCCAGGTTACCTTAACCTGACCACTTGTTTGTCTGGTGCCTTCACGTGACCTCACGTGGCTTACCTACATACGTCACACGTGATCCGGTAACATCCTGGAGTAAGGTGCGGTTCCGGGATTTTTTTAAGTGGGGGGGGGGGGGGGGTCACGGAGTAAGGAGATTTTCCCGCAGTTATTTTTGTTTTATTGATCACTCCAGTAGACCTGGTAGGGTGCGACTCGGTGGGTGTCACCGGTAAGACAAGGTGTACTGTTTTACCTGAGCAGGCGAATCAGACAAGGTGTACTATTTTACCTGAGCAGGCGAATCAAACTCGTGTCATTAACGTTCCTCCTGCAGGTAGTAAAGCTGACAATAGAAGCTCTCGTGAAACACAAGATTATTGTAAGTTTTTCATTCTACGTTAGGTCTGATTATTTTACTCTGTCTCTTCTCTTTTCTCTCTATCTCTCTCATATATAAATTTATATATATATATATATATATATATATATATATATATATATATATATATATATATATATATATATATATATATATATATATATAAATGTATATATATATAAATATATATATATATATATATATATATATATATATATATATATATATATATATATATATATATATATATATATGGTTAGATCTAGGTCACTAGGTATCTCTATATTTATGTCGAGGTATCATTTTGGGTATATCTGTCTCAAGAGCGGTAATTCTTAACCTTTTTGGAGGTACCAAAACCCACCAGTTTCATAATTGCATTCACCGAACCCTTCTTAATAGAAAAAAAATAAAATATGATAACTATGTCGTGCGGTCGAGCTATCGTACTTGAACTGTCATCGGCCGCTAGTCCTATCGTCCGCACAGACAAAATCCGAACCCCTGAGATTGACTCACCGAACCCTTGGGGTTTGATCGAACCCGGGGTATGTATCACTGCTCTAAAGGTCTAGGTTTAGGTCTACTCTATAGGGAGATCAGCTAAGTAAATCTTCCCCTACACACCAAACAATATCAGTATAGACCCCCTTTGCTATGTAAGTGGGCTCGTCTTAGTGTGAGATCATATTTTCCTGTGTTCAACATTAAACAAATATTTAGTCGGTTGAGCCAAGGATCCATTAGACAAGGACCCAGAACGCCGGTCAGGTTTAAAGTTTCCTTAGCTAGTTTTAATTTAGGTTGGCTGTTGCCTAGCGATGATAAACTTACGCAAGTTAGAACAAACATTTCTACTAACATGATTTTAGTTCCGTTTTAGTTCATCGCCAGTTTGGTTTTTAAAATACCTCTCACATTATGCAAAAAAAAAAAATGTATATTTTCTGTAATTTCTAAACTGCTAGACAGTTATTTTTTAGTTAAATATTGTTTCAAACTGTTTTAAAGTATTTTAATCTAGTAATTGTGTGTGTGTTTGTAAACTAACAGTTGATGAATGAACTTTCAGATCTAAGACAAGTTAGATACTGGAGTCTCTGATTGCAGAGGTTCGAATAATTTCTGGGAGATATGGATGACGGTAGGTCTAAACTAGTTTCACTAGCTCTGACTTAGACTAATGGTCCTTTTTGCAGCTAGACTTTTGTTGACATTAAGTAAAACTGGTCCTTATGTTAACCCCATCCCCGCTATGTGGCGGGTGGTCAGGCATCAGGCTAGTATTACAAGTTGTATCCAGGTTTTCTTTAGTCCCTGTGTGAAGTACCGTTCTCAGAGGCGTAGCGACCCTTCCCGGCGCCCGGGGACAAACTTTTCGATTTGCACCCCCCCCCCTCGATCGACATTTCGATTTGCACCCTCCCCCCTCGAGATTTCCATTTGCACCCCCCCCCCCCTCAAACTTTCGATTTGCACCCCCCCCCCCCCTCAACCTTACAATTTATTTTTCCAACCCATTTTGGCGCCCCCTAAGGTCGGCGCCCGGGGACATATGTCCCGCCCCCCCCCCCTCGCTACGCTACTGACCGTTCTTGCCTTTTGTGCTCAAGATATTTGAGGCCCCCTAGAAACCTTTTCAATTCTGCCTGTCTGGGAGATTTTCTTGGCAGCCCCCCAAGATGGTCCTGCCTCTGTTAGTTGCTTTCCTGCTGTGCGCCTCAACGTCTCCATTGACCTTCCATGTTTCGATTTGTCTGTATCGAATTAAATCACAAGTTCAAGGTCGATGTGCGTGGCCAGGACGGTATGGCAGGCTACTGGACCGTCCCAACACTATCACGTGACATTCAGATACCTCCAGCCAGGGTTATGTGATCTTTGTGATGATAATAAAACACTGGAGGCCCCCTGCACGCATGGTGGCGCCCCCCCCCCCTACACGCATGGTGGCGCCCCCCCCTACACGCATGGTGGCGCCCGTAACCAACTATCAAGTAGCAGTCTATTTTCTGAACTATGGCTTTGTTTAATTTTTAAATGCAGCTCAGAATAAGCTTTTCAATTTTTATTCAATCCACTCTGGCGCCCCCCCCCCCCCGTGTCAGCGCTTGGGACGGCCTTACTACCCGCCCTCCCTTAGTTACTCCACACGAAGTTTTAATTAATTAAAGACAGACTTAGATGAATAATTAATTACCCAACCATTTGTTTTTTACATTTCAGAGGCGGATATAAAAATATTTAGAAACGGAATAAATAAAATAAAGAAATGGTAAGTTCATTGTTGCTTTTGCTACCTCTCATTATGTAGACCTACGGTATAGCCTATTTATTACTCAACGCTCATAAAAGCATTTCAATTATTGTAGCAACTTTACCAAGTTTATTTGGCCCCCTCTGTCACCCATGTCCACGCTTGAACTAGTTTCATCATTTTCAAATGTTTGGTCTCTGACCCTGCGTCATAGCAATGATAAAACAGCGTCCATGGCAACCGCCTGACAACAGTGTCATGTGACTTGACTCGAAGCTCTGCGTAGATCAGCTTAAGTTCATGTCACATGGTTCATTTGTGTTTGTTGTTGTTGCTGTTGTTCATGTTTTATGAAGACTATGGTGTTTAGACTTGAAATGCGTATTGTTTAACTTGTTGATAAAAATAATCGTTTTCGCCTTGTACACTGATCCAGTGGCGTAGGCAAGATTTTCTTTCTTTACAAAGCGAAAACGCCGTCCCCAATAGCTGTAGCTTAACATGTGGCTGCCGTCATGCTGGATGGGGTCATGATGGAGTGCTGGTGGGGGGGGGGGGGGTCATGATGGAGTGATGGTGGGGGGTCATGATGGGGTGCTGGTGGGGGGTCATGATGGGGTGCTGGTGGGGGGGGGGACATGATGGAGTGCTGGTGGGGGGTCATGATGGGGTGTTACGGAGGGGGGGGTCATGATGGAGTGATGGTGGGGGGTCATGATGGAGTGCTGGTGGGGGGGGGACATGATGGAGTGCTGGTGGGGGGGGGGCATGATGGGGTGTTACGGAGGGGGGGGGTCATGATGGAGTGATGGTGGGGGGGATCATGATGGGGTGCTGGTTGGGGGGGGTCATGATGGGGTGTTACGGAAGGGGGGGTCATGATGGGGTGTTACGGAAGGGGGGGTCATGATGGAGTGCTGGTGGGGGGTCATGATGGGGTGTTACGGAGGGGGGGGTCATGATGGAGTGATGGTGGGGGGGGATCATGATGGGGTGCTGGTTGGGGGGGGGGGGGTCATGATGGGGTGTTACGGAAGGGGGGGGTCATGATGGGTGTTACGGAAGGGGGGGTCATGATGGAGTGCTGGTGGGGGGTCATGATGGGGTGTTACGGAGGGGGGGGGGGTCATGATGGAGTGATGGTGGGGGGGGATCATGATGGGGTGCTGGTTGGGGGGGGGTCATGATGGGGTGTTACGGAAGGGGGGGGGGGGGGGTCATGATGGGGTGTTACGGAAGGGGGGGTCATGATGGGGTGTTACGGAGGGGGGGGGGAGGGTCATGATGGAGTGTTAGTGAGAGGGGGTCATGATGGAGTGTTAGTGAGAGGGGTCATAATGAAGTGTTGGTGGGGGGGGTCATGATGGGGTGAGGGGTCATAGTGGGGCGGGGGTCATGGTGGGGTGGGGGCTGCCTACGCCACTGCTCTGGTCTACATGTCTATAGTGTGAATATATATGATCATATATTGACAGCTTTAGGGTAGACAAGCCATGTGACCCGCCGGATATACTCACCCTCACAAAATTCACACAACAATCACGTGACCCAATAGATCGACCAATCCAGCGATCAGTTGAAGGCACCAATCAGCTGCCAGAGACAAGTCCACGTGACGATGACGTGTATGACTTCAGCCATCCACGTCGAGGCATTGCCGTGATCATCAACAACGAGAAGTTCCAGACCGAGAAAGATCGAGATGGTTCCGAGGTTGATGCTCGAGCCCTACAGGTCACGTGTGAGGAGCTGGGGTTTGACGTCAGGGTTTACGTCAACAAAACAGCCAAGCAGATGATGACTCTTCTGTGGGAAGGTAAGGAAGAGACGGTGTGACGTCACACTTTTTAGCCGTTATTTCGCGTTTTAGAAAACGGTTTTAATAAATTGTTATAGGAATTGATCAAAATACTCAATGTTGATAGAGCTCTGACAAGAGTTTGGAAAAATTATCGATGTTTTACGAAAAATTCAACAGCAATTTTGAGGTGGTTTTTAGGCTGAGGTGTGACGTCATTTGGGGGGGGGGTCTGGCTTTTTTGTGACGATGTGTGACGGAGGGAAGGGAGGAAGGTAAAAATCGTCAAAGAAGTGTTACGTCATGTATGGATGACCCCAATTAATACTAATAGTTTCACTGTCTGTGTATCTATGTATCTGTGTATCTATCTATCTGACAAGAACGCTCTAGAGAAAACACAAGCAATTTAAAAGCATGCACAGTGAAACGGAAGCGAAATATGACGTCATATTTAGGCCTAGCATATTGTAGAAAATAGAATCAAGCCGGAGAGTGCACACAGTAATATGACGTCATTGATTCTCGAGTAAACATTGAATAAAAAGGCAATTTTGTCTAATCTAAGTGATTTGCGTGAAGAGTTTCTTTCATACAATTCTTCGGGTAGGGGCGAAGCCCCATCCCAGCGTAAGAACGTCATAGCCCCCCCCCCCCCCCTCCCCAACTCAAAAGAAATGTCTTCATCGATACTCTATAATAAAATTACCCCCTAATTAATGTGTCTAATCTAAAAAGTGGTTTTCTTGCAATTTCTTTAATGCAATTCTTCGGGTAGTGGCTAAGCGCGACACCGGTGTTTCTTTCAGACTTTTTCCTCCCCGGAGGGGGGAACTTTTTCTAATCTAAAAAGTGTTTAGCGTGCAGTTTTTTTTTTTCAAGCATCTCTTCCGGTAGGGGCGAAGCCCCGCCCAGATTCTTCCTTTAGTTTGTATGATCTACAAATGCGACCAGTGTTTCTTTCAGACTTTTTCCTCCCCGAAGAGGGGTGGGGGTACTTGAAATTTTCGGGGGCGGGGGTAGAATTTTCCGGGAGGGGGCGGACACTGGAAAAAGTATATAATTATATTTCGTTGAATGGGACGGTAGACATGTTTTGGAGTGTGTGTGTGGGGGGGAGGGGGGCGAAGCCCCCTCCTCCCAAGTAGAGTTGCCTGAAAGAAACTCTACATGCGACTTTTGTCATGAATGAGATTAGGTACATGGTTTAGGGATATGCCTATGACTATATTTTGTATAAATTAAAGTACCGAGAAAATAGACAGCACTATCAACCTAGAGCCCGTTGTATCCTTCCTCAACGGGCCATTTTTTCTCGTGTAGTATAAAATAAGCGCACATAAAGATATATTTTGGAGTGCTAAATATAGGTTATTTAACAACGCTTGTGTTAGTGTACCTTATCACCGTATCAATGCTTGGGGTCTTCCATTAATGAAGCCTCACCTCTACGAGGGAGGGAGGTTCACTTATGGACACCCCACCCCGATACATACAATGTTAGTACCGTGTACATGACCTCTGTTATTACCGTGTACATGACCTCTGTTAACTGTACATGACCTCTGTTACACTGTGTACATGACCTCTGTTACACTGTGTACATGACCTCTGTTACACCGTGTACATGACCTCTGTTACACTGTGTACATGACCTCTGTTACACTGTGTACATGACCTCTGTTACACTGTGTACATGACCTCTGTTACACTGTGTACATGACCTCTGTTACACTGTGTACATGACCTCTGTTACACCGTGTACATGACCTCTGTTACACTGTGTACATGACCTCTGTTACACTGTGTACATGACCTCTGTTACACTGTGTACATGACCTCTGTTACACCGTGTCCATGACCTCTGTTACACTGTGTACATGACCTCTGTTACACCGTGTACATGAACCTCTGTTATTACCGTGTACATGACCTCTGTGTACATGACCTCTGTTAGTACTGTGTACATGACCTCTGTTAGTACTGTGTACATGACCTCTGTTAGTACCGTGTCCATGACCTCTGTGTCCTCAGTGTCCCGACTCCCAGACCACGCCCACGCCGACTGTTTCCTCTGCGCTGTTCTGAGTCACGGGGACGAGACCTGGACGGGACCCACCCGTAAAGACATGATCTACGGCACCGACGGGGAGGGGCTGGCCACTGACCAGATACTGGAACTCTTCAACGACAAATGGTGTCCGGCGCTTAGAGACAAGCCACGCCTTTTTTTCTTACAGGTTAGTAGGGGGGGGGGGGAATTCTTATAGGGCAGTAGTGGGGGGGGGATTCTTATAGGGCAGTAGTGGGGGGGGGGATTCTTATAGGGCAGTAGTGGGGGGGGATTCTTATAGGGCAGTAGTGGGGGGGGGGGAATTCTTATAGGGCAGTAGTGGGGGGATTTTTACAGGTTAGTATTGGAATTATTACAGGTTAATAGTGGGGGGGGGGGATTCTTACAGGTTTGTAGTTGGGGAGAGGGATTTGTATTTTAATTCTGTCTGTTGGACTACTGCCAGATATGTGATCTTAGATATTGAATAAAGGTGTAGATAAAAGACATACAGGCCTACATGCAAGACATGCTACACCGTGTTGAAAATTTGTTGGCAAAAAAACAACTGAATAGATCTAGTTATATTTTGGGGCAGGTCTAGGCCTAGTTTTATTTGTAATTTTTAGAACGGCCTATTCGTAAGTTAGGACCACGGGCAAATGAGATTCCTTAGCTTATATAGCACCAACCTAAGGGAGAAAACTCCTAAATCAAACAACTACTGCCTTGTAGTTTGTTCTTGGGTGAACTAAGGCTATGGAAGAAAACCCAAAAAGAAAAGCAGGCTGATGTCGGAGTCAACAGGCTATATGGAATATAACTTATTGAAACGTAGCATTTAATTATGCTATAGGAAAGCCTCCAATAAAACAATAAAGAGTGAAGAAAAAGAAATGTCGAGAAATAGTGTATACCTATGTTATTACTGCCATTTGTATTTTAATTTGGCTGTGTAAATCGGCATCCCTTAGTGCCGCATGTTGCAATATTGCAACACATCGCGTTACAGCCGTGTGTGGTGTCCGTTGTTTACTGTCATGGTGGGGTTGCTACCACCTGATATCCCATTCAATGTTTTAACGTCTGCTCTACCAGGCGTGTCGGGGTGACAAGGAGGATGACGGACAGCTGATGACCTTGACCCAGCCCATCCCAACCAGAAGCCTAGGGGTCTACCCCCGGAGGCTCCACGTCGCTGGGTCGGGCCTGTACTACGACATGCCCGATCGAATGCCCTGGGTGCCAAGTTTAGGCCCAGACGTGTCAGATTCGGTGCCAGAAAAGGCGGGAGAGAAAAAATGTCTGAGGGACCTGCGAAAGTTGGCCGTCAAACCCCCGACGTTGTACAAAGATTATCTGGTCATGTACGCCACGCCTCCAGGTAAGTGTACATGCAGGCTAACTTGGACAATATAAGACATGTAAGTTAGACAATGTAACTGGCTAACTTGGGTAATATATACGTGTAGGTTAACTTGGACAATGTACACATGTAGGTTAACTTGGACAATGTACACATGTTGGTTAGACAATGTACACATGTAGGTTAACTTGGACAATGTACACATGTAGGTTAGACAATGTACACATGTAGGTTAACTTGGACAATGTACACATGTAGGTTAGACAATGTACACATGTAGGTTAACTTGGACAATGTACACATGTAGGTTAGACAATGTACACATGTAGGTTAACTTGGACAATGTACACATGTAGGTTTGACAATGTACACATGTAGGTTAACTTGGACAATGTACACATGTAGGTTAGACAATGTACACATGTAGGTTAACTTGGACAATGTACACATGTAGGTTAGACAATGTACACATGTAGGTTAGACAAAGTACACATGTAGGTTAACTTGGACAATGTACACATGTAGGTTAACTTGGACAATGTACACATGTAGGTTAGACAATGTACACATGTAGGTTAGACAATGTACACATGTAGGTTAGACAATGTACACATGTAGGTTAACTTGGACAAGGTACACATGTAGGTTTGACAATGTACACATGTAGGTTAGACAAAGTACACATGTAGGTTAACTTGGACAATGTACACATGTAGGTTAGACAATGTACACATGTAGGTTAGACAATGTACACATGTAGGTTAGACAATGTACACATGTAGGTTAACTTGGACAAGGTACACATGTAGGTTTGACAATGTACACATGTAGGTTAGACAAAGTACACATGTAGGTTAACTTGGACAATGTACACATGTAGGTTAACTTGGACAATGTACACATGAAGGCTTGTTTGGACAATGTACACATATAGGCTAACTTGGACAATGTACACATGTAGGTTAGACAATGTACACATGTAGGTTAGACAAAGTACACATGTAGGTTAACTTGGACAATGTACACATGTAGGTTAACTTGGACAATGTACACATGTAGGTTAGACAATGTACACATGTAGGTTAGACAATGTACACATGTAGGTTAGACAATGTACACATGTAGGTTAGACAATGTACACATGTAGGTTAACTTGGACAATGTACACATGTAGGTTAACTTGGACAATGTACACATGAAGGCTTGTTTCTTGACTTCAGCAAATGAAAGGATGGTGTGGTAAGCACTATGCCCAGCCGCCTTTACTTGTGTCAGGTACCTATCAGAGCTAGGTGGACTCAGTGACGTCCCACATTCGTAGTTTGTTGTCGTAGAGTTATCAAGGGACGCTACTCGGGTCCTTCTCCAATGTTTACAAACAAGAATCCTTACTAATAAATGAAACAGTCCAAAACTTTTTCTATTTCAGGCTACCTGTCATGGCGGCGTGACACCGGAAGTTGGTTTATCCAGTCGTTATGTCGTCAGCTCAGGAGCGCATGCGTGATCGACGGCAGAGTTCCGCTGGTGAAGACGTTAACTCGGGTTTGCGGAGTTGTAGCCTTGGAATACAAGACCGGCCAATCCAAGAAAGAGATGCCCGTTATATACTCAATGTTAGTTAAAGATGTTTATTTCAATGTGAAACCACAGACGAAGAACCACAGAAACGCTTTAATAGAATACTATGTGTGATGTTTGTGTGTATTTTCGAGTGTTATGTAAACAATAAAGGCATAAGTATGCGATTTTATCATTTTGTGTGGGGTTTTTTTTTTTTTTTTTAAATACTTTAAAACAAAAAGTCTTTAAATGAAACCCTCAAGGTAAGGGAGAAAGAGGCCGGCTAAAAAAAAAACACCTGGCGACAAGAATACGGTTTCTTTCAGACATTTGTCGGGGGGGGGGTCGGTACTGGGAAACTTACAATTTCAATCTGGACTTCTTTTTCTATTTCGTCCGGGCATGTATCCCAGGGGATAATGCCCTTACCCCCCCCCCCCCACACACACACACACTGGACTAGAACATGACAGATACCACCAAAAAGGGTCGAGCCTACTGAGGAGATGGGCCATGAACTCTGAAGTTGCAGTTGCCGGCCCACATTCAATTTTTTGTTTTAAAAACAAATCAATATTCTTCTATACCAAGGTATGTCATGACGGTCAAGTTGTATAAGTTACTATATAAAAACTACTATGCAGTGTCAAAAACATGCAGTGAAATATCAACGACAAATTTTGAAAAATGTAATGATTGTTTCTGTGTATTCGTCTCGAAATTGGGTTGCAGTCGTACGATTTATTCGTCCATTGATTTCTTGCAATTACATCCGCCTACATTTTCTCAATACGCCGAATTTTTTGCCGGGTTTCATTGTGGTTTACCCTGGCTATCGTCACGGGTCGTCACAAATATTCACACCACCACCTCACTCCTCCTCCGGATAACGTGACGTCATAAAGGTACACAATAAATGCTACGTCACACATCTTAAATTTGTCTTTTTCCTAATACCACACAACATCACAAACGTCTTATTAATCCCACTTCACATCAACTCTACGATCTCTGTTTTTAAACAACGATTTACTACCATTTTCAAAAAAGACTTATTTTTTAATGCAGAGGCCTATGAATGTACTTCATCTCTGGGCCTAACTTTTCTCCGCACACACACACACACACACACATATATATATATATATATATATATATATATATATATATATATATATATATATATATATATATATATATATATATATATATATATATATATATATATATATATATATATATATATATATATATATATAGTTTGAAGTGGCTAGTGTATTAATCCGCATGAGCTCGGTGATGCATGAAGACAAGTTGACCTGACCCTTGCAGGCTTAGTGAACAGAACGTATACCAGGAACTACACGCTTACGTTGTGTGTAGTGGATTTCCTGGAATGTGACATAACATGTGCTCATACAGGGTTTAGTTTCAGATTGTTTGGGCCGTCTCAACAAATCAGTTCTTTGTTACAGCTTTGGTGGCCCTAAAATGTAAGTTGGTCATTCGTTTATGTATGTATGTATATATATATATATATATATATATATATATATATATATATATATATATATATATATATATACATATATATATATATACTCCTAAATATAAATGTGTAGTCCTATTATATGTGTATGTCTTTGTATAGTTGTGACTCTTATAAACTAACAATCCGCTGCTGCTAAAAATTTTGAAAATGCTCCTCACAAAAGACACGATGAGTAACTTCAGCCCTTTCTTTATTTGTGTAACCTTATCAGACGGAGTAAAGAAAGAAATCAGTCAACTGGAGAACGACGTGATCGACGTATATTGGTGAAACAGAGACGTTTCCACATGGAGGACAGTAAGTCTAAAATTGTTGTTTATTGGCTTATGTCTAAAATCGTTGCCTATTTGTTTATGTCTAAGTCTAAAGATGTCTATTTGTTCAAGTCTAAGTCTAAAGTTGTGGTCTATTTGCTCATGTCTAAGTCTAAGGCAGGTGGTGGTCGTACTGGCTGCTGAACAATTGGCGAGCTTAAGTTTCGTTGTCTGTGACTTTTGACCTTAGTAACTCGTGACCTTTGGCTTAATTACATATGTCCTTTGACCCCATTACTAGTGACGTGGTCCCACTATTGATCACTTTTGTTTCCATTACTGGCGACAATTAGAATCTCTAGTTGTGGTCCTTGACTCAATCACTTTTTAACCGTGACCCATCATTGGTGACCTTTGGCCCCATTACTGGTTCCATACCTACCGACTTGTGGTACGGTTCAATCTTAACTCAGGAGCCCAACAAAACAGTCGCAGGCAGCAGACTTCATACAGTGCTGTAAGACCCCCCACCCCCTGACAAATACCGACATTAAAAAAAACCATGTACTATGTGAAACAGCAGAGGTTAAGGCAAGTTAAAAATTGAAGTGAGCTGACTTCCATCCCCACCAGTTAAATGTGGAAACACGTGTATTACATAAAGACAAAATCACTGTTCTCTTAGGGCCTTAGCTTATTGTTGCTATTAGCAATTCTAAACCGTAAAGTCCCTAGTTCGAACCCTAGGGTAGATGAGGTTGGGGACAGCAACTCTTCTAGGAGAGACAATTCCAAAATCAAACAACTGCTGACTTGTTTGTTCTTGGTGTGACAAAGGCTATGGAAGCAAATCCAAAAAGAAAAGCAGACGGAAGTCGGAGTCAACAAGTTGATACGTAATACTTTATTGTGTTGGAGGGAATCCTTCCCAACACTAGAAGAAGTAGAAGGAAGATGATCCGTCCTTGTGTTTGTGTCAAAGTACACTTACCCTTTAGGGCCTGACGATCTATAGGGTAAATGAAGTAGAGTTTGCCTGTTTCTGTCAGCTGGGCTTGTGGTGTGTATTTCCATTAAAAGTATGTTTTTGGTCGGCTAATAAAATCCGGCTATAAAAATGTTGCCACCAGATTTCTAAGTACAACTAGCGGGGACAATGCCACGTGACCCTGCCACATGACAATGTCAGGATTGTGACGTTGTAAATGTTAATTTGTATCAAGGCCCTGATTTTTACTTTCTCGTATATACGAAGTATAGAGAAAGTATTGTAATCGTGCAAAAAAAAATCGAGATTTTTGTAAATCTCGACGTTTTACACCTCCCTGAGTCGGAAAAACATAGTTTTGCAATCTTGTCCGTATGTCTGTGTGTGTGTGTGTGTGTGTATGTGTGTGTGTGTTTGTAAACACGATAACTTGAGTACCGTTACAGCTAGGTTGATGAAATTTCATATATAAGTATTATATCAAAATCGTAGATCCGTAAATTTTTTGGAAGGGGGCGGACACAGGTATAAAAATATGTTTTCTATAAAAAGTATATTTCGTTGAATGGGACGGTAGACGTGCTTTAGGGTGTGTGTGGTGGGGGGGGGGGGGCGCGGGGCAGAGCTTCTCCCCCCCTCCCCCCCCCTAAATGCGACATATTTCGTGTTTGAGATTAGGTGCAAGGTTTAGGGATATGACTTCGACTGGGAACAGGGCATTTCCCCCCTGTCAATTACCCCCCGGATATTTCCCCCCCGACATTACCCCCCAGAGTAATTACCCCCCCTGTCAATTACCCCCCTGTCAATTACCCCCCCGCCCAGTAGGACATTACCCCCCCCCCCCCGGACAGGGTTAGAGTTAGGGTTAGGGCTAGGTTTAGGGTTAGGTTTAGGGCTAGGGTTAGGGCTAGGACTAGGGTTAGGGTTAGGTTTTAGGGTTAGGGTTAGGGTTAGGGTTAGGGTTAGGACTAGGGCTAGGTTTATGGTTAGGGTTAGGGTTAGGGTTAGGGTTAGGGTTAGGGTTAGGGTTAGGGTTAGAGCTAGTGTTAGGGTTAGGGTTGTGTCTAGCTATGGTTTTGGTTTTGTGTGAAGTTTCAGGCTAAGGTGGATGCTTAGGTTTTGGCCTTTTTCTTAATGTTTGGATTAAAGTAGTATATAGGTATAAAATTCTAGTTAGAGTAAGATTTTAACTTGAGAGGGGGGGGGGGGGGGTAATTCCCCGGGGGGGTAATTGACAGGGGGGAAATTGACAGGGGGGTAATTGCTCCGGGGGGTAAATACGGGGGGGAAATGTCCGGGGGGGAAATATCCAGGGGGGTAATGTCCTGTAGCCACTTCGACTATGTTTAATATCAATATGCAGTAACTACGCGTAGATCAAGCTTAATTCCGGTTGTATGCCGATTCTGGGTAGAAATCCGTTTTCAATGACATTTTCGTTTCCGGTTAAAATAAAAGTTGAGGTGGTGATTTTGTTTTAGTTTCGATTTAGAGGAAGAGACAACACTATCAACCTAGCACCTGTTGTATCTCCCTTCAACGGGCCATTTATCTCGTATAAAAATATTCGTGAAAGTTTAGAGGAGATCACTCCCGGTTTATTTTTCATGTAAATAAGTACACGCGTTTTTGTAGTAAAAATAAGAAGTAAGAAGTGAATTGTTCCTGTTTATTTTTAAATTGAGAGCATGTTTTCTTTTTTTATTTGTAGCAGCTGAAGGGAACCTATTTACTAGTTGGTAAGTCAGTTTGTCTAATAGACGTCCCTCCCCCACACCTACCCAGTGGCGTAGCGAGGTCGGGTGTCACCCGGTGAGGCACAATGGTGTCAACCCCCCCCCCCAGAGGCGTAGCGACCCTTCCCGCGGAAAAACGTTCAATTTTCGATTTGCGACCCCCCCCCCCCCTTAAAACTTTCGATTTGCCCCCCCCCCCCCTCAGACTTTCGATTAGCACATCCTAAAAGACTATTTAACGCTCAAATTAATCACTTAATTAAGTGGAATTATCATTTTTCTCTATATATTTTGCTATTTTTTGCCTTGGTGTCACCCCCCCCTCAAACTTTCGATTAGCACATCCTATAAGACTATTTAACGCTCAAATTAATCACTTAATTAAGTGGATTTATCATTTTTCTCTATATATTTTGCTATTTTTTGCCTTGGTGTCACCCCCCCCCTAAATGGTGTCACCCGGTGCGGTCCGCTCCCCCGCCCCCCCCCCCTCGCTACGCCCCTGCCCCTACCCAGTGGATTTGCTAGGTTGGGTGACACCCGGTGCGGTACCTCAAGGTGTCACCCCCCCCCCCCCACACACACACACCTACAAAATATCTTACCAGTACCTGACATTGGTAATCCGGGCATTGGTTGAACTTAGTTACATTGTTATCCGCACAAGCCTACACATTCACAATGTTAATTTTTTGTTGCTGATTTTTCTTGGTTAGGGGAGGGTGTGTGTTGTGTTTTAAAATAAAACTTAGGATCGAAGTATGTTTTTTTTTTTTTCCATAGCGTTCTATTTTATTGTATTACCACTGTGTCACCAATGTACTGTCCAATACCACAGCTTTAGGGGAGATAAATCTCCAGACTCAGCTGACAGAACTGGACACCAATCACGTGATAAACCAGCCCAGGGACCACCCAGAGGCGCCAATCTGCTGCAAGACAAATGCCCGTATGTCGACGATGTGTATGACTTTACTCATCAACACCGTGGCATCGCCGTGATCATCAACAACGTTAACTTTGTAAAAACAGGCCAGCCTGATGATCTAGATGACAGATCCCCGTCCAAGAAAGACGCACATTTGCTGAAGAAAACGTTAAAAAAACTAGGGTTTGCGGTTAAGTCTCACAAGAATAAATCCGCTGATGAAATAGTAACTCTTCTTATAGAAGGTACGTTTGCACAATCTACTTTTTGTAGCTGAATATAAATAACTAATAAATATCTACTAACTACTTTAAAAGGTTTTAAAGTTTGATTTGAAATACTACACTTTACTAAAAAGCCTCTGATTAAACACAACTTTTTCTTGTAGATTATTTTTTATGCCTGATCTAATCTATTGTGTCACCTAATCTATTAAGTTGTCTGACTCTGATCCACTATCTATGGACTAATCCATTTTCTTTTTAAAGTATTGACCGTCTGTGCGACGTCTTATATATTCTCTGTCTTAGTCTCCAAACGGAAGGAGCACGCAGACGCAGACTGTTTTGTCTGTGTGATTCTCACCCATGGGGGAGAGGCGCGTCCAGAAAAAAATGGCCAGCAACCGAGAAAGGACGTGATATTTGGCACCGACGGAGAAACTGTCGACACTGCCGTGGTAATTGATATATTCAGTGATGACATGTGTCAGGCACTAAAAAATAAACCACGACTTTTTTTCATACAGGTTAGTGCAGATTTTTAATTAAACTAGTCTTCATTTTATGAGTTGCTATTAAATTAACAAGTGAAAAAACGTTACATCTTCCTTAATTAAGTCATTAATTAAAGCGATGTTCCTTTTTCACTGCAACTTGATAAACTTAAATAACTTTATTTATTTTATTTGTATTTTTATTTATTTTTTATCACTGTTAATCTTAAAACAATATTTGTTAAACATTTGTGATGTAAAGTTACAATTGTGTAACAACCATTTCGTTACAGGCGTGTCGTGGTGCCAAGAAGGACGCAGGTCAATATTTGCTCCTTAGTAAACATCCTGATGTGTTACTAGGCAGTAAAGCAACTAAAAAAGTTGAACCTAGTTTGGATAAACCCGACACATTACCTGGCAACGAGGAAAAAGTTGAACCTAGTCGAGATCAACCCGATACGTTACCTGGCAGTGAGGAAACTAAAAAAGTTGAACCTAGTCGAGATCAACCCGATACGTTACCTGGCAACGAGGAAACTAAAAAAGTTGAACCTAGTCGAGATCAATCCCATACGTTACCTGACAATGAGGAAACTAAAAAAGTTGTATCAGTCACCCAACCACCCTTGTACAAAGACCTCCTAGTTATGTATGCAACACCTCCAGGTACATAAATATTATTGTGACAATATACTAGGTAACATAAGGGACGTTCTTTGTTTAGTTAGAATATTTCAAGAAAATGATGAAACGAAATATAAAAATTTATTAAATATGTGGACGGGACGATTTGAAGTCGTTTTAGACTATTTTAGAGAGGAAATAAAATGAAAACAGTAAAGACCCCCTTTAAGTTCTAATTATTTATAGGGCTAATGAAGTAGATTTCATTTTTTTTCTTAACCTTGATCAGCACTAGGCTCGTGGTATCCAGGTTAGCAATCGAGCGCTCTACAACCTGACCACGCCGTCCCCGTTTTCGAGAGGATCTGGGTTTTTTGTGACGATATGTGACGATTTCGGTTTCCGGGTTAAATTTGTTGAAATAGCAAGGCGTCATTCACATACATTACAGGAATAACATTTGCCCAACATCTAAATAATCTTCAAGCCATTTATAAACAACAACGATCCGACGTAATCCAATAATTGAAAGAGTACTTTAAGCGTTAAAGGAATTTTAAAAAAAATCTGCATTTGTTAATGTTGTTAAATAAAATTTCATAATTGATAAGCCTTTTTTAAAACAAGGTAATTAAAAAGTCTAGTGACAATTTTAGCGCAATTTCCTTATGTTATCTAAAAATAGCACTGTCGTAGCGTAAATCAAGAGCAGGGTTAGTAAAACCATTGGTTAAAATACATGTTTTATTTACAATAGAGTTACATGACTAAAAACCATTGCGCGCCTAGCTACTGAAAGTGATGACGCAGCCATTGAACGTGATGGCGCAGCTATTGAACGTGATGACGCGTGTGGTGTGGTTGGATAAAAATGCCTATTAATTCGGTCTAAATTTTAATTAATTCAAAAAAAAAAATTGTGACCGAACGAAAGGATATTTTTGAAAACTTTCTTCGGCAATATTGTTCTAAATTATGGCAGGAATCGATTGGTACATGTTTCAAGTCGCTAAATGGTCTGGTTGCCGAGATATGGGCCAAAAACTGCATTTTTTTCTAGGTTTTTTTGGCTTTTCCGGGAAATCCATGAAAGAAACCCGGAATTTTTTGGGCCTATGTTCATCCTCGTAACTTGCTTAACATAATTGCTTTGGAACTAGTCTTCGATATTGCTTCGTTGAGGAGGAGATTCGACTTAAAGCTGCGGACACACATCCATTCATTCATACATTCATACATCCAGAAATGACGGGTTAATAAACGCAATTCTCCATAATGGAAATTGCGCTAAAAAATGATTTCTAACACATATCCTAATGTGTGTACTGTTGTAATTACAGGATATTTGGCGTGGCTGCGAGAAAATGGGTCCTGGTTTATACAGATTTTATGTAGAGAACTCACAAGTAAAGATGTGATCAATGGTACTGTGCCCTTGATGAAAACACTGACTCGGGTGTCTGCCGGTGTGGCGAATGAATACAAAAGCAGCGAAGAAAAGATGAAGCAAATGCCTGTTGTTTATTCCATGCTCATTAAAGACGTTTATTTCACGCAGAAAAAATGACCAATGCAACAGAGTGACCATTTTTGTATTTAAAAAAATTAATTAAATAACATTAAAAACCAGCGCAAGAAATAAGAATCTGTTTCAGTTTGCTGGGTATAGTGTAATTTAAACTATTTAATTTTTGGCTTGTTTTTTGTAAAATAAATTGGTTATTATTGTTTATTCTGAAGTGCTATTAATAATAAAGCTCTTTTATAAACACAGAATCGTTAATCTTTTTTCTATATTAAAAATGAATCTTTATGTAGCATATATAGTCCTATATCTAGGCCTAAGGGGTCATCCATAAAACTCGAAGACGTCACACTATCTGAACACCCCGCTCCCCCTCATCACACATCACGAGTGTGACGTCATTTATAGACGACCCATAAGGAAAATGAAATCAAATTATATTGTCTGAATTCATTCATTTGATTGTTTATTTGTGTAGACCTGTCAGTTCATTTGTACGTTTTTAAAAATGATTTGCAGGACGGATAAATAGGAAAATTGATGTTATAAATTAGTGCTTAACAAGGAGGAGTCCGTGGTTCACTGCTGCAAAAATGTTCACATTAATCGAAATAAAGCGGGAGCGATCTCTCATAAACTTTCTCGGATATCTATATGTAACAAGAAGGGTTGGGATAGCACTTTTTTAAATACTTATATAAAATTTTGCCAGCCAAACTCAAACGGTACCCACGTTATCCTGTACAGACAGGTAGGCAGTTAGATAGAAAGACAAACAGACGAACATACTAAGTTTTTCCTATTCTAGTAAAACGTCGCAAAATCTCGATGTCGATTTTTAGCACGATTACAATACTTCCTCTGTACTTCGTAGACAAGAAAGTAAAAAGAAATGAAAAGTTTATCGGCCTATATGTGCGGTTGTTTAAGAACTGCGCTATTATTAACCTATTGACATTGACTACAATGATTACCACGTTTGCAGGGCATTTCTAATTTAAATAAACAAATCTTCGAACAAATTACTAGTAGTACTAGTAGCCAAGGTTAGGTTAGGTTTGCCTGTCGTCCCTCCTGGAACATAGGCCGCTGACAAGAGCTTTCCAGGTGTCTCTGTCCTGGGCTAGTCTCTCCAATTGTCCCCAGGTGTATCCAATCGTCTTGGTGTCTTCTTCCAGGTCACATCTCCAGGTCTTCTTGTTCTGCCTCTCCTCCTCCCAGAGGCGTAGCGACCCTTCCCGGCGCCCGGGGACAAACTTTTCGATTTGCACCCACCCCCCCCCCCCTCAAGATTTTGATTTGCACCCCCTTGAGATTTCCATCTGCAGCCCCCCTCAAACTTTCGATTTGGACCCCCCTCAACCTATCAATTTATTTTTCCAACCCATTTTGGCGCCCCCTAAGGTCGGCGCCCGGGGACATATGTCCCCCCCCCCTCGCTACGCTACTGCCTCCTCCTCCTAGTAGCCTAACTAGTTCCTAATATAATTTATTTTTTTAAAAAGACGTAAGTTTTGATTCCATTAACAAAAGATTTTGTCACTGAAAGTGTAAGTTAGTGTAAGTGCCATGAAATAAATCAGTCATCAATTTGCGAGATGATTAGCAATTGTTTTAACTGTTTAATCATCATTCCATTGTGGCCCCTGGGGAGCAAAGGACTGCAGCTGCAACTACACATTTCCATCAACTGTTTAATAATTTATCAATATCTGAGAACTACTGTGAAAGACAATTAAGATTTTGTTTGAATGATTACGTTGTATTTTGTTATTTAGAGAATCCTGAAATAAAACAAACTGCTACGAACTGTCTCACGTTGGTAGATCCAGCATTCAAACATATTTAGATAAATAATTCTCTACTAAAAAGGCTGAATGTCTTACTGAAATAGTCTAGTAAATATAAATAAGAGAACAATGAGTCAAGACCAGACCCAAGCTGCACTGATTTTACAATCGCTTCATTTAATTCAAAAGTTAAGGCACGATGTAGGTCAAGTGTTTAAAGATTTGTCCGATGGCATCAGTGAGTATGTGGAAGACAACCCTGAAAAAGATGAAGATGGAACGGGTAATAAAGACGTTTCTAAAGAAAAAAGCTCATCATCCAATCAAAAAGAAGCTGCTATAACAAATATTGAGAAAACTGAGGAACAACATGAAAAACACAGAGCCATATTAAAAACGCTAAAAAAATCCTTAGAGACTATTAGCCATGATTTCAGGTTAGAAACATTAGGCCTAGGCCTAATCATCATTAATAATTAATTAGTATTAGGCCCCTAATGGTAAAACCTTAGTTTAGCGTCGGTTATTATTCCGGAATTGTATAGCAGTAAAAAACAGTAAAACAATGCCAAAGTCTGTCACACACTTCCGGAATTCACCGGAAGTACTGTAAACCATACTTTATTTGGCGTCATCTTTTATTTTTATACAGAATGTTTAAAATTTGGATAGATTTATTTTTGTAATCATTTTTACATTTTGTAATCCTTTTTACTATTTTCATAATCTAGATTTTTTTTAACTTGGCCTAGCAGCTAGATATCTAGCTAGATCTAATTAATTAATGGTCGCAAATCGGCTGCAAGCCAAAAACATAAAATTATTACATTTGACTTCATTATTTATATTTATATTAATATGTTTTTTTTTTATTTTTAGATGTACTAATTTAAATCTACTATTATATTTATTCTTGTTTCTTTTTGTCGATTAAACTTTAAAAAATTAAAACATTAATTTACAACAATCGACTTTCAATTTATTTATATTTCAATGGTCAAATAAACCATGGTTTACCGTAACTCTTGTTACCGAAACTCAACAAACATTACCCGATAATTTCCGACGCTAAACTAAGGTTTTACCCCCCTAATTACAATAATTAGGCCTACACGATTAATGATTAATTTGATTTTAATTAAAATGATAACAAATATTATTTCATTACTTACCGTAATGTAATAATACACATTTACAATGCTACCTTTTTTCCAATCATTATTTTGTTAGGCCCCTAGTATTATTATATTAATTATATTTATTTAGTCCAAGCTAATAATTACTTGATTAGGAGGCCTAGGCTATATTTAATTTTAAGTCTATTCCCAGTCAAATGAGAATCAGAAATTCAGAAACATTAGGCCCCTATTAATTTACTATTATCAATAAATTTAAAATGAAAAAAAATGCCCTTGCAAGTTCAACACAAATTTGTGCATGGTTTATAAATTCTTTAAGGTACCCATTACTCAAAATCAAACAAGTAGGCCTAATACTAATAAATGGCTTATTGGGCCTAAATAATATTAAATATTTATTTTCTCTTGTCAAGTGATTTGGAAAAGACGGGGGCAAATATTGGTCCTGTTCAAATGTTTTCCAATATAGACAACCTAAGTCTTGATCCAGTTGATAAAAATACAGTCACACATTCTCAGCTGTTGCAGTCTTACAAATGGACCAATAAGGTAATTTGTCACAACTATTCACTGTTAGAGTAATTGTTGAATGTTATTATTTTTATTTTCCTTTTGATTCCATTTACGACTGCTTAAAATTTACATATAAAATTGTTAGCATGTAATGTGATGTAGTTATAACTTTTATTTTGTCTAAAGATGCATGAGCTTGCACAGCAAGCAGTCACAATAATGGCACAGAACACCCTGAAGCGTACACAGTCTCCAAAATATACCGGAGCAAAAAAACCTAAACCCAACATGCTTGCTGCATGTCTTGCATCACCACAGTAAGTTTTATTCATTTTATTTAAGTTTCATTTGTTTGACAGTTGAATGGCTTTTAATTTCTATTTAGACTAATTATAACTTTACAAGGAGTCGGTATGGTTGGGTTGCTAAAGCTAATAGTTGCTAAAACAAAAAGTCCAGAGTTTGAACCCCGGGCAGATGAGGCTCAATAGCTGGGGACATCTAGGGGAGAAAACTCCAAAAATCAAACAACTGATGCTAACTGTTAGCATCAGTTGTTTGATTTTATGGCTTTCCAGTAAAAGTCACCAGCCCCAGGCACAATAGTTCATTGATGAGCTTCAATGGCCATGTGTTCATGAGCAAGGCGAGCCACTTAAAAGGAGGCTTCTAGCTGTGGTCAGACATGGAGAGAGGTGGCCACTGCCATGCCACACTTAGCCCTAGACATGCCACTCTGTGGTGCCCCAACCACCCCAATAAGGGTTAAGGGATTATTTATATTTTATTATTATATAAATTTACAACCATTGTATTATAATTAAGCTTCAAAATTCATCAATTGAATTATTGATAAATAAACTGCTGGAACAATTTATGGATATTTACCTTTTAAATCTTATAAACAGGAATTTTATTTTAGTACTAGTAAGCTTTCCACATTTTAATCATATACATTACATCCTCATGTGTTTTTTAAAAAAATCCAACTTTATGAACTTCAAATATAAATATTTGTGTGGATCTAATTGATACCATTTTCTGACAGATCTTTGTGTTTTTTCTTATTAGAACTGTAGAGCATCTTGTGATGGCATTAAATAAAGAATACCCAAACTCAAATTTTACTCTGACACGACCTCTTGGAAGCTGTGGTGTCATGCAGGTAGCTGTTCTAAAATTTATGTTATTGCCTATTTTTTTTATTGAAATATCATGATTTACATTTAATTTACAAAGTTTCAATTTTAACCCTTTCCCCGGCGACTGGGTGTAATCGACCCGAAGTCGCTATATTTTTGCTCATATCTCGAGTCTCGTTTTATAAATTTTTCTGGGCCTCATTCCCATCTATAAGGTGGTTGGGATGAACACATTGGAGGTTGTAAATTTTAAAAATATGCGTAAAAAATTTTTTTATGAGGGTTTGAAATTTTTTTATAAGGTCCCTGGCAACTGGGTGCTACACACCCGTACACAATTTTGAATGGAAAAAATATTTATAACTTATAAACTGGCTTCTAACAATTTGTTTTTACTCATTGTGGGTTAAGTCATTGTGTTACATTTTCAAAGTTTAACTATAAATTAACAATCCGAAGGTATTTGAGTAACAAAAATATCAAACCGGATTGAAGTAATCAACTTTAGTAATAAAATAATAGAACATTAACATATTTTAATCACTTGCACCTCAGAGAGCACAGTTGTTAGATACAATTAAAATAACTGGACATTTCCTCTTGCTGGCAGGGAACTTTAGTTTTCTTTGACAAAATATGGGCACCCTTTTAGTGGTGTTACATGAGTCACAGGCCCAAAATATTTTAATTCCATACTTATCGGAATTGCTTGGTATGTATTAGATAAATCTACTCCCACCTCTAAAATCAACCACTTGCTAATTAGTAATGATCTCTCCAGAAACATAACACCTTTCTAAACTTGAATGGAATATCTACCATAATGGAAGCAAATATACCATGAGCCTGATGGACTGTTAGTGTTATTGCTGTGAAGTGAATATGACCCAGAAGGTTGCTGAATTTCTTCATAGAAAATTCTGCCTTCAAAAACTTCCATAAGCAGAACTGAATTGACATACAACTAAATTGTTATTCTGCAGAGTGCCAGTGTCTCCTCTTGCTTTCTCTCCATCCCTGCTAATGCAGTCAAATATTGGTTGTATTATTTTTTGTATTCATGTACAGAAGAAATATGTGTCAGGCTGTTTATAAATTTCCTGGAATTAGCACTTCAGGCAGTGGTCTAGTGTACTGTTACTTTGTCTTTCCTGAAAATATTTCTTTTTCTTCATTTTGCACCAGCCGTTTCATTTCATTATGAATGCCAACTTGTTGACACATTATTGATAGTTGAAATGCAGTATATTGGGTAGACCTCGTCATCAGAGCTGCTTGAAACTGAACCAGCATTGTCTTCAAGTAATTATGGCTGCCATTCTTCATCTTCTACCTCTGATACTGATGGCTGCCATTCTTCATCTTCTTCCTTTATCATTAACACTTGAGTTTAGACAAAAGCGTTCAAGACTTGTTTCTGTTGTGTTCTCAATAACGTTTGTGACTATTTATAAACCTTACTCTCAGGGTCACAACCTGTAGAACATCCACCCCACTCCCAGTTTGATCAATTAATTGCCCAGTATTAACTTTCAAGCAGCATTACAAAGTTGTTTTGCCTTTTTGTCCTCATTCGTACTCCTAATGAGGTTAATGTCAAGTTACTCTAAAAGGCTCGAATGTCTCTATCTACATTCCAGAGCTCACTAAAAGAGTACAAATCACTATATATGTCCTCCCACAGGCAATCTTACCCCTGCATTTCATTAACCTATTGTAACTCTAAACTACAGTTCTGTCTGTAACTGCAAGTCAGAGCTCCAGCAAAGAGTATAAATCACTACATGTGTCCACCCACAGGTTAACTCTAGCTTGAGAATCCCATCAACCTGTAGTATCATATTACAGCTCTCCCATTGACAACAACATGTCTTGTGTTCCCCATGGCCACAATGCCCTGAATACCTTAACTGTGTCAGTATTGTTACCCACCCCACAATGAAGAAAGAAAAGAATTTACTATAAGAAAGTCTTTGGGTGTGATCCACCCAGTTGCCGGGGACAGGGTACCAAATATGTTGCCGGGGAAAGGGTTAAAAGATAAATTTGATACAAGTCCTCTATTATTATAAATTATATAATAAATATATATGGTTATTATCTTTAGATTGAATTGGGACGAACACTAAGAGCAATTGTTGTATTGCGTGGTCTGACAATTGAATGGGTTAAAGTGAAAGGGTTTGACGAAACCTTTCAAACTGAAGATGGCCAGGTAATTTTTTGTTTAACATTTAGTGTATACTAACGGTAACATTATTTTAATAGATATTGGATTGTGAGGTATTTCAAATGAATGTTTTTATTAAAAATCCTTGATTTACAAATTCAAGGGGAATAACTTCATATTTTTACCTCTAGAATATATAATTTAATGTTACTTCTTTTTTACATGGTTAATTGTTTTGTGAAATTTTACGAATTGTTTTTAATAATAATTTATTTTAGGTTGATATTTGGTCCAATTCTCGTTATCAAGTTTTCCAAAAGGTTGGTAAAACAGATGAATAATTACTTGACTCCAATTAGTTAACTTAAATATTATCAAATCTAAGATCACATAGTTTCTTATAAATTACACATTACATAAAACCAAATCTAAGTCCCTGAGATTCTTATAAATTACAGATAACACATCATGCAGTTGCTGCATCTTTGCATTACTATGCACCAGCCATTCCAGAAATAGCTGTAAAATCATTTGTGGTAAGATAAATGCTTTGTTACATTAGTAAATTGTTTTGACTATAGAAATAGAAGTTAAGTACACTTGCAGACTTGATGATCCATTTGGAGATGAAGTAGAGTTCATCTGTTTCAATGACCTCAGCATAGGAAAAGATTGTATGGTCAGTGATGTCCCGTAGATTGTAGCCCTTGAACTTAAGTTGAGAATTAACTGGGGGGTGGAAATTGTGTGTTCAATAAATTCTTTCTTAGTTATGCCCTTGTAGGTTTAAATTAGTCTTTACAACTGACATCAATTTGACTTTGATCAACTGGCATGATTTCTCTTTTGACCATTATATTAAAAAGACATAAATCTAAGATAAACTGTAATAGTATTAGGGACAGCAAGGCCTAAGTGGTACAGCGCTAGGCTGCTAACCCGAAAGTCTCAAGTTTGAATCCGGGTCCAATTCAGTAGAACATCCCTGAGTCCACCTAGCACTGATGGGTACCTAATTCATGTTACGGAAAGTAAAGGCGACTGGGCAAAGTGCAGACCACACCTTCCCTTTATATGCCAAGGTCAAGAAACATATATAAACTCTACTTCATCTGCTCAATGGATCAATAGGTCTAAAGAGGATTCTTTACTTTACTTTTTATAATTGTATTAGCATAATATATCCTTGTCATATATATTATTTTGGTGAATTTTTTTTTATTGAAGAATATGCTTATAATTAACCGATCACACTTAAAAATAAATCTGTTAACATTTTAGTCTTGGTTAATTGGTTAAATTTATTTCAGCTGTGGCTGGAAGGGTTTGGCACTTTGTTTTCAACTCCATGTGTGAAGTGTGGCAAATATTTACAGAACAATATGCCACCAACATGGCGGGACTATCGCAGTAGAGAAGCATTTCATGATCTGTGCAGGATGTAAATAGTTCCAAGTTTCCAATATGGGATGTATTACATACATAGTTCCACTGTGGAATGTATGTAAGATGTATGTTTACATTGGGATGTACATATTTTGTGAGAAAGCAATTAGTGAATAATTGTCCTTTTATTATTGTCGTCATAAGCTATACATTGTACATAAAGTTACTTTGAAAAAGTTGTCAGCCTTTGTTCTTTATTTGAAATCTTATCAATGTTTCAGATCACAAGCCTACAACTTATATCTATTACAATGTACTGAATTCACCTAAAAATTTCTTGTAATGTAAAAGAGTTTGAATGTACTACTACAGTATCTTACATTGATGTAGTGATAAGTACAAAATATACATTAGTACATTGGAAGTATCAGTGTTAAACTAGACCAGAATTAGAAATCTGCTGTAAATACTAAAGCATTTTTCCTTAACATGTTAAATCTTTACTACTCAAATCAGAAATTTCCGCTGTAAAGCTATTTTGTTTACAGATTATTATCTTAGTGTTTCTCTTGAGGATCCTTAGCCCATGTGCATTATATTGACTTGGCTGGTAAATGGGGTTACTTTTTGTTTTTAGTATTATTTCTATATCTAAAAGAAAGCTGGATAATGGTAGCTGCTACGTGCCTATATTTAAATATTGAGAACAATCAACAATTATTCTTGATTACTATAGAGATTACCCGAAATTGACACATCTACTTTAAAAAAGGGTATACATATGAAATTGCATTTTTTTAAAATTTCAAATAGGCCTTAATAATTATGCTGAATAAAACTATTTAATATCTAAGCCAATGAAACATCAAAATGAATTAGCCTACATACAAAATATGAAAATTTTAACTGTTTTCTTGTAAGCCACTTATTTTTATCATGTATTTAAACTGGAGCAAAAAACTTAACAAAATGTTGGCACTAAACCCTATCAGTAAAAAAGTAAATTACATTTTTTATTTTAAAAAAACTGAACATCTGTAATTCAATTTGGAGACAGATAAGAATTTTAAAAGAGCTGCATGCTGCCTACACTTGCCTCTATGGTTGTATTATTTTCACTACCTTGTTATACGAGGGCTGGCACACATTTATGCATGCTACAATGACAACATGGAAGTAATAGACACAGAAGCATGCGAGCAGGGGCGGAACTACAGTGCCGCCAGACCCCGCATTGCGGGGGGGCCCGGGACGTTTAGGGGCCCGCAGCAGACCATAATCAATTTTTTTACAGTTAAAAAAGAATAATCTTCTTGCATTTTTGACTTGATGGATGTTTTGTAAAAAGAATACTGCAGCTGCGGTTGGATTATCTTTATTCTATAGACACCATCTCGAGTCCTCTTTCTCCTACAATCAAACATGCTGTTGTCGGCGAAATTCTTTTGAAAATAAATCCATCGCGTGAAAGATACGCAAACGTTCAAACCACTTCCATGACTTATTTCCCTTTTTTTAAATAGTCAAATATGTGTGCTCTTAAGCATCTTTTAATAGATTTGCATTAAACAAATTAAAAAGCAATTACTTCTCTTAATTATTATTTTTTTAAAAAATACATAATAAAGAATGACAAAGCATAAAACAGAAATGTATTTAAAACTAATAATATAAATAAAAAAAAAACAAAAATAAACATAGGGCAAGAAACCATTACACATACACAGCTTTCATGCTTCATATTATTTCGACTGTCTCATCCATCGGAGGCATAATTGCTAACATATTAAAAAGGAGATTTTCAAACCCCCCCTCACCCACCACGCCGAGGGGAAAAAAATCCCTTGAATCATCATTTAATTACACATTTGCATTTTCAGGTTGTTTTTTTTTTTTATTATTTTTTTTATATTTAGACGTTTTGTATTAGATCTATGTAAAAGTAAACCATCTTAAATGAATGAAAGTAGGCTACAAGTAAGAAAGAAATATTACTATTGTAAATCTGTATCAGTCCTCAAAAGCCGGTGATGAAAACTGTAATACTAAAGCGAACACACACAACTGACGCTGAAAATTATATGCCTGAGGCAAAAAAAAAAATTTAAAAAAATTAAAAACAGACTAGATCTAATAGCAGTCACACAAATGAAGTGGTGTAACTTGTTTTTACTTTTTAATAAAAACTATGCATTTTTAATTTTTTTTTTTAAACTCGAACAAGCCCGAAATGAGTATTCTATGTATCATAGTTTCGTCTATATATATATATATATATATATATATATATATATATATATATATATATATATATATATATATATATATATATATATATATATATATATATATATATATATATATATATATATGGGGCCCAAAAAATTTCTTTGCGGGGTGGCCCTTTTTTTCTAGTTCCGCCACTGCATGCGAGTCTTAAAGTTCGAAGCTTGGTAATAGAAGGTGGATTGGTATGGTAGAACTTAGCATACATCTTTTACAGGGGTGGGGGCAACGAGGGAAAGGATCGCTCTGACGTGTTTTATCACCCCCCCCCCCCCCCATACGCATACATTTAAATTACAAATAAAGTTCAATAATGCTTTTTCCTGTTTGGTCAATAACTGAAATTAGTCCAATATGCCCTAACGTATAATCTATCATGTTTGCTAATTTCGAGATCTTGTACTATTTTCACTTTTAAATGTGTATAGAAAAATTAGTAAAGAAAAATAGAGCGTTACTGGTGTGTAGTCAATAGATAGTTATTAGATAGGACTATGCACAGGAATAAAGTGAAAAAATATTGTCACAACATATCTTTACTAATAATTTTAAAACATTCATCTTCCGTACCTGTAGTTTTGATAGGCAAAGTTTATGTGCAAAGGCCTTGATATTGTCCATCTGATTATTTATCTTATCATATTTAGTGCTCATTAACAAATCTGCTTACCTAGCATGATCTACGTGGACTTAATTAAAAAGTTTGACCTTAAACCCTGGCCGGCCAAGATAAGCTCATCTAGTATGTAGACATTTGTAAACAGGCCTATGTACTGATATATGAGGTGAAGCGAAACTCGGGATAGGGCAAAAATATATAAAGTGCTCTAAGTATAAAACAATGCTTTATAGGCCTACCATGCTCAACCACCCCAACCCCCAGTTTTCTTATATCCTTAGGGGTCATCCATAAATGACGTCACGCTTTTCTTGACGATTTTCACCCCCCCCCCCCACCTCCGTCACACATCGTCACAAAAAGAAAGCCCCCGCCCTAAAATGACGTCACACCTCAACTTACACCCCCCCCCCCCTCAAAATTGCAGTTGAATTTATCATAAAACGTCGACATTTTTCCAAAATCTTGTCTAAACTCTGTCAACAACGTGTATTTTAATAAATCCCTATTGCAATTTATTAAAACAGTTTTCTAAAACGCGAAATAACGGCTAAAACTGCTTTTTTATAATGCAAAAGAGTGACGTCACACCATCTGAAAACCTCACCCCCCCCCCCCATCATCACACACCGTCACTAAATTACGGACCCTCTCCTCCGTCTACCAATGTTACTACATCGTTTATGGACGACCCATTAGTTAGACCTCTATATGCCCACTATGCCCACCAGTTTTGTGTTTAGCCAGAACGCCACCAGAAGAGAAACCACATGTAACATGATTGGGTGCAAAATGTAGATGGGTTAATGAAAACTCCTTTGATTACTGACAATTAAATAAATACAAATTTTGCAAGAAAGACACTAGTGAGCATCCCATTCTCACTCCTACTCTAATCTTATTATCTTAGGGGCAGTTTTTCTTCCAGACTTTTTTCTCCGGGGGGGGGGGGGGTGGACGCTGTTAAAAGTATATATTTTCTATATAAATTCCATTTCGTTCGGGGGAGGGGGGGGGGGGGCGACTCCCCGTCGAAGAGTAGCCTGGAAGAAACTCTGCTTAGGGGTCTCCCAAACATAACATCAGATTCTCCCCTTTTCAGCCTCAACGAATAATTCCTAACAACCAGCAGGGCACCATATAGATGACCCCCTTACTCCTTTACTGTTTTTAACATTTATTTACTTTGACGCTCTTAAAAATTATAAATCCTACATAGATTAAAGCCACCCTAACTGTAATCAAATTTTAACCTTCAAAAATATGTAGGTCTAGATGTGTGCTAGGAGGCTACTGCTTGCTATCTCTTTATCTTAGTTTACAAGCCGGTCACGTGACATTTTGTATCATGTGACTGACTTTGTGAAGAAGTTTACTTTCACTTTTCACTTCAGGTTGCAGAAGTTTGGTCTTCATAGATGAAATAACATTGTTTATTTTACGCGTTGTTTGCCATCATGTTTCATTTACGCAGACTATTCTTTTTAGCAGCCATTCTGATTTTCTCCGAAGCACATTATCTGAATCCAAATGGAATAAAAAAAACTGAATTAAGCGGCCCCCAACAAACTCAGGGCCAGCCATGGCCTTTGCCGCAGGTTTACAAGCCTACACCTAACGTAGTTTCTTTAGATATTCTTAACTTTCAGTTCATCAATGTTGGCGTTAACTGTGAACTTTTAGTTGACGCATACAAAAGATACAGCAAAATTTTATTTGGAAATACAAGGAAATCTAAGTAAGTACACTAAAAAAGAGGTACCAAACTACAGAGTTTAGTGAGTCTCAGGTAAGAGAAGACAAACAAACCATCTGTCAACCACAAGCTTATTCAACAAACTTCACCCTTACGACTTAACAGTTAAGTTAACTGTGACGACTTATTGTGACTAACAGTACATGCTTACTACATAGTAACTTGAAAAGCTACCATAATCAATATTGTAGTTATTAAATATGTATAGGTCTAATTATTATTAATCCACCATAGCCATAAATAGATAGTGGCTAGTCACAGGCATTAGTCACAGGGGTCATCTCATCAATCGTTCAGATTATTATACACACACATACATATAGACAAGCCTATATTTTAGCAGCTTTTAGTAGCCTATAACTATAGGGCGTGTATATATATATATATATATATATATATATATATATATATATATATATATATATATATATATATGGCTACAGGACATTACCCCCCCCCCTGGAAAATTACCCCCCGGACATTTCCCCCCGTATTTACCCCCCCCCCCCCCGGAGCAATTACCCCCTGTCAATTACCCGCCCGGGGAATTACCCCCCCCCCCCCTCTCAAGTTAGAATCCTAACTCTTACTAGAATTCTATACCTATATACTACTTTAATCCAAACCTTAAGAAAAACACCAAAACCTAAGCATTCACCTTAGCCTAAAACTTCACACAAAACCAAAACCAATGCTAGACACAACCCTAGCCCTAACCCTAATCTTAACCCTAACCCTAACCCTAGCCCTAGCCCTAGCCCCAAAAACCTAACCCTAGCCCTAATCCTAGCCCTAACCCTAACCATAACCCTGTCCGGGGGGGGGGTGGGGGTAATTGACAGGGGGTAATTACTCTGGGGGGTAGTGTCGGGGGGAAATGTCCGGGGGGGGGGGGGTAATTGACAGGGGGGAAATGCCCTGTTCCCATATATATATATATATATATATATATATACAATATAATATAGTATATAGCTCTTTAAAATTTGGTCTACTAACTTGTTCTAAGTCAGCTAAACAGCACATGTAGGCCTATATCCATTAATTTTCAAAAAAAATTTAAATAATTAAACCTTAAGCACCAATACCCAAGAGACATAATACTATTTGCCGTATTTGGTATACATTTTGAGCTGTCGCTAGAGCATTTCATAGCATCACCCATTTACTATTATAGATCCTGTAGCGCTATGTCCTTAAGTCCACCCAGTTCTAAAGGGTAACTAACACACATTAGGGAAAGTAAAAGCAGATGCTGAGTTGTGCATAATGTTAATCACAGTATCCCTTCATATGCTGATGTGACAGAAACAAGGTGAACTCTGCTTCACCTGCCAGATTCAGAAGGGTAACTTTACTTTAGGGCTATAAAATATGTTCACACAAACAAATGATGAAAAAAATACAGTTTTGGTCTGTATTACTAGTCACAAACATTAGTCTTCATTAAACTCAGGTAAGCTTGGCAAGAAAGCTAAGTACAATAAGATGATAGCTTGTCAAAAGGAAGTTGTCATAAATCATTCTTTCCTATCTAGTTTAATATGCTTTATTTACCCATGTACTTAGCTAAACTAATGATTTTCATATAATTTTGATAGCAACTTATCTCATTATTGTAACTTTGTATATACTTTTACAGTCCTCTATACTTTAAAAACTCTGACTCTACAAAGACAGATGCATTGCTTAACAGACTGGTCGTCAACTCAATTACTGGGTGCCATGGTGGACCAAGTTTTGATTCAGATGAATCTTGTAAGCTGTTATTTTTTAAATTCTTTTCTAAAATAAATTGAGCTTTACATTTCGGTTGGTAAAGGAGTTTTACCATTTTTGTACAGTCTTGGAACGTTTCAGTTTGTTTTTATGATGCAAAAAAAAATCTGTTATACTTCAATTCACCCCTTTGGATTCCTAGCAGAATGAGACCCTGGGCTTCAACAAACTATAGGGGGGCTTGTTGCATTAATAAAAACAGTGAAAACAATCTCGTCTGGCCCCATACTACACCCACATAGTGTTGTCTGTTGTGTCTTAACAAACAAAAATCTCCATTGTAACAATAATACATGTTTTAGTATACTAATATGAAGTCAATCTCACAGAGATTGTGAGTAATCAACATTTACAAATTAAAAACCTTCTAGCATATTTGTGCAATTTTCTGATTTCTTCATGTCAATAACTTATAATTGGATAATCCCTAATGTAGAAACCACTTGTATTATGAAGTTAAAATTTATATTTTGATGTATAGACACACTGTCAATAACAACCAATGGAGCAGTACTTACTTCAAATCAAACATGGGGTGCAATCAGAGGACTTGAGACCTTCAGTCAACTTGTCTATCGTCTAAATACAGGAGAGGTATTTTTTTTAAGTATATTTCTTTTACTTTCATCATAAATATAATCATATTCTTGCTAAGTTTACATGAGCAATTAAATAAGCTGCCATTTGTAATGTGTGAAATTTTCCCATATTAAGCTTACATTTTTGAAAATGTAGGCCTACTATTAACTGCTAGTAAAATTCTTTTAACTTTTTTGTGGTAATAATTCTGTCTTGCTTGATTTACAAAAAGACATTTTTTACAACTGTAACAAGTTAAATAATATAAAATATTTCCTACCAAAGTTTCATTAATTTAACGCTTTAATCCAGTATGTCGTCAATGTTACTGAAATTACGGACTTTCCTCGCTTCAAACACAGAGGTGTATTATTAGATACATCACGTCATTTCTTGAAAAAGGAATATATCTTGCAAAATCTTGTAAGTTTTTTCAATTATATAACAGCTAGAAATAATAGAGAGCCTGGTTATGCAATTATTAAAATTTAAGCCATTGTTTGAGGCTGTTTAATTTAATACTGTAAAAACTTAGCTGCTGACTATCTAAAGACAGATGAATAATTAATCTAGCCTAGAGAAATTTTTGTCTAACTGGGGATTATCTTTTAGCTCATGCTTCTACAAGATGTGTTTGATATTTTATACCCAAATAGATAAAGCTAGCTCAGCTTTCTATTATGTAATGACCATGGTAAAAACAGGAATGGTTTATATTTATATATTAAGTATTTTCCATTTCTTTACACAATGTGTATTAGAACTTGTATGTTTGCAGGATGCCATGGCAATGAACAAATTTAATGTATTTCACTGGCATATTGTGGATGATCAGTCTTTCCCTTATTACAGCAGTGAGTTTCCAAGCCTGAGTCAATATGTAAGTACTATTTACAAAAGTAGTTAAATCTAATCATAAATATATACCTGACTTTAATTACACATTCCTGACTTTGATTAATTACACATACACTTACTCTTAATAAATAAAATACTTAAATGATGTACTTTTTGGTGATTCATTTAAAGAACTGAAACCTTAGATGGCAAAATAATTTTAGTGTAGGCTGTGGAATCAAGTCGACAGTATAAAATCATGTGTATGTTCCACAGGGAGCTTACAACCCACGAACACATATTTACACTCCAGCTGATGTCAGCGAGATTATTCAATACGCCCAGTACCGTGGTATCCGTGTCATGGTTGAGTTTGATTCACCAGGTACACATACAAGTTTCTCTGATCTATAATCATATAATCTAAATTTCTAGTCTTTACTCGCTGTTATAAAAGTAACATTTTATCAATTATTTTAAGAACTTAGTTTTAAATTACATTTTTTTTTAAATTTGATTATTGGTTAAAAAATGTAATTTCGTTTAGGTCACACTCTGTCCTGGGGAAAAGGTCAGTCTGGTTTACTGACCGAGTGCTACAGTGGTGGTGAGTTCAATGGCAACTATGGACCAATTAATCCTGCAGTCAACACATCATACACCTTTCTAAAAATGTTATTCACCGAAGTAGCAAGTGTTTTTCCTGATCATTATATCTTTCTTGGAGGAGATGAAGTTGATTTTTCATGCTGGTACAGTGTTGGTACTACTCAGTATCAATTATATTTTTTAAGAACTTGATTTGTAATAGAATTTATGTCAGTAAATTAATAATACTTAAAATAATTAGACCTACTTATATAGATGTTAAATAAAAACTATTAAATACTGCTCGTTTTAACTATTTCTTTCCCAGTTGTATCAGTCATGCAATGCGTAATAATAAATTTTATTTTTAATGGCTTCAAATTTTTAATAAATATTTTTACTTATATTCTCATTCAATACAGCTTGACTATGGTCTATAATTATAATTTTAAAACTTCATCCATTTATTTCAGGAAGAGTAACCCAACAATTACAAGTTTTATGCAAAAAATGGGTTTTGGACTAGATTATTCTAAATTGGAGGAATACTACATGCAAAAGTAATTATTTTTAACAACTGAAAAATTGAGTTTAAAGCTTTTTCAAATATTTTAATATTTATAGTAAAGTAACATATATTGTAATTCTCTTTTTTTTTTTTTTTATTTCAGTCTTCTTGATATAATCTCATCACTGAACAAAGGTTACATGATTTGGCAGGAGGTAGTTGATAATGGTGCAAAGGTGATCTATCTTAATTTTTTTTATTGTAATCCAACCAATCTTAATTTTTTTTCAACCTGGCATCCCTGGTATGCAGAAGTGAAGACTGTAGGGGAGCACACTCTTGCTAAAAATATTCTCTGAGTAAAGTGCTGCATGATGTTGAATTATTCTAAAAATTAAACCTATCAATCATCATTGAAGGAAACATGTTGGTCTATATTTGAAAATTAAGTGAAATACTGGAGTAGTTTTGTACACTCACCATCACCTTTAATGATGCGTGTTAGGAAATGGCTTGACTTCACTTGTTTGATGTAGGTGAATGATTACATTAAACATATCCCTGATGTGTTATAGAAAATGGCTTAGCTTCTGGTAAAAATTTATTTGTTTGATTAAGGTGGCTGAAGACACTATTGTCAATGTGTGGAAAGATGGCTGGCAAGATGAAATGGCTAAAGTTACTGGCATGGGTCTTAAAACTCTATTGTCAACTTGCTGGTATCTCAATTACATTAGCTACGGCAGTGACTGGCAGAAGTATTACAGCTGTGATCCACAAAATTTTAATGGTAAATATTATAGCTTTTCTATCAAGTAAATCTTACTTTCTTTAAGAGCAATAAATGTTACCGTTCCACCACATGTTCAATGCATTTTATACTAACATCAATCTCTGTTCAAGGACTTTATCCATTTATTTTGTGTTTTCTCAGGTACAGCAGCACAAAAGGCATTGGTGTTAGGAGGGGAGACAACAATGTGGGGAGAATATGTTGATGATACAAATGTTATGTCAAGACTATGGTAAGCAAGCCAGTAGGCCTATATGGTCAAAATATTATTGATGTTATTATTAGTGCTCTTGAAAATATAGTACCAAAACTTTGTTCTCAAATTTTATTCCAAAATGCTTCAAAATTCCAAAGTGCTTCAATATTTTTTCTTATATAATTTATTGAACTTCTCTATTTTGGGTTTTCATTATAAACAACAAAAGGCTCTGTGACTTATGTTTACCCTATTATCGGAATAGAGCAGCTAAATATAAGCTTGTGTGTTTACCAAATGGAGCTCCATAACCCCAACACCACTTCAACTAGAGGACATATGCAACTCATTTTTAAAAAGCATTTTACAACTTATTTTTAAAATTTGCAAAATGGTATGTATTTTTGAAATAGGTTAGAATAAGGCCAATATTTTTCACATTCCAGGCCTCGTGCTGCTGCTGTGGCTGAAAGATTGTGGAGTCCTGCTGCTGGGGAAAATGTGGATTTCAAAGCGGTTGAGAACAGAATTGCTGAGCACAGGTGTCGAATGGTCAGGTATGTGGTGCAAGACTGATTCAAATTTAAATGTAACCAATTTAAATGTAACAAGTTTAAATGTAAACAGTGTAAATGAAATAATTTTAAATTTAACAAGTCTAAATGTAATAATTGTAAATTAAACAAGTCTAAATGTAATAATTGTAAATTAAACAAGTCTAAATGTAATAATTGTAAATTAAACAAGTCTAAATGTAACAAGTGTAGAATTTTAGTTTGTGGAAATGTCATTTAAGGTTTAATTTTCAGGAGAGGATTTCAAGCTGAAGAGTTACTTGGCCCTGGATACTGTGATGAGGAGTATTGATGAGCAGTTATGATTTGCTTCTTACAGTGTACCCAGTGTACTGGGCTACATTTTATTAAAACTATTTTTTACTGGAGTGATTGATCACAATTTTTGTAATTTATATAATTCATGAAAATTAAAAATACTTAAATATGATGAAAGTTATAGTTGTATTAAGCCTCTGCCTGTCAACATATTATGTACCCTGTCCCTGGCAACTAAATGGACTACACTCACACTTTTTATATTGGGAACTATTTATTATGGCTTTTTGGCAACTGGTTGATTACACTGGGTGAAACTGAGCCACAGTTTAAGGTATTCATGGATGGGTGGCCAGTGAAAATCACATCCATGCTACTGCAAGCCTCACTGTATGTGGGAAAAATGTAAAGTGGCACTTTATAGAGGTATGGATGAGTAAGCATGTGGAAAGGCGCATATAGTGATTTATGCTCTTTGTAGGAGTTCTGATAAGCAGTTGCACATGGTGCAGTAGCTTAAAATTATAACAGGCTAATGAAACGTATGAGTAAAGTTTGCCTGTAAAAGGACATATATGGAGCACTGGAATGTAGTTAATGAGATAGCTGTACACCAAACCCTCAGCCATTGTCAACAATTGATATGTAAAAGTCACTATGATTGGCCAGTTTAAGAACCTAATAAGTATTGCCAAAGCAAATAAACTGAGATAGTAGAGGCATGTAACATGAGAAGATGGCCTATAAAAAAACCCAGTCATGCAGGAAGGCAAGATAAAATAGGATGAACACCATCAAGAAAAGTATGGGCTGTTGCAGAATAATTTATGGCAGCATAACACCAGGAACGATGGCAAATTAAATTGAAATTATGAAAAAAAACACATCAACGCTGGTACACGTACCACAATGGCCCCTAACTTGTGGGTGGTATAGAATGAGAGATTAAGAAAATACAAAGTTTATTCAACTATTTTCAGAATATATTTTTTTTTTCAGCTGTACCATTTGATTTTCATAACAATATTAATAGAAAATATTGATTAGAAAATAAGATGTTTACGCTATTGACCCAATCCTCTAAAGCCTTCGTAATCGTAGCCTAACCGAATGCTATTTCCTTTAATTATTTAGGCCGAAAAAAAATACAATTTTCGCTTCAAAAATCATCTGTTGTCTAAAGTTGAAATCTGGCAATTTCCGCTACAGATTCTAGTTTCTGTGAACCGTCGACTATTCAAGTCAAACGTCATTTTGAAATGTTAGTGGACTCAGTCTAAGTACAATAGAATCTAAGTAGAGATTCTAGATCTATCTCGTCTTGATTGCTTTTGCCCAGGTTACAAATATGGCAAGTCTTGCTAAGTGCTTAGCTAGAACAATTGTTGTTTCCAAGAATAACTGGATCTTAAAAAGCTGCAAGAAATCAATCACGACTTCTGGAAAAATGCATTCCCAGCACTGGCAACAAGAGGGAATACCTGGAGCGGTACGTATGATTCTAGATCTACGTAGATCTAGATCTAAATATATATAGCGAGAGTGAGCTAGATATTAGTATATTCCATATATTTGTTTCCCTAACGTAAGTTAAAGTTAGGTACTAATATTAATAAATAACGGTAATCATAATAAATCTATCGTTTTGGGTACGTAAAATCGCCCGCGACTAGTAATGTGAAAAACAGGTGACTCCTTACATTTTAATTTAATTTTAATAATTGTTCACATTTTGAGGAGGATTTATGTTTTGAAAAATACAAAAATGTTTCCTTGTTTCATTTATGTACCTGTTTTTAAACAATTGAATTAAAAATTTTCAGTAATAAATGAACACCAGCGATGTTTCCAACAGATGCAACCATGCTCATTTACTATAGCAGCCATCTTGTTAAAGTTTTATTTTTATAGAATTATAGCGCGAGATTCAGGCGGAAGTCACTCTATTTTACAAATGGCTGCTGTTTATATAGCAAATCTTGCTTGCAGACACTGCTGTTTAAAGTTAATATCTGGCCTATATTGATATATTTAGCCATTGATTTAGTTTATTATTCATTTATCTATAATATTTGACACAAACATATCACAATATACTTCTATTACAGCCTTGACAATGAGGTAACGTTTTCGTACATTAATAGCCGCAGGCGATTTTACATACCCAAAACGATAGATTACCCTAATAACTACTAATAATCGTATAATTATAGTATAATGTATAATAATATTAATAGGTACCCATCATCAGAGCTGGGTGGAATCAGGGACGTTCCACTGATTTAGGCATTTTGGGAAATTTTTCCTAATTATTATTCCTTTATTATTATCATAGTATCAGAATCAGATAAATCCTATAATATACCCCATTGATAAAAATACCAAATTTATCATTCTAGGCCTAATAGTTTTTTTATATGAATTTTTAAAGTTATGTATTAAACTTGTTATATTTATTAAATTATATAACTGTAACGTCAGATTTGTGTGATGGGCTTTAGTCTTGCATACCACTGCTGCTATTTGAGATATAATTATAAAACTTTAGCACATTCGTGCTAGCGAGTGTGGGCAATAGAAATATGAAAGCAAAATCAATATTTGATGAAGGATAATTAGAATAATCAAGTCCAATTAAAGTAAGGGGTGCTGTTATAAATATGTAGGTCAATATGCAGACTGAAAGTTTTTTTTTTCAATATTAAAATTATTGAAACTTTGCTAGAGGGTGGGGGCAATAGAAATATAGAAAAAAATTAGACTAAGTATAACTGCATATAATTAAAAAGTCCTATGAAAGGTTGTTGCACCCTTTAATAGTAATTATTGTGACTGCAACAGACGTATGTCCAGAATGTTACTATATAACTATATAGATAGGATAAATTTTGGTGATTGATACTGAAGCATGTAATAAGAAGAATGCTGAAAAATAAAACTAGGGATGGTGTGGTAAAGCACTCCACTACTAACATGCAAGTCTTAAGCTCAGATCTCAGACGAGTCTGTCTGTGCAGCATGCAGCATCCACCAAGCTCAGATGAGTACCTGACCCATGTATTGTAAGGGAAAGTAAAGATTGCTGGGCAGAGAGCTAACCACACCATCACTTCATGTGCAGTGGTCAAGAAACAGATAAACTCTACTTCAGCTGCTCTATGGATGATGGATTGACAGGTCCAAAAGGGAAACTACTTTAATATACTAGGGTCTTTATCAGGCCCTATTGATATTTTGGTACAACTAATCAATAGAAAAAACCTTAAATTCTTGTAAAAGTTTATTAAGCTAAGTGTTAAGTTGTATCACATCAGAAAGATTTACAGCTTCCCTGTCTATCTGCTTATATGAACATATTGGCAATATGCTTTGATTTAAATCCATATTGTTTGTTGTTATTTGTTTTTTGTTACTTTTTATTATTAAATGTAAAAAATATATCCTAAATTATTATGAATAATAATTATCATGCTTTTTTCGTGTCAATCGAAATTCACTGCCTTTTTAATTAGTATCTCTTAAACGCCTCACCCCCCCCCCCCCCCCTCACCCCAAAAGCCCTACATGTCAATTGCTGCGCCTTTTGTTAATTATATACTAATGTCATAGCCATAATTATTACAAATAATTAAATAAGTTTATCACCAAGCTTCTTTACTTATCATAACCAATAATAGGCCCCGACTTACTTTATCACTCGATACATATAGCATTAGTTATACTAAGATGACTTACTTTATCACTCGATACATATAGCATTAGTTATACTAAGAAATAGGCCTATAACTTATTTAAAAAATATTTATAGTATAAAGTATTAAGTATAAGCCTTAAATCTAAGTAGATATGTGTGAAATGCTTGACACTAGTTAATGTAAGCCTACGCTTCTTGCTTATCGTTTTTTAATAGATAACTTGATCAATGTATTTCATCTAGTTTTAACAGTGCCAACCACAATTAAATTCTTTCCACCTTTGAAAACTACGCCATTGGCATTAGTGCGCGTATTTTATCAATAATAGGTAATGCGGTGTTAAAAATCATTGGATACTTACCTGGACTAGTTGCCTGGTACTTCAGACATTTAAACTCATCTGCATGTTACTGATGTCTTTTATTACGCAAAGGCTTATACAATAACATCATAATATTTGACAACAATTTATTTTAATTATTTGCATTGAAACAAAGTACCCATAGTTGAAAAAAGTATCTCATTATGATGTACCCTTTTCATTTATATCTCAAACTTTTTATAATAAATAATAGCCTACATTTATATGATCTTAAACACATATCTTTTGTGTTGTATTCACAGAACATGCCAATTGGAATTAAAAGTAAACCACTTCTTACTCTTGGATTTTTATTTTTTTTATTTACTGGCCTTCAGTCACCATTTTCGATAGTGCTTTGGAATATCTACTTACAAAATCGTCCAGCGCCAGCACCAGTTGTTGAATCTGCTACTGCTTTACCTCTTGAGGAAAAAACTGATTATTGTGGCAACTAAATTTAGACATAGGTAAGTAAAATGTTTTAATGAACTGTTGTGAACTGTATATAGGTTCTAGCCGCTCATTAATTTAGGTCATAACTAAATAATTAAGTCAATCAAAACATAAATTGATGTAGGCCTAGTTGTCTAGTGGCAGAAGTAAGCAAAGTACCCTTTCAGAACAGACATGCTGAGACCTCTCTCTTACTGCTACAAATGAATAAATAGTGTATGTGTGTGTGGTTATAACTATATCCAGCCATCTTTATTTTCTCAAGTCAGGTAGGTTACCTATCATTGCTGGATGGACTGTAAGATTTGAGCCAGTGAAAAGTCCTCAAGACTTTTTTGTTTAGTAAAAATTCAAAGCTAAAGAAAATCAAGACATTTTAATTTGCATTTTTGTAATTTTAAAAAGGATAAATTTAATCTTTAGTAGACTTACTCTCCTTTGTATATTTAAACCAACAAACAGGAGAAAGATTTAGTTAATAAAGGAATCCCCTTTGGAAGAGCCCTTGCTTTAGAGTTAGCTGTCCAAAATGGTGTTTCTACTACCTCTATATAATACACTAAGGACCATTACTTGGACACTTACATTTTGAATACAGATGAATAGTTATTTCAGCTGTTAGTTATCCTTTTGAACCTTGTCGTCCTCGACACACATGAATCAGAGTTCACCTGTTTCTGTGACTTTGGCATATGAAGGGATAGTGTGGTCAGCATTATGCCCAGCTGCCTCTACTTTCCATGAGTTGTTCACCCGTTAGCGCTATGGACTTTCATTTTCCATAATCACTGAAGAATACAATAAATCAGTGATTATTGGTGTTTAGTAAGCCTACTCTTTCTCTCCTTGGCACAGGCCTATATAAAGCAAGCTGCTAACATCTGTTTACCAATGAATGTTGTGTTGTAACCTTGAGCTCTAAATAGCCAACTGTTACAAATAAATTTCAATTGTTTATTTAACTATCACTTTGTTACAAGTTAATCATCATTGTTAAATTCATTTTAGTTCTATTACATAAGGATTACCTTTAGAACTTTTTATACAGTGTTTGCGAGTTAAGCTTGCCATCATTGTTATGTTTATATTTTTCTTCATTGGTCAAAAGCAGGATTTAATAGGGGTAAACCTGTGATGAATGGCTATTGTGTTGGGGTATTTTTTTTAGAAAAGCTGTAGTATGTGTACCGAAGTTGCTACTTTATAACATTTATAAGTTTTAGAGGAATTCTGCAAAGTGCTGTCAGTTGCATAACAAACCACAGTGAACTTACACACAACTTCAAAGTATGTGCGGTAATATGCCCTATATGCAACAACAAGTATTAGAAAGTCAAGTAGTTTTTAAGAAAACAAGTTGTACTCTGAAATAATTGTTCTTTAGACTTCTTTAGTTGTGAATAGGTTGTTGAGGCAGTTTTGCTTTGCAACTAATTGTGTGTAATACATGCAAGTTTCATTCATAATTTTTCTTTGAGGTATATTTATTCATTGAGCATTTTTTTTTTTAAATTTGAATCAAAACATTTAAGATAACTTTTTGAAACTTTTTTTTCTCCAGCTAATTGCAACAGCTGCCTACAGGTTTATTCAGAAGTCAACTTTCAATATTCTATTACCATTTTTGTTTAAATATTTGAATTTGAATTAAATGTTTGCACAAATATAATGTTTTTGTTTTATTTTTTTTTACTCATGTGTAACATTTTAAAAATATTTAGGGTCTTAGACATTAATATTGCAATTATTTAAAGTTATTTATCATATCCACAAAATGTGCTACACATTGGAAAGTTGAAGCTGCTTAGGGTCTCATATTTCAGAATAATTTTTTTTCTTTACAAAAGAAAAGGTACAAAAATCAAAGGTGAAGTTAAACTTAAAGCACAAATATGCTATCTACATTAAAAATCAAATGTTGTGGTGTTTGATATAATTTAAGAGGATATATGACATGGGATGCAGTAATTTTCTGCATATTAATATGCCCATATCAGATCTACTGCGCCTCTTTGAACTTATTATTTTATAAAAATAATTATCGTTTTTAAGTGGCAGGGCTGCTGAAAAGATGGCTAGCAGCAAAACTTTTTTGAGCATTCAATTGTATAAAAATAAAAATATTTAAAAAAAAAAATTCTACACCAGAATCAATACAAAATAAACCGGGAGTGATCTCCCCTAAACTTTCTCGAATATTCTTATATAAAATAACAGGGGATGGGAACTTCTAGACATGATTTTTAATCCATTTTAAATACTTAAAGTTTTAAAAATAGAATAAAATCTCGTAGACAAATTAATTGCACACCAAGTGAACGCGAAATAAAAAAGCGCATAATAGTGCGCAATATTATTAGTACTTTAAAAATTTACATTAGTTTTTTGAGAAATCGGAAGTAGCTTAAATTACTACTTCCGGTCAACGGAAATTACTCAAAATTTAACAGAAGGTAGAGAATTAGATCTTTTACTTACATGTGAAATTTAATTTATCTATCTGAAATAGTACTCAAGTTATAGGCTTTTGAAAAATTCAAAGTAGAAAAAGTACCACTTCCGGTTGTCGGAAATCGCTCAAAAGTTGATACGGATCTACGATTTTGATAAAATACTTATATATGAAATTTCATCAACCTAGCTGTAACGGTACTCAAGTTATCGTGTTTACACACGGACACACACACACAGACACACAGACATACGGACAAGATTGCAAAATTATGTTTTTCCGTATCAGTGAGATGCAAAACGTCGAGATTTGCAAAAATCTCGATTTTTTTTTTTTTGCACGATTACAAGACTTTCTCTATACTTCGTATATACGAGAAAGTAAAAAAAAAGAATTTGCACTACCAACAAAAAAACCCTTCATTTTCACAATGGGGAGAGTAAATTTCTGTGGAAAATAGTTCCCCTTGCTCCCCATTACCCTAAGAACAATGTCTGAAAGAACCCATGCACTCTACAAGCCTACAGGTTAAATTTAGCTGTTTCAAGCAATATGTGAAACAGTCTATAAAATTATGAAAAGCTGTAAATATATGGTAGGCAGAAGAAGAAATCGGAGAATGTGCGAATTTAACATAGCCTACAAGGCAACCCCTGAACCCTCCCAAATATAGCCTAAAAGGCAACCCCTCAACCCTCCCATTCAAATTAAATGCAAGTCATGTGACTTTCAAAATGGCTACTTTCCTAAAAATGCCGAACTGCTATTTCGGCCGAACTTTGGCATTTATTTATATTGTTATAACTTCGCAAAGTTTGTTTTCATTTGTTAAAGGAACGTATCCAACTGTACAAAGTCGTGGTCAGCCATGGCCTATGCCTCGAATGTATGAACCTAGCTCTGTGGTTTTAAGTTTAAACGTTGCTGATTTTGAGTTCAGAAGTGTAGGCGAGGTTGACTGTGACATCCTCCGGGATGCGTACGTCAGATACAACAAACTAACATTTGGCGGATTCAAGAAGCCAAAACAAAATGAAAGGTAAACTATCAACAATTTTAAAAAAGGATAGATGCTATGTTCTATTTTCAGTTTATTTGAAGTGACACTAGAAAAAAAATGTGGATATTGTTGTATGTGTAATAAGACTTGACTACAGTACAGTTACTACACAGTAAGACTGGTGTGTGTAACTGTTAAGTTTAGTGTAGTCTGCTGTTCTAGATCTAGAGAGTAAAAAAAAAAGTATTGGGGGGGGGGGGGGGGGGATCGATATCTAGCATCACAGACAGTGCAAAGTAGATGGAGGAAATGCCGCTCTAGGCTAGAGTTTGAGTCTTGACTTCTAAGTTCTAGAATAGCAGGAAGTAAAAAATATTGATTCTAGAATCTAGATCTATTACTCAACTCATAGTAGTATAGTTATTATTATTACTTAGTACTAGACAGTAGATCTAGACTAGATCCAAAAAACATATTTAAAAAAAAAATTGTATAGGCTAGGCCTAATATTAAAAGAGTTATTTTTACGCGATCGAATTTCTCAGTATTTTACTTTTTTTTTTTAATAAATAGCTTTTCCCTCAATCTCAAAATGTTTATCATTGCAAGCCTATATTGCAACTTTGAACAATTTCAGCCATGTTTTAACTAAGTATTTCAGAATGTTATCTACAATTACGTTAGTTCGCCTGATCACACAGTGACTGAAGAATTTTTTACCTTAGGCCTAAAATATCTTTTTTTTTTTTCAGATTACAGTCTCTGAAATTCCAACCAGAAAAAGCTACAAATCAAATAGTCAATTTCCTAGAAGTTGCAGTGGAAAAACCTTGTACTGGAAGAATTTTCCCTACCCTTGAGTCGGATGAATCTTGTGAGTGTTAGTAATAAATGGATGCTGTAAGGTGGAAAGTGGGGTTGGATGGCATAGTGAATGATTGCTGTTTGATACTTGAACCCCCAAGAAGATTAGAGTCATTAGGTGGGGACAGCAACTATCTAGGAGAACAAGTTCAGACATAAAACAACTTTTGTCTTGCAGGTGCTCTTTGTTTATAAAACACTATGAAAGCACATTCAGAAAGAAAACCAGGCTGAAGTCAAGTCAATTAGTTAGATTGGTGCATATGTTAGCACATATTAATTAATTATGCCAGGGGAAATCTCCTCCAGTATATAAGGATGCTGTAGATCCTTTTCAGTAAAGTGTTGTACTATGGAGAAGTATGTCTAAAATAAATATCAAATCTTGTATATTGGAACATATTTCTGTTTCAGTAATTTAAAACAAAAGCTCATCTACTTATTTTTTTCTGTTACTTTTCTAGTTTAACTATAAATAAATAGTAATAATACAATTTGGTTTGTTTTTATTTGTTGAGCTATTTTAAAAAAAATAAAAACATGTGCATGATTATTGTTATATATACTTAGAAAAAAGTTCCACATGTCTTGATTGATTTATGTACTATTTAAAGATACTCTGATTGTTTCATCTGAAACATCACGGATTGAGTCAAAAGAAGTATGGGGTGCTCTTCGTGGCCTAGAAACATTCAGTCAGCTGGTTTATCAGTTAAATACAGGGGCGGTAAGTCATACAGTTTCACATTTTTCTCGTTCATTTATAAGTCTGTACATGTTTTATTCTTGTTATTTGTACTATTTGTTTCTTTGTCTGATTAATTAAAATTTAATTTGATTGATTACAAAGAAGCAAATAATATTGCTGATCTTTCTAAGCAGTATGGACGCCTTTAACTTGTATTTTACTTGCAAATCATCAGCTTGTGGTCAACCAGTCTTTAATACTTGACTCACCAAGGTTTTCTCATCGAGGCCTTCTATTGGATACATCCAGACATTTTATATCTAAACGTTACATACTACGCACTTTGGTAAGGATTTAAACTATTGAACCATCTAGCTAGAAATATTCTTGTGTTATTATGTTTAAAAAGGCACAGAAATAAAGTCAACCCATAAGGGATTGGGACATACTTTTCTATTTACCTTCGCTTATGCCCAGTCAAATAAATTTCCATCAAACTGGTATTGTTGTTTATAAAAAAACTAACCAGTTATTTCTTTTCATGGCAAAATAATCTCTGGGCTGGAGGGAACAGATCATAAAATTAACTCTGGGCTGGAGGGAACAGATCATAAAATTAACTCTGGGCTGGAGGGAACAGATCATAAAATTAACTCTGGGCTGGAGGGAACAGATCATAAAATTAACTCTGGGCTGGAGGGAACAGATCATAAAATTAACTCTGGGCAGGAGGGAACAGATCATAAAATTAACTCTGGGCAGGAGGGAACAGATCATAAAATTAACTCTGGGCAGGAGGGAACAGATCATAAAATTAACTCTGGGCTGGAGGGAACAGATCATAAAATTAACTCTGGGCAGGAGGGAACAGATCATAAAATTAACTCTGGGCTGGAGGGAACAGATCATAAAATTAACTCTGGGCTGGAGGGAACAGATCATAAAATTAACTCTGGGCAGGAGGGAACAGATCATAAAATTAACTCTGGGCAGGACAGTGGAGGGAACAGATCATAAAAATAAAATTAACTCTGGGCAGGAGGGAACAGATCATAAAATTAACTCTGGGCAGGACAGTGGAGGGAACTAATCATAAAATAATATTTGACCAGGAGGAAATGAATTATAAATTTAAAATAATTTGGGACTGAAATAATCGGGAGGAAAAAGTTTGTCAGGGCTGTGAATGTTAAGAAATAGGATAATGTTAAGACATAATATAAAAGATCATCAGATTATTATATTTGTTGTTTTTCTGTTTTTGCAAGGATGCTATGGCTCAAAATAAACTGAATGTCTTTCATTGGCACATAGTGGATGATCCATCATTTCCTTTTGTCAGTCAAACTTTCCCAAATTTAAGCTTACAGGTAAAATCACTCAACTACTCTGTTGGCTCTCAAATCTAGTAAGGATAATCATTTGTAGGAATAACATTACAATAGAAACTTTTGTATTAGAGTTATTGTTTACCTTAATTTACCTTTCTAGTTTTTACAAGTTGAAGAGTGTAACAAATTCTATTTTCAGGGAGCTTTCCATCCTGAGTCCCATGTGTACACTCCTGCAGATGTGGCTAGTGTTATAGAATATGCTAGAATTCTTGGCATTAGAGTGATGGTTGAGTTTGATACACCAGGTAAAATACTAAACAAAATCAGTCTTCAACTTAACCTTTTGAGAACTTGAGGCAGTTAAAGTATGTATATCTGATTTCCAATGCTTGAGATTAAAGATTATCTGGCTTTAGCATATCTGATCTGCTGTTTATCATCCCTGTGAGACATCTATTGGAAATAAAGTGGATGACATCCAGTGACTATCAGAACTCATGCCAACACTTGATTAGAATTTGAACTAAGGACATCTGATTTTACAATACCACTCAGTTGATTTTCTTTTCTGAAAATATTTCTATACAAATTAATTGACACTTTGCTTGTATGGCCCTGCTTGACATAGGTCACACAGAGTCTTGGGGCAAAGGTCAGGATCAGCTTCTTACTGAATGTTACTCTCAGGGAAAATTTAATGGCAACTATGGACCAATAAATCCTGCACTAGAATCATCATTCACCTTCTTGTCTTCCTTCTTCAAAGAAGTCAGTGAAACTTTTGTAGATCATTATATCCACTTGGGAGGTGATGAAGTCAGCTTTGACTGCTGGTAACTATATTCTTTACTTTTTATAAAGAAATTTAAAATGTAAAATTTAACAAAAATTACAATAATTAAAGATTCATAATTACATTTCATTCTCGTAGCAATGATAAAAAAATACATTTTAAAATGTATATTCATGTTTGAATATAATTTGAGAAATGATGTTTTTTTTTTTAAATTGTCTTCCTAATTTTAAAATCTCTTATTTTATCTGATTTAATAATATTCATCACATAAATTTTATCTAGAGCCTGTGTTTTAACAAACTTGAGTCAGTAAACAAAATTATTAATATTGTGTAAACAAAACCAAATTCACCATGTTATTTAAAGGGAGAGCAATCCAGTTGTACAGCAGTTCATGAGAAGCCAGAATTTCACCCAGTTCTCCCAGCTAGAACAGTACTACATGCAGAGGTGAGTAGGTTGCTGCATCAGTCTGTCCTGTTGGTTGTTAGAAGTGTACAAGTAATGTCATACATTTGTAATGATACAATTCATACCAACACGTCTTTAAAAACACAGTCTTCCAGAATAGATATAGTTTTGAAGTATAATGCTAATAAAACACAAATTTTCATAAAAGGGTCATTTTTAAAAATAATGATTTTATTTTAATTTTTAAGACTGTTGGATATAATCGGTTCCCTGCAGAAGGGTTACATCATGTGGCAAGAAGTGATTGATAATGGAGCCAAAGTAAATACTTTTTAGTTTAAAAAAACAAATTATTTCAATAGTTTAAAAATTTGGCCTACCCATTATTTCATTCATATAGGTTACAAATTTTAATATATCCATTAAGTATATTTATTCTAACAGTTAAAAAATTAGTCCTAGCCATTGAGTATTTGATTCATATAGGTTACACATTTTAATATATCCATTAAGTATATTTATTCTAAGAGTTAAAAAATTAGGCCTAGCCATTTAGAATTGATGATCCATAGAGCGAAAGTTTAATTTGATGGTCAGCACTCTGTTCAGCCACCTTAATTTGCTTTATAGTCAGATACCCATTATGTTGAGTGGACTCAAAGATGTCCTATGGACTCTTTTCTGGAAAATGAACTGGAAACTTGGGATGAGCAGAGCAGGCACATGCTCTAGAAGTTTTCATACTCCTTTTATTCTTAAAAAATTCATCCATCTCAAATCTTAGCTGCTGACTTCATTAGACTGATTTAAAATCTTGGTGTTTATATTCTAGGTTCGGGACGACACTGTTGTCCATGTGTGGAAAGATGGCTGGCAGAAAGAAATGAGTGACGTGACCCAGTTGGGTTACAAAACTTTGCTGTCGTCATGCTGGTATCTCAACCTGATTCAGTACGGAAGTGACTGGGTTGATTACTACAACTGTGAACCACTCAACTTTAATGGTAATTTATAGTCAGAATAAAAAAATATTTTATTTGCTTTTTATTCTTTAGAATATATTGATATGTGCTTTTAATTGCACAGAGTATTTTAATCTCATAGAACACATTGATATAGACTTGTTTTATTGAATAAAAGTAAAAGGTACAGAAAAGTGTAAATAAAATATGGATTTCTTTAATTAAATCCATGAGACCTCTTTGATATTTACCTGTTGTTTTTAAGGTCCAGAAACAAGTTTTTAGTCAAGAGGTTATTCTCAGACTTTATTAATATGAGATTGTTGTTTTTAAGGTACAGATAAACAAAAATCACTGGTAGTTGGTGGCGAGGCTTGTATGTGGGGAGAGTATGTGGACAACACTGTGGTACTGCCTAGGACTTGGTAAATATTTTTTCTATTTCAACTTCAGTTAGCTGGTTAATGGAGCAGTGATATTGTGTAGCAGTATAAAAATGTGTTACTACCTTTGTTCTAGGCCTAGAACGTCAGTTGTTGCTGAACGCTTATGGAGTCCAGCTAATGTCAATGATTACAGAGCAGCCCTTCCTCGCCTCTCTGAGCAGAGATGTCGTATGATTAGGTAATTTTTTCAAGAAAACTCTTTATTATTACAGTTGCTTGAGTTAGTAATAACTACTAGTAACTTTTTCTTAATATAATTTCTGTTAATTACTTTATTGAATTTCTCTCTACCAGCTCTAATGAAGAATTAAAAAAAAAATTCTATCTTTCAACAGGCGTGGATTTCCTGCTGAAGAAATCAATGGGCCAGGATTTTGTAGTGTTGAATATGAAGATGTTTAATCCAAGTAAAAACATTCCAAATGTAATGATTTATTATTGCCAGCTTAGACTGAACTTAAAGAACAAACATTTAATGTAACAGGTTCTGTTACAAAATTATTTACTGTTAAATGCCTACTCGAGGTCTGAATAATGTATCCACTTTATATACAAGTAGACTAGCTGTAATATCAGTATTTTTTGGGTGGGAGTTGTTACCAACTACAACAGGGTTATCTGCTTTTGTGTATTTATACTTAATGCCAATTAAACGTATTTACTCTTCAGTGTTACTGTAATTTTATGCCATTCGTGTTTTAAATTTTTTTACGGCTTTGTAAGAAATTGTTTTTAAATTAAAATATTTTTGCATCTCCACAACAGTCATAATGTGTTTATTTATTTGGAATTTTGTCGTTACTTAGGGGTGATAGAATCAAAGTATGAAACATTTTGATGAACACAATTGATTTTCTAGACAATGAAACACAAAAGAGCTTACTTCTATTCAAAGCTAAGTAGATACATATTTCTTAATAACTTCTATTCAAATCTAACTAGATCTACATATATTTTATAATACAACTGCAGATGAAAAGTGTATGACAAACCATCCATTGTTATAATTGTATCAGTATTGTAAACTTTATAAAAAAAAACAACCCATAGTTTAAATTGTTGAAATGACAACAAAATTGTAAATAAACAAAAAAAGTGGCTTGGTTTTTTAGGCAGACATCATTATCAAGGCAATGATAAAAAAACAAGCAACATCCAAATAAAATGTAGAATTATTTAAATTAAATAACATTTACATTATATTTCACATAATTTTTTTTATTCAAATCAAAAAGTTTGTTCACATCAATTAATATATCACTAAAGGTTGGGGAAATTAAACAATGCCATCACGATTTATTAAAAACTTTCTTAAAGACTGATTCCTTCTCACTTTCTGCACCTCAGAATTCTGGAAAATTTAGAAAAGCAATGTAATGCAGTCAACATTTTAAAACAGTTATAATATGTAGTTGATAATGGAGTAAAAACTATGTTTTTGTCAAGTGATGTGAATTTACAAAATCCTGTCAACATTAAATTAACATGGCAAAAAAGAAAGTTCCTTGCCTTCCACACTATGACTAGGCCATCTGATCCACATGTTACAATTCCTTCATGGTCAAAATCCAAAAAGCCCTAAGAAGTATTTATAGATTAATATATTGTGTAATACAAACAATACTAGTTAATTATATAAATAAGTAACTAAAAAATATTGCACATATTGATCAATAAATTCAATGAGAGACACATTTTAATTTAAGGCTAAGCTGAATGTGCATTGTGTTTGGTTAAATAAAATGTACTTAAAATTTTGAATGTAACAAAATCAAATACATGAGTCTTACCTGCACTATTTCTCCATGAGCGCAACACTCTCCAAGCAAACTTGGTTCCCACGGAGAGGTTGAGTTCAACAATTCATTAGATCTGAAATTCAGTATCTCCACTGTAATTTATTACAATTGTAAAAATACAGCTGGTAAACAATATTGTGTATGAAATTAACTACCCGAATCCTGATGAAAATAATAAAACAAACTAACAGAAGAAGTAGAGAACTATGTTAATCATAAGTTAATGCATCTGTATAAACAATGGTTGAGTGAAGATTGAACAATTTCAAGAAAGGTTTTAACCCCAAAGTAATGTTACCTTGAGCCTCTGATAGATCTATATATGTACACTACATAACATGTCACAAATAATGTAAGCACCTACTTCATCTCTTGAGTAAAACATCTTGGTTTTATAACTCATTGCTTGGATGAATAAATGTAACTTTTATGTTCGAAGTGGATGTAATAAGGATAAATAAATGCATTTTTTTGTGTTAGAAATAGTGGTTACTAACAACTTACTGCAGGCCAGTAAATCTCTCCATAGTTGTCACAGCCACATCACCCCCCCATGGATCTGTTACAGGCTTACGACCCCACAGTCGTATACATTTGTCTTCAGAACATGTTGCTAAGATTTCTCTACAGAAAACAATATACTATTAACAAAGACATTTGATTTAGAACATGCTGCTAAGATTTCTCTGCAGAAAAAACAATTTAGACTGAAAGCAAATATTTTATTTACCATTTCTTCAAATTATTATAAAAATGATCTGAGGTTATTTCTTCAAATTTCACGTAACTTTAATGCAGCAGATGTAATTTCTTACCCCTCACAAGCGAAACCCATGCATGTTATTTTGGATAAATGTGCAGATCTCTTCTGAATAACCAGAGTTTCTTTAACAGCAGTCACATCATAAGCATAAAAACCACATCCAATTGCAGCAAAGAGGTAGCGCTAAATTTGATGATAACAGGTAATTTACCTTTTAATAGTGCAAAATGTGACTGAAATGAATAAATAAACTGGTGCTACATTTATACAATGAAAACACTGATCAACCTATTAAAAATATACAGGTAGCTACAAAACTTCATTTACACTATAAAAAATTAAATTTTACAGCTGTTTTGTGCAGCATAAAGATGAATTCAAATATATTTCTGACTTCATATATGAAATATTTTGTACAGATTACTAAAAACTAAATTATAAGTTAAAGCAGCTTTTACTGCAGTCATGTAACGCCCACAGTAATAGTTTGACCAATAATTTTTATACCTCCTGCACACAGATTAGAGCCTGGACACTGTGTAAAAAAGTTTTGTTCTCTATGTCTCGCTCAGTGACAGTGCGTAATGTTTTTGTTTGTTGTAAAGTGGATGACGTCCAAATAATTATCATCCCATCTACAGAGCCAGTACCAAAACAAGAAGCTTTACAAAAAATAACAAAATTAAAAAAAAATACATTAGTTTAGTGGGCGTATAAAATGTCATTAAAATAGTTATTCAGTTTCAAAGTTAATCTTAAACATTTTTTGGAATATTTCAGCCTCACTTACTTGATATAGGAATTAATGAATGGATGGTCTCCTGATGTGAATTTAGATGTTTAAGTACTACAAGCTCTGGCACTGTGCCATCAAGGTTTAGCCTGTACACCACTGACGAAATAAAACTTGTTAGATATTACAACTTTATTGCTTACACCAAACTCCTGGGAACTTTGTGAATGTTGAATGATTGTTTCATTTCTTTTTAATGTATGAGGATAATTTCTTTTTCTTGAACTAAAACATGTGGAAATTAAGAACAATAAATAATAAGTTACACAATGCACTGACCAGATAAATGATTAACTACACACCTAACTCCTTGTCAGCAGCAATAACCAAGCGGTTGTTTTTTATGGCAATCATCAGATGAACATCTGGATAAAAAAGTTTTTTTAAAATTAAATTGAAAATGTGTTTAATACAACTATGATAGTTAAGAAATTGTTTCTGAAATTAAAAAAAAATATTTATTTTCTTGTAAAGTGTAACTAAATTAATTTACAATTAATTATTATTTTAAAGCAAAATTCATGGACTTGAACTAACAAGTTTTCATCAAATAGGTCGATTTAGCTTTTTAAATATTTGAGTAGCATATTCACATCACAGTCTATAAATATGAAGAGCTATATACTGTTTTTTAAAAGTACTAGTTGAGAATGAGCAAGGCCATAGGAACAAAAGGTAGTTAAAGAATGTCATGGTCAATATGTATCAAGAGCTACCTTCCAAAGTACATTTGTTAAGCATATGCAACAATTGTCCTTGTCTGTTCCATAATGAAAGATTCTCTCCCCCTGCACAAAACAATCCATCTGTCAAGTGAATCAGGCACTAGAGAAATAAATCATTTTTTCATAATAGGTCTATATGTCATTGCATAATTTTAATATGTTAACATAATAAAACATACACTTTTACATAAACTTACCCTCACAGATCCACAATGTTCTGTTAATGTATGCACACATTCCCCAGTTTCTGCATTCCACACCTAATAAGGAAATGTATCAACCTTCACATTCAATCATGCAATACAAGACTGTAAGTTTACACATATTATCAAGTCTATAATGCAGCCTAATTCAATTAATACATTAGTCCATCATTAAATTTTTTGAAATAAAATTTCTTCTTGAATATTATTAATGTGTGGAGAGAGACAATACAATACTAACTCTAATTTGTCTGTCTGATGAGCCAGATACAATAAAGACATCATCACCACCTTCAACAGAGGGCAACAGCAACAGGCTGGTAATTGGATGAGTATGTCCTATAAGTGTCGCAATCTGACGACCATACTATTGAAAAAGAAAAGTTAATTGTGTTTTAAAAGCTGATATGAAAAAACGTGACCTAGAATTTTTTTTATAAAAACAAATTAAAAATCTATTTTATATAAAATTTAGGTTTGTTTTAAGAGCTGAACTGAACTTTCTGATGTCATTTGCGGTGGGTGTCTGGATCTTTTGTGACAATGCGTGTAAGTATAATGGTGGGTTTAAAATATGGTGATATAACCAACATCAATTTTGGATGAAGCCTTAATTGAATCAGCCTTCAGTGAAGGTTCCTAGTTAAGAAAGGGCGTTGGTTTTTCGGTTTTCAGACTTAAAACTAAAAAAAAACTAGTACAGAGAAGAGAGTTAGACTGCTAAAACGAAAGTCTCGAGTTCGACTCCGGGTTCAAATCAGTAGAACATCCCAGAGTCCACCCCAGCTCTGATGGGTACCTAACTCACGTTAGGGAAACAAAAGCGGCTGGGCATAGTACTGACTACATTATCTCCTTGTATGCCGAGGACAATGAAACAGGTGAACTCTACTTCATCTGCCCCATGTGTCTTGGGCACAAACGGGAAAAAAAAAGAAGAAGAAGACAAAGAACACAAGAGTAGTTTCATAGTAAATTATTAATTTTGACATGAACTTAGGATTATTTAACAAACCAAACACATAGTTGTGACAAGAACTTAACATTATGAGACAGTTGTAAGTAATACCTGAACTTCCCATATAATGGCCTTGTTGTCATCACCTGCTGATACAAACCTATTGAAATGAAAAATTAGTAGACTATGTGTTGATAAAAAAATGTTTTAATTTAAAAGTGAATTCAGTATATTAGATCAGGGGTCTCCAAACTACGGCCCGCGGGCCGAATGCGGCCCGCGAGGTCCTCTCATCCGGCCCGCGGAGATCTTTTTGTCCACGCAAAAAACATTTGTTGGTGATAGCTGAGGAACTTTTCCCAGAAAAATCAAAGACATGTCTGGAAGAAACTGGCCCCCGAACTGAACTTTGATAGTCAATGCGGCCCTCGGGCTGAAAAGTTTGGAGACCCCTGTATTAGATGATTATTTTAAATATTTATATCAGAAAAAGTAATTTAAAGTATGGAGATTAAAACATTAGTATCATTGGTAGCTTTAAATTAGCTGACAGGACATGATCAAGTTATATTTTTCTCTAGCAAGTATTGTATGGGGGTGTATGTGGATACATGCATTATTTATATATTCACATACAAAAATAGATAAGCATAAGGTAAGGGTCCCTTTCAATGCTGGTGGTCCATGGGGCAAGTGACGTAGAGTTCACCTGTTTCTGTGACATCTGCATATGAAGAGATAGTGTGGTCAGCACTATATCCTGCCACATTTACTTTCTCTAATGTGAGTCAGGTACCCATCACAACTGGGTGGACTCAGGGACGTTCTACCAATATGAACTCAGATTCAAACTCAAGACTTTCGGATTAACAGTTGTATGCTCTACCATTCAACCACGCCGTCCTAACAGCCTCACACAGAGGGGTGGAGGGTGGAAGGGGGAGGCAGACCAAATCAGTTGACACCTACCCAAGTCATAAACCTACATATTATTTAACTTGAAGTGGGTGGGGTGGTAGGTTATCATTTTGTTGCATTGTGTTATATTAGGTGGTTTTGTATTATATCATAATTTATCATATAATATCATTTTGTGAATTATAAAAGATTTTTAATTTCTTTAAAAAAGTGTAAATATCAAGTAAAAATACCTTCTATCATTTATGCGCAATAGTAGTCTTACTATATCAGAGTGTTGATGTAGTATCAATATTTCAGTAAACGGATTGTGTGGTTGACCATCCTCTACTTCTTCACAGGGCTGCAAATGATAATATTTTTTTTTTAAAATAGGCCTTTTACTATCTATATATATAATTCTATTCATGGGGACCATGCGAGACACCACATAAACGCACACTGTTACTCCCTCACTCTCTAGGCATATAGCTACCACCCCCACCATGAGCTAAGATTCACCCCGAATGTTTACAATAGTAGAGCCTATTCGAATTAGTAACCGCTATTTGGGGCAGATAATTTAGCTTTTAAACTATTTGAAACTAAGGAGAGGTAAGAAGTTCTGCTTGATCTTAACATTGTCATCCGTAAATTGTCGTCACGGACAGCTGCTTTCACTGTGGCAGGGGGGGAGGGTGGGTGGGGTTGGGGCGGGGGGGTGGAAGGGAGGTAGTGTCAAATTCACTAGCCATGAAGTACTGAAACGTAGAAAATAAAACAACTAAATAGTGGCATATGATACGCCGCGGGTCAGCTCGTATATATATATAATATATATATATAATTCTCTTCATGGAGGGACTATGCGGGACATGACGTATATGCACGCCGAATCTTCCCCTCTGTATTGTCATCTGTAAACTATCGTCACAGACGGCTGCTTTCACAAGGGTGGGGGAGTAGAGGGGGGATAATTTTTTAATTGTCCTTCACGAGCTACTGATAGTGTTTTAAAGCAAAATATATTCAGTGGCAGCGTGGTAGCGTTGAATTCACAAATTATGAATTACTGAAAAGTAGAAAATAAAACAACTAAATAGTAGTATTTACTATTTAGGCATATAGAAATTAGAATTATAGAATATAGTTATTATTTATAGTAATAGTAGTATATACTACTAGTATATAGTATATAGTATTTATTATAGTATAGTTAGGGACTAGATCTAGTTATAAATTAGAATAATTAGTAATTAGTTACTAAGGCCTAAGTAGATTCTATTAGGCATTTATAGTGTAGTGTGTGTAGTTACAGTAGTAGATCTAGAATCTAGATCTAGAGATCTAGATCTAGTTAAAATTAAAATAAAGAATAAAGAGTGAGTTAAAACTTAAAAGTTGAGTTTTACCTCGGGTGCATTATTTTCTTTTTTCAACTTATCTGAAGGTGTTAATAGCCTTTGAAACATTGACATTGCATGGGAGTTAAAAAAAAGTTCTGTAATATTTATCTAGATCTAGGCTATGCTAATTTATACGGCATCGTCAAAATCAAAATAAATACTGTGGACTCTAAAGCAGGTTGCTGGTTTTTCTAGCCTCGGTATTTACTATTTAGATTTGGTTTACATTCGTTTTGTGTTGGATCACGTGATTTTAATGATGCTATTTTAAGTAAAAAAACATCTACCAGCAACTAAGTCACATGTCAAATCATGTGACACTCAAAATAAAGAACTGAGACTGAACTTCGCAGACCCCGAAAGTGAAAGCCGTCTGCTAGATACAAGATAGATCTAGATCTATAACTAGATCTAGATTTCTAGACCTAGTATTGTTATAATATGAAAAGAACCACAAAGAGTTACTAATATCACAGTCAATATTTAGATCTAGAATGAACAGCAAATTTCGTTTAGGCATTTTTATTTTTCTTCTTTTAACATGCTTACTGAATTTATCCAGTGCCAACTTGCCCACAATCCAAAGTGTTGGCCAACCATGGCCAATGCCACAAGTTTATGAACCAAGTCCAACAGTTTTGGGTTTGGATTCATCCTACTTTAAGTTCATCAGTGTAGGAGCAGATTGTGATATTTTACAAGATGCTTATGTTAGATACTATCAGTTGACTTTTGGTGATTTAAGACAGAAAAAGTAAGCAAATCATATTCATTTTATTAATTTCTTATCAGTTAATTTTTTAAAATATTGCCATTACTACAAATTATTAAATTATACACTAGAAATCTAGATCTAGATCTCTATATAGTCTATAAAGTACTATAAACTATAAATAATAATATACTAATAGATCTAGATCTAGTAGATCTATAGGCCCTAGATAGTAGATATTATTATTAAATTACTAGATATAATAGAAATAGTCTAGAGATACAATTACAATGACATACACTTTGGCTATATACAAGTTTTACTGAGCCACATAATTTCAACTAACGACTAAATAATGAGATCATTTTAATTGTATTTAATAACAACTAGATCTACATTAATCAGTTATAAGATTTATTAACTATATTGTTGAGGAGTTTCTCTTATGTCACAGTGTCCTATTATTACTATTATTTATTAGATTTGAACTCGAGTTTACGTCATGCAGTAGCATTCTACCGCTAGGCCATGCTGTCCTTTAAATAATTATTATAGGCCTATTAAATAGGCTAGCTAGACTATAATCAATTCCGTATAGATCTAGTAAGACAATAATTTAATTTGGCCCTACAGTTTTATTTTTTAGTTTTCACTCCTAGATGGGTTGCTGTCCTCAGCCCAGGGGTTCGAACTTAGGATTTTTTGGTTTAGCAGTTATGAGCTTTACCAACCCGACCATGACATCCACACACAGTATACAACATAATACACAATAAATCAGTCCTCGTATTTCCAAGGTATAAAATTATAATAACATTTATGGATTGTATTTTATTTTGATAATTAGGTTCCACTCTCTAAAGTTTCGACCATTATTGAGTCAATATGAGCTGTTGAATACCCTTGAGGTAGCTGTTGAAAAACCATGTACTGGTGGAATATACCCAACTCTGGAGTCCAATGAGTCATGTAAGCTGTTTAGACAAGTTTTAAAAATTCTTAGCTTTTATATGAAAGTTTAAACATCTGTTAATTCTTCTTTATGTACATTTCAGATGCAATGAAGGTTTCCTCTGGTGTAGCTAGAATTGAAGCTAAGGAGGTTTGGGGAGCTCTGAGGGGCCTAGAAACATTCAGTCAACTGGTGTATAAGCTGGAAACAGGAGAAGTATGTGTCAAAATGTGCTTCAATTATTTTGTTTTATGTGAACATCAACTATAATTTCAACAATCATTTAATCCTCAGCAAACATTTAATTTAACATTTAATGTTTTTTATTTTAATATGAATCATCTACAATAATTTCTTGTAGGTTTCAACAATCATTTTATAAATGATATCTACAAACTTCTATGTCAAAATAATATATTTAAAATTATTTAAATATTGAAACTTATTTTTAAAATACTTTGAAGTGATATTAAAGATACTAGTTGTTAAACATTGCTCATATGTTGTTCTCTCTAGTTTGCTGTGAACCAAACTGTGATTGATGACTTCCCAAGATTTCCACACAGAGGCCTCCTATTGGATACTTCCCGGCATTTTATTTCTACACACTACATCCTCAGAACATTGGTATGTTAAAATTTAATTGATCCTTTTAACAACACCAGAAAGACATGTTTTGATACTTCACAAAGGCTATGGAAGCAAATCCAAAAAGAAAAGCAGGCTGAAATCGGAGTCAATGGCCTCAATGGCGCATAACCAGTTGACACGTATCCTTAATTGTGATGGAGGCGTGGTCAAGTCGGCAAAAGTCGAAAAAGTCTTGAGTTCAAACCCTCTGGCAGATAAGGCTCGATCTCCTCCAACACTAAAAATTAAGAATGAAGAAGAAGAAGAAGATACTTCACTCTGAAGCAAAACCTGATCGTAATGGCAACAAATGCAGAAAAAAGCAACTAAAACTATTATTTTTTCCCAACCTACTTTTTTACTGTATCTAAACAAATTTAAAAAAGGTTTTAATTAAAATAGTAATAGTTTAAGTAATTTATACCAATACAGAATTTAACTATATATATTTCAAATTTTTCTGTTGCAGTCATCACTGAAGAGTTTAAAATTATTGAAACTCTTTGCTTTGTCTTCTTTGATGTATTTTTTTCAGCTAATTTTATGCTTACAGAAATGCAACCTTTTTAGCTTGTTCGTTTTCAATAATTATTAAAATTGTGCCTGCATTTTTTTAACTTGCAGGATGCTATGGCTCAAAATAAACTGAATGTCTTTCACTGGCATATAGTGGATGATCCATCATTTCCTTACTTCAGTCGAACTTTTCCAAACCTAAGTTTCAAGGTAAATTTCTTAACTTTTTAATGATTTCAATAAAAAAACTTCATCTTTTCTTGCTGAAAGTAGTATAGTGGTCGATAAGGTAGATAATGTGGTTCAATTCTAATTTTAGATAATTTTTCACTTTTTGAATAGTTTATTTTATTTTATTTAACAAACTTGCTCCACATAGTTTTCATTTGCTATACTGCTGTCAAACATAAAAAAGAACAGTAGCTTAGTTTTTATTTTCTCCTTTTTAAAAAGTTGATTTTACTCCTTTTTTACAAGTTCATTTTATTTTTAAGTCTGCTATTTTTTCAAAGCTACATCTTTTCAAAACTTAGTTCACTTTTAAGTTCCTTGTCCTTATTATTATAAAAAAATGCTAAAACTTTTTAGTTTGAAATTACCTGTTACAACTTTGTAAAGTAGAACTATTTTCACATTTGTATTTGTGCTTACTAGGGTGCATTTAAAGCAGAGACACATGTATACACACCTAAAGATATTGATGATGTAATTGAGTATGCCAGAATTTTAGGCATTCGTGTGTTAGTTGAGTTTGACACACCAGGTTAGTGTAAACAAAGGATTAAAAGATCAAGTGGGTTCATTGAGGTTTATACAAATACTAACCATTTTTTAAAAACCTGTAACTCTTTTTTTTATTTTACTAAGTAACCTTTTTTTTTTTTTTAAACTATTTTTATTTATTTTTAAAACTAATTTTATCTATGAGTATATATTTTACTAAATAAAAATTAAAATAAGATAGTTTCTTTATAGAGTCCTTTCATATGACGTCACGTCCGTTCGTGATACCTACGTCCGCCGCCACGCTGGTGTACACCAGACGTAAACACAATCAGCTGTTCACCAGCGCTGGACGTGTTCACCAGCGCTGGACGCGTTCACTGTGTGTAAAGAACGGCACCCGCGGAAAAGGAAAAATACGTTAAAAAACTTGAAATCTTAGGAATTGAAGATCCTTATACTGTTATTGACAGTTTCGTAGATAATATAAATATGTGGCCAACATTTCTAAATAAAAATACAGTTAGTAATACTGTTTGCGTTTAGAGTTTAAGTAGACGAATCTGATCAAATGCAATTCTCGATACTTTGTTTCAGGTAAGGACAGTAAAATAATAAACTTCATTTTAATTCTAAAAGATAATTATTAATAAAACAAATATGCTCGACCTTCACAAATACTAATAGTAAAAGACAAAGTCAAAAGTAATAATAAGAATAATAAGATCTAATAGTAGGCCTAATAATAGTGTTTTAATATCTAGATTCTAGATCTAGAATCTAGCTCTAAACATGGCGTAAACAAAATTCGGACCACATATCTAGATTCTGGATTTAGGGTGACTGGCTCCGCTGACATAGAATCTAGAATCTACTTCTTTACTTAAATTTAATTACAAAATTTAGATCTACATTCGATTCAAAATACACCCATAATAAATCAAAAGTAGTCATAAGTAGGCCTAATAAAGCATGTAATTGTCTCTAAGATCTAAAATCTCGCTCTACAATCTAATCATTTTTTTAGCAAACGAAATTTTCTGAAATTGAAATAGATTGTATGACTAGACTTAGATCTAGAATCTGCTACTTAAATTAAATTTTAAAAATTTTATACAAGCATATAATTGATATTATTGTAGTAGAAGACTTTAATAAATTACTATGGCCTACCTACTTTGTGTCTTTTTACAGCAATATGTATCTGATACTGGACTGAGTTTAATTAAATTAAAATGCATATCTAGTAATTAGTCTACTATGTAGCCTAGTAGTAGAATCTAGATCATACCAGCCAACAACAAATAACCACATTATTATTATTTGGTTAATGATTAGGCTAATTTTTTTTTTAAAAATCCACTGTTTATAAAAGAAACAAATCAAGCTAGAAACATTATAAGTGAGATGGTTTAGAATAATAACAATGGACCCAGTCTACAATTGATACAATTGCAGGTCTACATAGGGCCTACAGTCTAGTAGTTTACAGTAGGCACCTAGTGTGTAGCTAGTATACTAGTGTGTAGCTGTCCAGAGTTAAGATTCTTAATGCTTTCCCCTGATAAGCCATGTGTGCTATAAATGACATAACATGACATCGAGGTGAGAAATGTTGAGGGGAGAGCAGTGGGACTTTCCCCTTTGTTCTCCCTGCTGGGCCCTGAGGGTATCACGGAGGTGAGAAATTTTCAGGGGAGGGCAGTGGTACTGACTCCTCTTTGGTTTTATTGAGGGTTGAACATCAGTATTAATGTGTCTGATCACTTCCCTGCTGGATTATAAGGGTCTTAAATTGTATAACATGCTACCCAGATTGGCTGAGATCTAAGAACAGCAGTGGTTATTACCCATGAATTATATTAGCCGTTGTAGTGTGGGTTTTTTTAGGAGTTAAGTGGTCTCACGTTTGCTACAGTAGTGTGGTTGTACTAGATATGTTGCTACTAAATCTTATACTTAACAGAGAATCTATAATCTACATTAACCAGATTTAGATAACCTATAATATACCTACTTAAACTCTTAACGCAAACAGTATTACTAACAGAATATTTATTTAGAAATTTCGGCCACATATTTATATTATCCACGAAACTGTCAAACAGTATAAGGATCTTCAATTCCTAAGATTTCAAGTTTTTTAACGTATTTTTCCTTTTCCGCGGGTGCCGTTCTTTACACACAGTGAACGCGTCCAGCGCTGGTGAACACGTCCAGCGCTGGTGAACAGCTGATTGTGTTTACGTCCGATGTACACCACTGTGGCGGCGGACGCAGGTATCACGTGATTTAGGTCACGTGTTTGCAAGGACTCTATTGCGTATATATAACTTATGTTATTCTCCCATTTAAATGTGAGGCACCTTATTTTAAAAGTTGTATAATTTAACCATCACATTTAACAAACACTCATAGTTAATTGTGCACAGTTTAACCTGCTTTAAAGTTTCAATTATTTAATTATGTATTAAGGGTAGAGTTAAAAAAAAAACTTACTTACAAAATAAAGATTTCAAGTATTCTGTCTTTTGTCTCAGGTCACACAGAGTCTTGGGGCAAAGGTCAGGATCAGCTTCTTACTGAATGTTACTCTCAGGGAAAGTTTAATGGCAACTATGGACCAATAAATCCTGCACTAGAATCATCATTCACCTTCTTGTCTTCCTTCTTCAAAGAAGTCAGTGAAACTTTTGTAGATCATTATATCCACTTGGGAGGAGATGAAGTCAGCTTTAGCTGCTGGTAATAAATCTTTGATTAATTTTTAAAACTGAAAATTGTCATGCCTTATATATAGGCCTACCATTTATATAAAATCTGCTTTAGATGTTCATTATTGTTAATTAAAACTCATGATCATTAAAAAAAATATTTTCTATTGTGATAGATCTTTTACATTCTTTTCAGTTAAAATTAAGATAATTGTTATTTGGGAATAACAAATAGCATAATTCTGATTTAACAGGCAGAGTAATCCTGGAATCCAGCAGTTTATGAAGGAGCAGAACTTCACAGCTTATGCACAGCTTGAAGAATACTACATGCAAAGGTTAATTTATGTTACTAAACTTTATGCATGATCATTTAAGTTACCAGTTTCTGTTATTTAAAAAATATATTTTCTCGTTTCAATTCTAAACATTTTCTAGACTGCTTGACATAGTGGGAAAATTGAAGAGAGGCTACATCGTTTGGCAGGAAGTGGTTGACAATGGTGTCAAGGTAGGTCTGGTCTCTAGTTAACCAAAACAATTTTTCTTTTACTCTACCAAAGTAGTCAGCATAAAATAAGAAAGTTCTGTAACTCTGCTGTTAGTTATACTATCTAAGAAGTTAGTTTTTAACCAGAGTATTGCTTGCTGACTTAAACATTCTTTCATTAACTTTCAATTTAAAAAATTAAATTCTATTTGCTTCATTAATTAATTATAGAAAAATATTTTACATCTTATTTAGGTAAAAGATGACACAGTGGTTCATGTTTGGAGAGGAGGATGGGAAAAAGAAATGGCGAAAGTAACTGGCTTGGGGTACAGTGCCCTGCTTTCTTCATGCTGGTATCTAAACGACATCAGTGCTGGCAGCGATTGGCTCAAATATTATGCTTGTGAACCTCTTAACTTCACTGGTAAGCTCCTAAATTATTTAACACACTGCTTTTTTTTAAAGCTACAAAATATTTTTTGTAAGAAGTACAAACTGAAAATTGTAATTAAACAGTTGATGTTGACTGAAAATCATGAAAATTGAGTGCAGGTTACACTGGTATGAATATTTGAATTTGATCTTTTATCATCCAGGCACGGCTGAGCAGAAGTCTCTTGTGATTGGTGGAGAATCTTGCATGTGGGGGGAGTATGTGGACAACAGTGTTGTCTTGTCAAGAACTTGGTAAGTTTGGCATAGTACTCACATAACCTCATATAATTTTCACATTAATCAATACAAAACATTGATTTAACTATGACTATGTTCTTATATTAAACTCTAATTATCTTATTTAGATATGTAAACAATAGTTTTTTTTACAAAGGTTGAGTAATTCACAAAAAATCTCCAACAATAAAACTAGTTAGAGGTTTATTTTATTGAAGTGTTTAAAATGATGTTCAAATGTCTTTCATAGGCCAAGAACTTCAGTTGTAGCTGAAAGGCTTTGGAGTGCAGCCAGTGTAAACGATTATGTTAAAGCACTTCCTCGTCTTTCAGAACATAGGTGTCGACTAATTAGGTAGTTTTATTATTTATTTTGTTAGTTGTTTAGCTATCAACTACCACATTTGTCAAAGGATAATATTAATTTTTTTTAAAATTTAATTTTTCTTTAAAAATATTTGCATGTTTAAAAATTGTGTTTTGTCCTTAGGCGTGGGTTCCCAGCTGAAGAAATCAATGGGCCAGGATTTTGTGATGTGGAGTACCAGGAGGGCTGAATTGTGAACATGAACCACGCAAACAGTAAAACCTGGAAGCCTTTAATCTCACACATTTTTTTTTTCAAATCACTAAATCAAAGTTCTATATAACTATGTGTGAATATTCTGTGGGTGTTATTATTACTATGGTATTATATGTGTGAATATTCTGTGGGTGTTATTATTACTATGGTATTATATATTATTTAGCCAAAAATTGTATATACTGTTTGCACATTTGTTTGCCATATATCATCTTTGTCTGTTAAACTTGATTATTGATTTTAGCAAACCTATCTGTCCAAAAAAGTTAGCACTTCCTACAGTTTAAGGCCTTGAATTGTTCATTGATCTTTAACCTCACTCAGATCTGTTAAACATTCTTAAAAACTTTATCCACACTTGGCAGTTATCTTTTGTCAGTGTGAACATTTTAAATTGTGATATTTTGTTACCCAAAATGTTTTAATAATTGTAACATTCTTTTTATCTATTTTTATTAATAAAGTTTATAGCAGTAAAATCCTTTTTCTCTCTCCTTTTAAAAAATATTTGATCTTAACACCCAAAAAATGAAAAAAAAAATCATTGTTTTTACACAATGTTGACATTTATTTCAAGTAATATCAGATGTACAAACTGACCACAACTTTGTAAAAACAACACAATACAGAGATCAAAAATTTAGGCAGCTAAACAACATAAGACTTCAGATCATACCAGCTCTCTAAATCTAAAATAATACATTTTAAACAGCAAAGTAAATTAAATGGAAATCTACATACAACTATTTTTCTATCATTGACAGTGCAAAAATAACATTTTTTAAAGCTTGGCTACATACAGTTAAAGCTATTATCTACAACATTCAATAAGCATATTCAGCTAGCAATCTAGTAAACGGGAAGTTTAAGGGAGCTACATCTACAAGATGCTTGTGGAGTGGGTACATTTTTATAAAGTAACAATCTTATTTTCTTCTCTAGTTATAAAATGTATTTTACATAAGGGCTTAAATCAAGAAAACCTTTAGAGAAACAGATTTAGTATATAAAAAGTAAATAATTGCATACAACAAATCTTTGTTAATTTTTTAGCCAATAAAATAGTAACTCTTATGAAAAAACCTTTTAAACTTGACAAATCTTTAAGCAACAAGGAATGTCTTTCTAACAAAAACTTATTGTAGAATTCCAATTATGCTTGACTAATTATGTCAAAAAATAAAAAAATAATGTGCAACTTGAAACTACTACTTGGGGTACAAACAGCAAAAGAAAATGGTCACACAAAATAACATTAAGTATGGCAAAGTAGTTTTCAATTATAAATGCCAGTATCAAAATATAATGAATATATAAATATTTAAGAGAGATTTTATATGATTGTCACTTCCATTTTTTTTTTAAAAAGAGTTATTTTTTAAGCTATGAGTTTACAAATAAATTAGAAAAGAACAAGTTAAAACCAGCATCATTGCTCCCAAGAATGTAAAGAAATTATTTTATTAAAGTTGATAATAATTTTTTAGTGAGTTAAAGTTCCCTTTTAATAATAATGGATTCTAATATCTTGAGTTTGGACTAGAAGTTTTTTTTTATAATTTACAAAAAAATATATTTTTGTCTAAAAACACAATAGTAACAAAAATGACATTAGAATTGTGGTAACTTTACATTATAATAACATTAAAATAAGTAGACATTCAAACAAATAAACACTCAATTATTCAACTGCCTATTTAGTGCAAAAAAATATTTTTTTCAATGTAATAAAATTGTTCTCTTATAAAATAATATAAATAAAATCATACATAAATCTTTACAAAAATATTATATTAAAAAATATGTATATTTACAGTTTTCACAATGTAAAATAAAAATGATATGTACAATAAAAAACTGCTTAAAGATCATTATATCAAAGTAAAAAATAATTTAAAAATTAAGTGGGTTTCTAAATAAAGTGTTATTAAATAAAAGTGAGCCAATACAAAGAAAATTGTAGTTGCGCAGCAAAGATTATTACAAAAGAATCCACAACTTGGGTGAAATATTTTTCTACTGCACATAGTGGCCACATGAGACATTGATAATGCTCAAACAAATTGGCAAAAAAAAAATGTGCACCTTAATGGTGTAGTTTGGTAGAGCATGTTTTGCTTAGGCCAGTCAGAGAACACAAGGTATTGGAGTAAAAACATACAGCAACTGCTTGCTTTTAGAAAAGAAATGCTGCAGAATTATTTAAGTTACATAATTATAGCGTAACATTTGTTATTTAACATTTGTTAAGTTACCCTGTTGAGTATAATTAATAAGGTTTTTTTTTTAGGCATTCAGCTCCATGCTATATTAAATAAACCAGTTTATGTCATGGCATAAACTAAAGTTATTAAAACACCAGAGTTTTGACATGTATGCTGTTTTAAAATTTAAACATTTGGTTAACAACCAAGACATTTTGAGGGTGTAGAGAAATGTTTAAATGCAATCAGTAAATAAATATCTAGCACAAGAGGCACACAAGAAGTGATGATGGTGGTGGTGATGATGGTGGTGATGGAAGTGAAAAATGAAAATATCTGTATCCTTTATAAATCAATCTTTGCAATAATTGTGCACATAAGGCCACAAATAATATTTATATTGTATATAACCATATAAAAAAGGATTTTATCGGTGACAGATTTTGGCAGTAAGAAATTTAAATGCTACCATAATTAAATAATATTAAAATGAATTGTAAAGCATTGTATAGCGACAAAAAATGAAATAAAATATAAAATTTATTTACTCTCACTTAGAGTAACTTAAACTTCTACTGGATGAAAATTATACTTTAATAAGTAGATATCTCTACTTGAAAAATTAAATTGTTAGCCTTGTGTTTAGGTACATGAAATATACCTAGAGAAAACAACCAGTAATTAAAACAACCATTACAACATTACTAATGAGATTATGCATTGTACAAGTGAACTACTGACTAGAATCAAGTGAGCCAGAATAGAGATATATTACTTTTCTTTACTGAAATATAAATTACACTGAAAAAAGATAATGATGTTCATGTTTCTTTACAAAAAATGTTACAAAAGTTGTTACAAAACTTTTTGATTATCAATATTTTAAATCAATAATCAGCTCACAATTAACAGCATCTAATTTATTTTTTATTTCATTGTTTTAAAATTTTGATTCAGGTGGATGCTATGGATATAAAAATAATTATAAAATTTCAAAAAGAGTTTTATAAAAGAAATAACTGCTCAATTAAAAAATATAGTACTGATGTTTAAATTTTGTAAGTCATGTTAATACTTTAGCATGAGATATAATCAGCATATTTAAATAAATGGTGGCTGGTGGTGCTGTTATGTTTTTTTGTGGTCTGCGACAAGCGACTGCATCTCCTCAGAGCAACTTTCACAACTCTCTGCCTTACCCTGTACTGCCACGCTGATTGGGCGCTTAGCCTTGCGGGACCAGGATTTCTTGTCAGAAAAATGAGCAGGTATCTCCTCAAGACTGCGGTCAATACACGGGGTTCCATTGTCATATGAATCATCTTTGAGTGGGCGACTGGCCGGCAGTGGACCGGTCAGTGGCGTACTAGGCGTGGCACTTGACTGCAGGGGAGATCGCTCGAAGGAGCCAGCGTTGATGCGGGGCAGGTTCTCCAGCAGACGGTTAAGCTCCTGCTGGATGCCTTCAATCTCCCTCCCATCCTCCACCAGCTGCCCGGCTGGGACCAGCTGAATCCTGTTTGGGCCTGTCCTGATGACGGCACTGTAGCTGGGGGGTGAAGCTGAATGTGACCTTGAAAGCGACTCCGACCTTGAGTGAGACTCTGAGCGTGAGTGACCATCGATGCTGAATCTTTCAGGATCCTGCTCACTGCCGTAACCTGAACTCTTCTCATAGCCATTCTTGGAGTTGCCTGTCCCTGTATAGGAGCAGTTATCCCCATTCAAGCTGCCGTGAGATGTATTGTTGCTATCTCGACTAACTGTAGAACCTGGGGTGTGACCCAAGCCAAAGATGTTTCTAATGTTTATAGGATTCATAGGTGGAGGCATGTCTATAGAAGATGGGTCCGCACGGGCTCGTGGCTTAGCACGCATTCCAAGATTAAGATCATTATGGCTGTACAAATACTGCTCACGTGTGGGTCGACTGTCAGGACCAAAAGATTTATAGTTGCGTGCCCCTGGGTCCTCTTCTACAGAGTCATTTTTTGTACCTGGCTCATTTCTTTTCAGCAAGTACTGGCTAAGGTTGCCGAAGCTTGGACCAGAAGTGTGCTGTGTGGAGCTGCTGGTCACTGAAGTAGGGCTGTGGTCAGAGTGTGAGGCCCTGTTAAACATGCGCTCAGTCTCAGTTTCACTGCTGCGGACATCCTCTGATGTGCAGGTAGAGGGGGATAACTGCTGGTTAGGTGGGTCGTCTGGTGATGGTGACAGGTCTATGGTGGCTTTACTGTTGAGCTGCTGCATGTAGTCTGTGAGGTTTCTCAGTTTGATGATCCTGGACTGGGGGGGTGAGAGGGTCTGAGGGGGCAGCGCTGTGCGCCATGCTGGGACTTGCTGTTGGGGTAAGAACTGGACATGCTGGCCGTACGGGTTGTCGTAGTCGTATAAAGGCAGGGTACTGTCATATGGACCAGCTTTACGCAACGTTGACGGTGAAGGGTAATAATCTGGGAGTGGGAACTGAGGTGGGGGTGGGTGTGGGGGAGGTGGGATGACAAAATCAAAGCTGGCCGACTCCTGTAGGTGGTCCATGTTGTCTGTGGAATCATCACGGAATATGTTGCAAATTTCCTCAGCTTCTGCATCCTCATCATCCTCGTCATACATGTAAGGACCCACGCTGTCCTGGTCAGTTTGTGACGCAGGGTTGGAGTCACTGCTGCCCCGGTGTTCTTTGTTTGCCAGCCTGGCAGTGGAGTTCTTTAGGATACCTTTCTCAGGCATCACGCTGTCTGGGTCCATGACAATTATGGGGGGTGGGGGCAGCTCATTCATTTCACTCTCATCCTCACTTGAAATCCATTTCTTCTTTCTGCGCCATCCCTTTTTACCACTGTCAAATAATTCATGAGCATGTTAGTATAACAGCTGAAATATTTAAATAGTTTGAAACTTCAATGTTGAACAGAGTTATGACAATGATGTTTGTTGTATTTATCACTATATCTGTTAGTACAAATTTTTGTAAGGAAATTTACTTTTGAACTAAACAAAGTTTAGGTTGATATATTACAACAACTAGATTCAGTTTATTTTACAAAATAACATTTTAAAAATGCTGAAAAACATGATACCTACCCTTGCTTTTTGTTTGTTCCAGAATTATTGCTTAAATTTTTTGCTGGGGTACGTCTCCTGCAACAGACATTAGATTTGATTATGATCATTATTTTTTAACATAAATCTTTTAAATCTAATAATCCCTCAAATCTTGGACAAAATAAAACCCACTTCTACTCCAGTTGCATTGACCTGCTGCACAGTTGAACCTACCTGTAACATATAAGTGTCACTCCCATTGCACAAAACAAAGCCCCTACTACGGTAGCCAGAATAATTATCAGCAAGGTTGTGCTGATACCACCATTTTCTGAGGACGAAGAAAAAATCATGAAATTCTTTTTCTTTTTTAAATTTCTGCTTTTATATTATCCAATCAAACAAGGTTTAATAAATCTCTTTGCAAGTTTAGGACTAATGGTTCTAATTTTAAAATTTAGCAATGGTTATAAATGGATTTCTTATAAATTAAGAATATAGCTGGTAACTTCCCTAATGGTAACCTCATATTGCCAATTTTTATTTTTAACGTTAGAACTAGTGTTTGTTTTGCATGTATTGCTTTTGGTGATTTAGCTCTATTTACACATCTCAATATTACAGTTTCATTTTGCTTACATATAAATATAAGGTATTTACCCTCAGTGACAGGAGAAGTAGCTGGAGTATTTGTCTCCCCTTGTAAGTTGCTCTCTGGTGGGCTTATCTCCCTCTCACTCAGCTCAATAGCCTTGACTTCCATAACAGTGGTGGTGACAGAGGTTGTTTCAAGGGGGACAAATGATACAAGCTCCTCAAGCACTGTGCTGTTAGACCTGGTAGCACAGTCTTCACCCTCCCAACCAGAGTTGCAGAAACATAAATTGTTTGGGGCACAAACCTGATCAGATAAAAAATTTTGAGACAATTTTAAAAAAGATAGAAGCAACATTACTTAGACAAGTGAGACCCATGAAATAACTATTTAATCTTGACATGCTGCAAATTTTTTAATTTTATAAAATTGTTGCATAAACTTAATAAATTTCAACAGATTATTTACCATAGTGTAAACGATGAAAATGGTTCTATTGTAAACAATGGTAAAATGTGGTACAGTATCTAAAAATTTTTAAATGTTATTATTGGGGTAAAGATCAGGAATAAGTTTAGGATTCTTTCTTCTTCTTCTTCGTTCTTAATCATTAGTGTTGAAGGGGATCGAGATTTATCTGCCAGTGGGTTTGAACTCGAGACTTTGTTCGAATTTATCAACCATGAGCTTTTTGCCGACTCGACCACGCCTCCAACACAATTAAGTGTTACGTGTCAATTGAGGCCATTGACTCCGATTTCAGCCTGCTTTTCTTTTTGGATTTGCTTCCATAGCCTTTGTTCAACCAAGATTAGGATTAAATATATTAGGTTTAGGAAAATGATACTAAAAAAGTGCCAGCGTTTTAACAAGTACTTAAAAATTTAAACTTTCAAACTGTGACGCACCCCATTATCTGAGCATATGAGAGCCAGATCTGTGGTTGGACAGTTGAGCTTAGGCACAACCTGCAGGTTGACACACGAGTTCTTGAGACAAATTTTGTTCAGACCACACTTTGTACCGTCCTGTACCATGCCCATGTGGGGCATGTCCATCATAGCTGGGCCATGTACAGTTCTGGGGGGTTAAAATATATACAATTTATTAGGGCATGTAAATTATAAAAACCGCTACCTTATGTTGATTGTTAGTTTTGTGCAGATTAAAAAGACAAGCAACAAGGCCTCTTACTTGCACTCATATTTGATACTGTTGGCATTGACAGATTTAAAAAGACAAGCAACCAGCCCACTTACTTGCACTCATATTTGATACTGTTGGCATTGACATGTGTGGCAGAGAATCCCTTGTCAGAACCATACCTTGGTGATGTGTTGCCCCCTTCACAATGGAGCAAACCACACAGAATGTCACTGGAGGCACAAGATGGTGGATTGTTAAAAACTTTACTCAAGGCAGTGGATTTTGTTGGAGATCAATTGAACAAAATGGTTTAAGATGCAGGCTGAAATTTTTTTTCCCAGTACTGGGAGATGAGCTAAAGTTAAGAATGTGTGAAAAACCATGGCCAAAAATGTCTGACCAAAGCATGATAGATGAAAATGTGAGGTGAAAACAAAAAACTTACTCATTCTGGCACTTGGCATAGCTGCCTGTCACCTTGTCCTTACCACAGTGACCATTGAAGTTGCCAGTTGGATTAAAGCGCTGAAAACATTGATCATGTCCACCCTGGGCACCTGGGGATAAAATATACAATATCATTTTCTGGCCAAAATTGTCTCCTCTTCAGTTAAATAAAATGTCTACAACTTGAGTACCCAGTGATAATTATAGAACATCAATTCCAGGCCAAAACTTATCTTCAGTTAAATGAAATGTCTACAACTTGCACTAGTGCAATAACCAATTCAAAAAATTGTGCAAGTGCTGGTCAGCAACAAGCCACCTACCTGGTCCCCAAATTCCCTGACACTGTTTGTGGACTGTGGGGCAGATACCTCCCATACAGTAGCCACTGCCCTGGGCACATGGGTGACCATCTTCAATGTAAGTGTTGAATGGGCACTGAAAGGTACAATGTGTACGTATTAAATGGGTAAGGGAAGTGACAATAACACAAATATCATATTTACAGATAATTTTCTCACACTATCAAACTGACTACAGCTAGACCACAAGTTAACAACAACAACCAAAACTTACATTTCATATTTTACAGATAATCTATCAAACTGATCACAGCTAGACCACAAGTTAACAACAACAGCCAAAACTTACATTTTATATTTTACAGATAATCTTCTATCAAATTGATCACAGCTAAACATGTTAACAACAACAGCAACCAAAACTTACATTTTATATTTTACATATCATCTTCTATCAAACTGACTACAGCTAGATCACAAGTTAACAACAACAGCAACCAAAACTTACATTTTATATTTTACAGATAATCTATCAAACTGACCACAACTAGACCACAAGTTAACAACAGCAACAAAAACTTACATTTCCAGACTTGCCATCACAGAACTCTGGGACATCACATTCTGATGAGCGGGCTCGACACAAGTGTGTTGAAGGAATGAACTAAATGATTGTAGAATATAAAGGCATGAACTAAATCATTTTAGAATATAAAGGCATGAACTAAATCATTTTAGAATATAAAGGCATGAACTAAATCATTTTAGAATATAAAGGCATGAACTAAATCATTTTAGAATATAAAGGCATGAACTAAATCATTTTAGAATATAAAGGCATGAACTAAATCATTTTAGAATATAAAGGCATGAACTAAATCATTTTAGAATATAAAGGCATGAACTAAATCATTGTAGAATATAAAGGCATGAACTAAATCATTTTAGAATATAAAGGCATGAACTAAATCATTGTAGAATATAAAGGCATGAACTAAATCATTTTAGAATATAAAGGCATGAACTAAATCATTTTAGAATAAAGGCATGAACTAAATCATTGTGGAATATAAAGGCATGAACTAAATCATTGTGGAATATAAAGGCATGAACTAAATCATTGTGGAATATAAAGGCATGAACTAAATGATTTTGAAAGATAAAGATGAAGTAAAAGATTTACAACAAGGGCTAAAAAAATTAATAAATCTACAACTGAATAGAACAGTTATTTACAATTAAGATAAACAACCGTTGATGATGTTTTACTTACAACTAACCAAGATTTAAAAAAATATAAAATGTTCATGGTATTTTACTTACAACTATCAGAGTAAGATAATTTGATGGTGTTTTACTTTAACTAACAGTAAGATAAACAGCAGCTGTTCACTTACAACTAACAAAGTAAATTTATTTTTAAAAAAAACACTGAAATGCTGTTAACTTACAGAACAGTTGCTACAACATGGACCAGAGCGACACTGTGCCCAGGGCTGGAGAAGGCAAGTGCTGGGGTCACAACAAGGATCTTTTAGCTGGCACTCCTATGGAGACAGTTGTAAAGGAAACTTTAATGGTATCAAGTTTACAGTAAATAAGGGGTCAGCCACAAATGTCATGCTTTCAGCAGATTTCTACATTTCCCACAACCCCTGTTGCCTTGTATTATGTTAAAAGGATAGCCAATGTGGTTTAAACCACTATTATGATAATCCAAATCCCTTCTCCCGCCCCCCCCCCCCCCCCATAGTTCTATTTAATGGAACATTTTATAATTTTATCTTAAAATCAAAAAGTTTGAACCAACCCAACTCATGTGTGATTTATCAAAGATCACTACTAAAACCTAGACTTTTAAGTGTTAAGTATGTAAATAAATATTTCTGTAAGGGTCCCAAAATCAGTTATGATTTAGTCCATCCATTGATGTGGACCAGGACAGAAAACAAGGCTTTAGACCTTTCTTAATTAATTATTTGTGTGAACCTACCTCAGGTGTTCCACAATCACATTCTTCTCCCCTCTCAATGATGTTGTTACCACAGGTTTGTTTGAATTCAGTCTGAGGTTAACAAACATAAAAAAAAATTGACAACCAATTATTCAATGTGAGTATAAATAAAATACAGAATATTATAATTTTTACTAGTCGGCTTTTTCCACAAATAACATGCTACATTTATTTATGTTGATTTTGAAATTTAAAAAAATTTGGCACAATACTTTTCAAATATGATTCTGCAACTTACATGAACTTTAGGGGCGCCCCATAAACAGGATGTAATGCCCATGTTGAGACTAACATCCAGATCTGATTTACTGCACTCAGAGTACATGCGGGAGTGGAAGCCTCCAGTGGCACTGTGGTTAACATAAAACACAAAATAAGAAAAACATGGAACAAACGTTACAAAACTAAGAATAGTTAGCTAAATAATTACAATCTAAAATATAAAATTAAAAACCACAGATGCAACACATTGTGGTTTAGACCATCATTTATGAAAAAGAAGCATATACAAATATATACCTGTAGTTAAAAAGACAACACATCTTTTAACAGCTTCAATATAAATGTGCTTTTTGTTATTTTTTTAGTTTCTTGTGATACTATATTTTTTTATATTATTGTAAACTTTTACAGTAAACTTTCATGTTTTTATGGTATATAATAAGAAACAAAAGACTTACAGGACTTCTGTAGACATGATGCAACCAAATTCATCTTTACAGTAGCATCCACCTTTAAGGAAGTCAATTATAATAAAATCAGAATTCTATAAATAATTTTTTTTTGTGTACAAGTATATCTAGTGCAGAAGATCAAAACAAATGAAAGACAACACAGAATTAAGCAAGTACTCCTTGTAGTGGTGACAGAATATAAATAAAGATATTCCTACAAAAATATATTAAAAGTTTTACAAAAGAAATAAAGCCAAAATAATAATAATTATTGCATTATTTTTAAAAGTTGTAAGTCAATTTTAATATATAAGAATGTTTTTGGACTTCAATAAAAATAAATTTGACCAATGTATAATATTTCACATAAATATTAAACAAATCCCAAAGCAAAAACATGAATACAAACTTTTTACAACACAAATAAAGTATGAAACAATAATTATATATTCAACTATGCAATAATTTGCTATCTAAAAACAAAAATCAAGCAATGTAAACACTTTGAAAATATACCTTCATGGTAAAGGTTTCTCCAAATTGCTGCATGCATTCAAGAGCAAACCATTTATGTGATTAAGTGAATATTGTATTAAATCTATGACATAAAATGTACTACCATCTCTAGAAATCTAAATGTTAGTATAAAATATATGAAGAACAGAAGATAAACTACAATTGTCTACTTTCACCCAATCAATATGCAAGCAAAAATCCCCGTTACGGTATTTTATCAAGGTTTTTGGAATACAAAAACTGCTCAACCTTTGCAATTCATTTGTACTCAGCAGTAAAAAAGATGAGCAATTGTAGTCTTCATATATGAACTGATTTGTTACAGTGAATAGGTAAAAATAGACAAGGTTAACCTGTTAAAATCTACAGCTAGTGCCAACACTGTTAGATGACTAGTAAAAGATTTGAGTAACAGAAGAAGCCAAGGGCTAGCCTATCATACAAGATGTACCCACCTTCTTCATCATGTTTCATTCCCAGGATGTGACCAGCCATGTGTGACAATATTGTTGCTGTTTGCTGAGGTTCAAAAGGACGACCACTCTAAAAAATAAAAATGCATATTCAGATTTATCAAAATACAAACACAATGCAGCCGGAATTCAATACACCAAGAACAACTAAGAGAATACATAGTGTAAATTAGGTGAACAGACCTTGACAACAGCTACAGCTCTATCCGAGCAAATGGAGTCTGGGATAGCGATGCCAACTTTTCCACCATCAAGCCCAACATCACTACAAGAAATATATTTGAAAACAATTTTTTATTATACTAAATTAACTGGCTTTATTTAAACATTTCACAGCATCAAAGTTAAACATTATAGCAGTGGTTCTTCTTTTAAAAAGGACTTCACTTACGTGACAAAGAAAGCAGCATCAAAGACGTTGTCTTTTGGCATGAGTTTTTGCTTGAAGTGAAGAAATCGACTGAGCAGAGCTCGATGGTGATTGTCAACAGAAAAATGGTTTTGTAAATTCCAGAATTCTAGATATGTTAGTGCTACCTCAAACCCAACTTCTCTGTAGTACTGTAAAGTAAAAGGAAGCATTAGACAACATTTTTCTTACATTTAATAACATTTACGCATTTAGTAAAAAAAATCTTTTTAATTAACCCATTTATATTAGAAAAGTTTTTGTGTGGATTTACTAACATAAAAGATAATTAGAGTTAAAAATGATTAAGTGCACTAAAAATATGAAACAATGAATGATTTCAAACATACCAGGTCAACAATGTTAGCCACATCAACAGCATACTGTATCACATGTTGTTGGCTGAACTCTAACCCCATGTACTGGAAAACAAACAACACTGCCATTAGAGCAACCATCACATGATCAAGTTGGTAATTATATTAATTATAGTTAAACGAGCCGGCCCGCGGCATAACATACGCCGCTATTTAGTTGTTGTTTTTTCTACTTTTCAGTAATTCATAATTTGTGAATTCGACAGTACCAACGCTGACACTGAAAATATTTCTTTAAAACACTAAACCCCCCCCCCCCCCCACGTGAAAGCAGCCTCCTCTTAGTTACCTCCTCTAAGTTTAAAATCGTTTCAAACTAAATTATCTGCCCCTAATAGCCGTCACCAAACCCGTCTCTATGATTGTAAAATGTAAACAGCGTGAACCACAGCTCACCAAACCATGTGAAAGGTGGGGGTGGGGGGTGGTAGCGATAGAGAGAAAGAGAGGGGACTGTAAGGCGAGGTTGCAGCTTGTTTTCTAACGGCTCCCAGAAGAGAATTATATATATAGATACTTTTCACCAAATTTCAGAAAACTGATGCTGTTTAAAGTTTGCATTATATTGAAAATGAAAATGTTCAAAAAAGAAAAAAAAAATATTGAGACTTACCATGGATTTGTCCAATACCATAGCCACCCTTAAAAGCTTATTCTTATTTTCACCATTTTGGTTCTGGTTCTGAAGGAAATTAGTGTTATTTTTTAATTATATTTTAAATGCTTGATAATTTTAAAACGATGTGCTCAGAATTGCTAGAATATAAATACAAAAATGCAAGGAATATTCTACAAATAATTTTGTATCTGGGGTTAGTTAAAAATTGTTACCTTCTGGGCATTAGCAAACTTGGTTCGTTTGATTAACTCCCCTTTGTGCAGTTCTTGGAATGGCGACCATAGCCCATGACTGTTGCCTACACAACATTGATGAAACAGAGAATAAAAATTGTGCAAAAACCTTGAGTAACTACCAACTAATACCTAGTTACTGGCTAGAGGCTAACAACTTGTAATTGGCTAGAGGCTAACTTCTTACCACAGATCTCCCCATGAGAAACTGATGCTTTGAAGATCACATGAGGATGCTCAGTGGCCTGGAAAGAGAATTTAAGGTGAGATTCAATCTATAAAAACATTTTTCCTAAGGCTATTAACCAAAAAAATTGATCAATATAACTTATACTAATTAAAAACAAGTTTGGTTCTTGCTTGCAACTTGAGTAAACAAATAAAGATATTGTTATCAAATCAATCGTAGACTTACATTTTCATCTTTGATAAGTGGCTGAATGACATACGTCTCATTGTGCATTTGGATGACACCTCTGTACAGGAAAACATTAATAGATTATTGTATAGCAATAAAAAACATGCACAGTGCATGCAACAAATTTAGTCTATATGTGTTGATATAAGAAGAAGCTCTGCTGGGAAGACAACTGTACCTTATTCCATTACAGGTGCTGACTGCCACACTAGACCAGTCATCTTTCCTCACATGACCGTGGTAGTAGCAATGTTCAACTGTCTGAATGGTAGAAACAACACAGTCATTAGATTAACAGTAGTTCATGGCCCAACACAATCATTAGGCTAACACATGATTGTGGCCCAACACAATCATCAGATTAACAGGAGTTTATGGCCCAACCCTAGTTCATGGCCCAACACAATCATCAGATTAACAGGAGTTTATGGCCCAACCCTAGTTCATGGCCCAACACAATCATCAGATTAACAGGAGTTTATGGCCCAACCCTAGTTCATGGCCCAACACAATCATCAGATTAACAGGAGTTTATGGCCCAACCCTAGTTCATGGCCCAACACAATCATATGACTAAGACAAGTTTATGCCCCTTTGAATGACAGAAAGAACACAACCATTACACTAGCCCAAGGTCATGGCCCAACAAAAAAGCTAACAGTTATAAGTAAAACAATTGATCATTGTCTGACCATTTATAAAGCTTTAAAGCATTCACCTACCCTTAGGAGAATTTTATTTATCCACTAACAACTATACAAATGACATTACACCCCCACCATCAATACACCTCCATCCATACTTAAACAAGGAAACTTGTAACTCTACTATAGAACAATCATACACTACCTTAGTCAGAACTTGGTTGTTTTCTTCATAGTGCTTCACAACAATGCCAGCAGAGAATAGAGCCCTGAAACACAAACATTTGAAAGCAAGTTATTAGCTTCACCAATTCTTCAACAACAACTTTCACTTTATCATTAGCTACACCAATTCTTCAAATACAACTTTTCCTCAATCATTAGCAACACCAATCTTTCAACAACAACTTTATTATTAGCTACACCAATTCTTCAAATACAACTTTCCCTCAATCATTAGCTACACCAATTCTTCAACAACTTTCACTTGATCATTAGCTACACCAATTCTTCAACAACAGAATTCCCTAAATCATTAGCAACACCAATCTTTCAACAACAACTTTATTATTAGCTACACCAATTCTTCAAATACAACTTTCCCTCAATCATTAGCTACACCAATTCTTCAACAACTTTCACTTGATCATTAGCTACACCAATTCTTCAACAACTTTCACTTGATCATTAGCTACACCAATATTTCAACAACAACTGCATCATTAGCTACACCAATATTTCAACAACAACTGTATCATTAGCTACACCAGCTTGCTCTCATACCACCACAAGAGAATGAAACCAACACCTACTCATTCTGATTGAGTTTGATCTTGTATTTTTTCCCATCCAAGACCACCTGCAATGTCAGCTGTTCCACGTGCTCATGTGTTCCCTTGGGGATTAAAATCATTCATCAAATATACATTCATTTTTAATTCAGTGAATCATGATATTTAAAACAAAATAATTTCTTTTCAAAATATTTCAATTCATTTAATTGTGGATCATAAAAATAATAATATTCTAAAAATGCTAATAAAATATACATTTGAGTTTAACAGTTATAAGACATTTTTAGGAAACAAATAATTTCTTTTGATTGTGCATAAATTCAAACCAAACAGTAGGGAAACAACACTGTGGGAGGATTCATTCAACTAGAACCAGATGTTCTATACTTACATGGTGGCGAATTTTGTGTTTCCGTGTGGATATGTCGGACACCCTGCCTTTATCCAGTTGTTGTGGGTAAATGATTTCATAGGGCTGCTTGATGTTGTCCAGAAGTATTTGGTTGTAATTATATCTGGACTTCAGGTCACGGATGTCCCGAGCTGTTGAAGTAAAATATTTATTGTTATCATGCATGACTTAAAGAATACAGCATGAAGAACGGAATAAATAGAAATGGTTAATATACAGAGACAAACCTAACCATGAAAGTGAAATCTTTACTGTTGGTTCACAAACAGGGCAATTGAATTATTTGTATGACAAACAGATTGGAATGCAGTTATATAAGGAGTGAAATTACTAAAATTGTTGAAAATGATATAGGTTCATTAGGGGAAGAAGTAGAGTTAGCCTGCCCAACTAACATTGGAATATTTAAATGCTAGAGTAAAAACAACAGTTATAGTTGAGTGCTTGAAAAAAGTAGTTTTTAGTGTGGTAGAACAGAACTCTTGCGTCCAGTTAGAACAGAACCTTCAGCTATATTTATAAGAAAGTTCTGGTAAAAAACCAATATCCCCAATGCAATGATGTGGGGGTGAGTAAATTATAAGAAGACAGGGCACAGCTGGTGTTGAAGCAGGCCAACTAGGGGTGGGGAGGTGGGTATTGCACGTGCATGAAATTAATATCATCTGCTGGCATGCTAGCAGGAGGCCTCAATGTCTAAGTTTCTGGCCCATTTCCATTTCATAAAGAAATGTATCAGTCCACCCCTTGAACACAATACATAGGACGCTACATCTCAAAGATAAGATGTAGTAGTAGTTCGCTAGTTGCCCGTTATTTTTTATCTGGATCTTTTAACCTCCTTATCTCTGACCCTGTGACCCGGTGGCCTCATATTTACGACTTTACAATAGTCTGGTGAGAGAGGGGGGGGTATATGAATGTAAATAATGCTGCGTGCTCCCTGCGACTTGCTTACACTGGACACGATCGGTAAACTCCCGCTCGAGTCAATGTCTCTCACACACAGGGGCGATAACCAGAGCTAGACGATACCAGAAAGTCGTAGGATGAATGCTTTGTTTGACGGAGCAGGGTATTGTAGAAGGAAATGGTTGAAACAGCCAAGGCTAATTGAGGATCTTTGAATGAATGAACCCATTGTGAAATCTGAGCTACTAGACTAGAAACTGTAGAAAGACTTGGAAGGCATGTGTGTACATCAGCTTTAACCAGAGGCGTATCCAGGTTTTCGTTGTAGGGGGAGCGAAAAGAGCAAAAAAAGGCGCCAAATTTTTAACACGTTCTATATACGTGTATTATATATATATATATATATATATATATATATATATATATATATATATATATATATATATATATATATATATATATATATATATATATAATTACTAGCTGTATGTCATTACTTCGCTATGATGTAAATTAAATTGAATGTAGCTCTCTGAAGAAATAAGAAAAAACACACAGTGTAGGCCGACAAAACAAAAATTGTATCAATCTAAGCAAAAAAAATATATATATATATGCGCACACTACAACCAAAAACAATGAACGTAACACAATCTGTTTTGTAAAACAAATTTCTTATATAATAATTCCTGGGAAATTATTTAAGACAAGATTGAAATAGGGGAAATAATCACTCTCTTTAATATAAATATGTATATATCTACACATTTAATTATAAATGTCAAAACAAATAAATAATTACTTTAGATTATAATGAAATTGTTTAACACTATTTGTGTTTACAAAATGTTTTTGTCTATAATCAGAATTTAATATATCGTCATCATAAATGCTAAAGTATTACAGCATAATGAAAATTTTTTAAATCAGATATGGTATATAACCACGCTTTTTGATATAATAGAAAATCATTCGGAATAACAGCCTATGTTAAACTAATTATCGGTCTTTTAGTTCAGATCATATATTTTAATTAACTACTGCTTTTTGTGTTCTTGAATGATCCATTTTTACTTTCTCGTATATACGTAGTATAGAGAAAGTATTGTAATCGTGCAAAAAAAAAATCGAGATTTTTACAAATCTCGACGTTTTACACCTCACTGATACGGAAAAACATAATTTTGCAATCTTGTCCGTATGTCTGTGTGTGTGTGTCTGTGTGTCCGTGTGTAAACACGATAACTTGAGTACCGTTACAGCTAGGCTGGTGAAATTTCATATATAAGTATTTTATCAAAATCGTAGATCCGTATCAACTTTTGAGCGAATTCCGATAACCGGAAGTGGTACTTTTTCTACTTTGAATTTTTCAAAAGCCTATAACTTGAGTACTATTTCAGATAGATAAATGAAATTTGATATGTAAGTAAAAGAGCTAATTCTCTACCTTCTGTCAAATTTTGAGTAATTTCCGTTGACCGGAAGTACTTATTTACGCTATTTCCGATTTCTCAAAAAACGCATGTAAATTTATAAAGTACTAATAATATTGCGCACTATTATGCGCTTTTTTTATTTAGCGTTCACTTGGTGTGCATTTCTTTTTTCTACGAGATTATATTCTATTTTAAGAAATGTGAGTATTTAAAATGGATTAAAAATCATGTCTAGAAGTTGCCATCCCCTGTAGTGTTATATTAGAATATTCGAGAAAGTTTAGGGGAGATCACTCCCGGTTTATTAACATAGTGATAGGTATGGGTTAGATCACTGTATTGTTCACACACCTTTTTACTGGTAATTGCAAAAACAATATTCACAGAGTGTTACGTTTAAAAAGCTAATTTTCTGGCGGCATGGTACTTTGGTACATCATTACCCGTTTTTCTACATGTACTAAACAGATCTGTTCGGGGTGGGTTGGGGGGTGGGGGTTCAACTTCATTCACCACTGTCCGTTCACTTTAGGTCAATTATCCAACCCGGTGTATACCTAGGTGTGACATTAATGTCGCTCTACACAATTGTGGTGGTGGGGGGGGGGGGAGATAACCAATTCAGAGTGAACATAGCGTCAGTTTTTAGATTACTGTTCTAAACATACATATATATTACACAAATATATATTACAAATATATATTACACAAATATATATTACAGAAATAGATTTAAATAAGTAGCAGTGGTATTATGACAATATTTTTTTTTACAGAGGGGTCCATGGGGGAGGGGGGTTGTAACTGTTTCATATAATTTGTAATCGTAATCACTATCGCCCAAACTGTAAGAATACTACTACTTCATCGTGATGACGTCAAAATTTCCCCACCACTACGCAGTTTGCTCATTAGTAAATTTAAATAGAGGTGCCACATCAGTTGTATTTGTTTCTGTATTGTAATTTTTTTTAAATTAATCACACGATTCAAACTGTATATATAAAGTAATTATGTGTGAAGTTTTATGTATAACATTTTCTAATTCAATTATTCGTAAGCAAATACATTATACAGTTGCCTTAAGCTTAACACCCCTCTTGCCAAGTGGTACTACCGTAGAGGTTTTTTAAACATTGCAATGCATCGTAATGGTTATTTTTAGAATGGCAAACTGATTCAGCTGTTAATACGTGTTGTAAACGTAGACACTACTAAACTAGTACAATAATACTTAATTGCTGCATGAAAAGAAATCTTGTGATTTACATAGATGTGCCGACCAAAACATTTTTTAACAAATATCATTGTTTAAAACTTTGAGTTTAAAAAGTTTCCAAAAAGGCGCCACTTTGCTGAAAATGGCCAGAGGGGGAGCGGCCGCTCCCCCTGCTCCCCCCCTGCGTACGCTACTGGCTTTAACCCTGTACACTACCTGAACTAAAATATGCCTTTCCGAGTCGATTTCTAAATATTTACAGCACAATTATCGTGTGAAATGGTTCTTTAATTAAAAAATTACCGACACCTTAGGGGTCGTCCTTTATGACGTCAACAGAAAGGGAAAAGGGGGTGGGGGGGTGGCTGTTTGAATGAGTCAACATGTTATAATTAACAACACAATACGAATCCAATCAAAAATGCATTAGTGACCGATAAGGTACATACATTGTATTTTGTAAACAACCTGCTCAAGCGAATACGAAAACAGTGTTCACGGTTATAGATCTACCTTTTTTTTTCAGAATCACGTTGTGATAAACGCTTTACGATAAAATCGTTTCCCACTAGATCTATTTGAAGTCGTTTTTCCCCCCGTTGAAAAAAAAAGTGTATTGTATAAATCCTTTGTTGGCTGTCAAACTAGCCCTACTTGTTCAAAACCAAACACTGTATAAGGTTTGTTTAGGAACTTCTCATGAAAATCCTGCACATCAAAGTGTTGTCAACTAACCACATCCATACAATCATACAGACAGTATTGCTCAGACCTATACATGAACTCTAAACCTAAACTTGACAGTATCCCAACCCCCGCGGGTTAGTTTACAGTATCCCCCCCCCCCCCCCGGGTTAGTTTACAGTATCCCCCCGGGTTAGTTTACAGTACCCCAACCCCCGCGGGTTAGTTTACAGTATCCCAACCCCCCGAGGGTTAGTCTACAGTATCCCAACCCCCGCGGGTTAGTTTACAGTATCCCAACCCCCCGAGGGTTAGTCTACAGTATCCCAACCCCCGCGGGTTAGTTTACAGTATACCAACCCCCCGAGGGTTAGTCTACAGTATCCCAACCCCCGCGGGTTAGTTTACAGTATCCCAACCCCCGCGGGTTAGTTTACAGTATCCCAACCCCCCGAGGGTTAGTCTACAGTATCCCAACCCCCGCGGGTTAGTTTACAGTATCCCAACCCCCGCGGGTTAGTTTACAGTATCCCAACCCCCCGAGGGTTAGTCTACAGTATCCCAACCCCCGCGGGTTCGTTTACAGTATACCAACCCCCCACGGGTTAGTCTACAGTATCCCAACCCCCCGCGGGTTAGTCTACAGTATCCCAACCCCCGCGGGTTAGTTTAAGTACCATTACCTACCGGATATCTACGTGAGCACGGTGGATCGATCAGATCTATTTTAACACGTTCTCACAAAACCAATAAACCTTATTTGCTAAGTTCACCACGTTTGGTGTTAAATAAAATCTTTAATTATGTCCTCAATCGAGGTGTAACTTCAGTAACATAACGAGGCGGTCACGTGTTCAAAACTATCTGATAGTTATAT